GACGGAGACTCTGGGAAAATCAGGAGCCACAGGAGGCGCCGGTCGTAAAAAAACTGTTGTTGTGTCTAGGGCTCGGTGTGGTTAAGAAGTTGCCGATACGATACATACCTCGATACCTCGATACAGTGAGTTTACGATTTGATACGATTCAGTACGATACATTTCAAACTGACTCAATACGATTTCGGTAAAAAATAAAGCCCAAAAACTTCTTTGTTAAACTTCTTCTTGTGCAAAGTTCATATGAAACACATCGATTTTAATCGTCGAAACAGTAAAAATGTCAAATGTGTCGCACAGACGAGTTTAGTTCCTCTCAACAAGCAGCAAAACTGTAGCTGGAACTAAATAATTTAGTAAAATATGTGAAAAAAAATACTATCGGCGATATATCGATACAGCAGCCCACAATATCGATACTGTACCATCACATTAAACGATACGATATATCGATATTTCAATATTTTTGCACATCCCTAGTTGTGTCCTTGGGCAAGACACTTCAGCCTCATTGTCTAGTATGAAAGTGGAGTGAGTGTGAGTGTTGGTGTTGGTCAGAGGGGCTGATGGAGCAGATCGGCAGCCTCACTTCTGTCAGTCTGTCCCAGGGCAGCTGTGGCTGCAGTAATACTGCACCACCACCGGGTCTGGAGTGAATGAATCTGTAAAGAGTCTTTGAGTGTCCAGAAAAAGTGTTTTATAAAACTGATGCATTATTATTTTATTATTATTATTAAGATAAAATATCGGTTTTCAAATATGGTTCTGTTCTCACTTGAGACTGATATTTGGCCGATGCCGATATAGGAACCGTGCACCGATAAACTACCGATATTTATGGGACAATTTTGATTATTTTTGCCAAATTTGGTGTTTTAAATTCATTACAAACTCACTCACAGACCTATTTAAAAAAAAATATTATTATTATTTTTTAATCTATCAGAGGCTGCGTCAGGTTCTGTTAAATATTAAACGTTTAAATGAAGTGTATGAAGTGATGTATATAAAGTCTTTTAACACCGTGTGAGTCGTGTGCTCCTCTGTGTTTTTAAATTTTTTAAAAAAATTGTTTTTATTGATTTCATTTATTTATTGGTTTTTATTTCTATTCTGTGATTTATTCTTATTTTTATTTTACTGGTTTTATTATTTTATTTATTATTTATTTATTAATTAATTAATTTATTTTGCACATATAACATGACAATAAAAAGAAACAGACTACATAAAAAGTCGGTGCCGGAAAAGGCAAAAAAACTCAATAGGGCAAAATGTTAAAGCCTCCACCTTATGAATACATAAAAAATTTACATTGTCACAGTGTATAAAAAAAATAAAAATAAAAAAAAAAAATATATATATATATATATATATATATATATATTAATATATATATATATATATATTATATATATATATATATATATATGACATTAAAAAACCATGGATTAAATTCTTTTGATTCAAACATGGATTAAAACACAATGAAACATCCACAATTAAAAGACGATCAAACATTTCCTCAAACTCTTTTTAAACGACGCCTCTGATCTGCGTCACAAACCAGACGTGAAAACTGCTCCAGAATTTCCCGTCTCTGTGTCGTCGGCAAAACTTCGCTCTTGATGTGTCAAATTTTGGAACATGAAAATTATGAATTTGACGAGTTTTGTATCTATGAATCTCTGCGTTGGTTTTAAATTAAAATGTGAAATGTTTGAGGATCGTTGTTGAATTGTAAAGAATTTTATACATAAAAATACAGATATGATAAATATTAATCCCATAAATATTAAGAATGTTAAGTTTAGTGAATAAATGAGCAGATGATGTTCGTGGCACAGAATGAGTGAACAAAATGTTTTTGCACCAATAATATTTAGTTCAGAGTCGTAGAGAAGTGCAGCCCAGACGTTATTACAATATGACAAATATGGATAAATTAAACTATAGTAGAAAGTAAGTGGAGACTTTGAGTCTAGAAATGTACAAACTTTTCTTATAACAACAAGAGATTTGTTCATTTTTCTGGTCACACAGTCAACTGCTCTTTCCACTTTATTTTATCATCGACAACGACGCCCAGAAATTTGGTGGATGAGACACGAGTTATTTCATTTGAATCAATTTTGATTTTAGGGTAAGATTTTTTACCACAAAAAAATCATATAATTCGGGTTTTTTTTGACATTCAGAGATAATTAGAGATAATTTGTTAATTTTGAACCATTTGTTATAAGCAGATAAAGCAACATTAGTTTGGTTTATTAGAACATTAAAGTTTGAATTGGATATAAATAAAGTCGTATTTTAGTCGTTTATTTGATCATTTTATTATAGAGTCTTTGCACCGTCACGTGTCTCCATGGCAACAGTATCTACGCCGCCATGACACCAGACACACTGTGTCACTGACTTCAGCAGCGTCGGAGAAACATGGGCAGGTTTTGTTGTGTATTTGGTTGTTCTAGAAGCTCTGAAAGAGATAAAACGATTTGTTTCTTCACTGTTCCTCTGGAAATGACTCATCAGGATCAAACAAGGAAATTAACGACAAAAAGACGTAGATTATGTCTAGAAACATAAACCACGAAGAGATTTCCAATGGTCCATCAAGACACCTGAAGTTTCATCAAGAGTATTTACTATTTAAATAGTTTCATAGTTTATTTAATGAAAGAATCACATTTACTGAACTAAAATGTCATTAATTTATCCAGGAAAACCTGCACTAGTTTATGATTCAATGAACCCACACTGGCTCCTGTGATCAACACGACGCACGAGTCGAAGAGTCTGTGAGTCGAACCTCGAAAGAATCGACCATGAAAAGATCCTCACGAACGTTACAAAGATCCACTCACAAAAAGTGATTCATTCTAGAAGACAAAGTTGTGGATAAACAAGACAATAAAGAAAACATGGTCCTACGACGAGTGACATGTTTATATGTGCTGGAACATACAGTTTCTACTGCAGATGTTTTCTTTTTACATTTTAGTTCAGTAAATGTGCTTCTCTCATTACATGTCTGCATGTGCTTCTCAAAACGTCACATCCATTTGAAGCAATCAAAGGTTTTTCTTAATGGAGTTGAACTTGATCTGGTCTCAGAATTTAAATACCTTGGAGTAATTCTAGATTCAACACTATCCTTCAAAAGTCATGTTAAAAAAGTATCCCAGGTTTTCCAGTTCAACATACAGAACTTCCGTCATATCAGGAAAAACTTATTTCTATTCTATGATTATGTCTCACATCGATTACTGCTTAACTACTTGGTCTCTTGCCCCACAACACTTAAAACCATTGAAAACCTCTATAAAAGAGTCTAAAAATACTTGACAAAAAACCCATTTCCCACCACCGCTGTCACATACTGAAAAAGCACAGGCTTCTAGATTTTAGCAACATGGTCAAACTCAAAAGGACTTGTCTCATTTATAAGGTTCTACACTCCCTGGCACCAGCACCATTAAATAATTACATTAAACATAAAGACATTTCAATAAGAATCCACGCGAGCCACCACCAGGGGAGACTTGGTCACACCCCAGAGACGGACCACCTTTGGTCAGAATGTTTTATCTGTACAAGGTGGAAATCTGAGGAACAGTCTCCACTGACCCTGAAAGAATGTCCCACATACACCTGTTTTAAAGCTCAAATAAACACTTGGTTATGGTCAAATCAAACATGTCACATGTGTAACTGCACTGTGATTTGAATAGTTTTTCTATGGACTGGAGTGGAGTATGTGACTATGGGAACTGTGTAATAATGGAACTGTATAATGAGTGGAGTGTGAAATATTTCAGTGTCTGGCCCCTGTGGCCCTTGGGACAACGGATGGAAATGAGCCTTAGGCTATAATCCGGTGTGTTTACATTCATGTTGTCATGTTTGTTCATTAACATGTTCTGTCCCAATCAAATCAATAAATAAATACATTTATTAATTAATTAAATAAACTATGAAACAATTTAAATAGCAAATATCTTGATGAAAGTGACGTGAGTGAGTCTTGATGGGACCGTTGGAAATCTCTTCATGGTTTATGTTTCTAGACATAATCTGTGTCTTTTTTTCGATAATTTCCTTGTTTGATCCTGATGAATCATTTCCAGAGGAACAGTGAAGAATCGATTCTTTTTATTCCTTTCAGAGCTTCTAGAAAAACCAAATACACAACAAAACCTGCCCATGTTTCTCCGACGCTGCTGAAGTCAGTGACACAGTGTGTCTGGTGTCATGGCGGCGTAGATACTGTTGTCATGGCGACACGTGACGGTGCAAAGCCTCTATAGTCGTTATTGTTGTGTGTTTGTGCAGCACTTTGTGAAACGTGCCACAGAAATAAAGTGGATTTTAGAATAGTTACGCGATCGATAAACAACACAGACGTAACACTTTTGGATCAGTTCTGTCTCAAAGCTGTGGTATCGGAGTATCGGTATCGCAGGATCGGTGCTTCCCCGGTTCGCACAGGAGGATCTGAATCTGACTCCGAGCGGAAATATACAAACACTCCAAATCTAAAACTCTACCCACGGGTTTCAGGGGCCGGGAAATGCAGAGATAAGTTTTCAAAAGCGTCCGTGTTCGGTCGTGGGTAAACGGCCCCGAGCCCCGCGGGTAGCGTCTGGTCTGCGTTTGCCTCAGCGGCGCCCCCTGCCTGTGTCTCTGCTCCGCAACCCGCCCCACAGAACGATGCACCGTGTTTGTGCTCAGGCAAAAAAAAACAAAAAAACTATAGAGAGACAGCAAGCACAACCGGACTGGACGCGTCTAACGCCAGTCTGATCTGATCGAGCAGTGCCCCATGCTGGTGGCAGTGTGGTACTGCAGCGTCCCAAAAACATTCTCAATCCAAGGCATCAAACAGAAACTTTCGATGGTGAGATGAAAGTGCAAACCTGAACTAAAAAAAGAAAACAAAGCAAAAAAAAAAGAAAAAACTATCGTCTACAGTGGCACATTCAGGCTCTGGTCCAAACCTTGCACGCCACCCTATGAGGGCATTTCTTGCCAAGGCCCAGGGGGGGGGAGATAACCCGCAATAAACTGTACATATCCTTATAATGAATGCGCCCGCTGCAAGAAGAATACAAGGACGCAAGGTTAGGAAGGAGACAAGGACGCAAGGTTAGGAAGGAGACAAGGACGCAAGGTTAGGAAGAAGATACAGGAGAGAGGAGAGAGAGAGAGAAGAGGAGAGAGAGAGAGAGAGGAGAGAGAGACGAGGAGAGAGAGAGAGGGAGGAGAGAGAGAGAGAGAGAGAGAGAGAGGAGAGAGAGAGGAGACGAGGAGAGAGAGAGAGAGGAGAGGAGACAAGGAGAGGAGAGAGGAGAGGAGATGAGGAGAGAGGAGAGAGAGAGGAGAGAGGAGAAGAGAGAGAGGAGAGAGAGAGGAGAGGAGAGGAGAGAGAGGAGAACAAGGAGAGGAGAGAGGAGAGAGGAGAGGAGAGGAGGAGAGAGGAGACGAGGAGAGAGGAGACGAGGAGAGAGGAGAGGAGAGAGGAGAGGAGACAAGGAGAGGAGAGAGGAGGAGAGAGAGAGGAGAGAGAGAGGAGAGAGACAGAGGAGAGAGAGAGAGGAGAGGAGAGAGACAGAGAAGAGGAGAGAGGAGGAGAGGAGGAGAGAGGAGAGAGAGGAGAGAGAGGAGAGGAGAGAGACAGAGAAGAGGAGAGAGAGAGAGGAGAGAGAGAGAGGAGAGGAGAGAGAGGAGAGAGAGGAGAGATGAGGAGAGGAGACAAGGAGAGAGGAAGGAGGAAAGGAGAGAGAGGAGAGGAGAGGAGATGAGGAGGAGAGGAGAGGAGAGAGAGGAAGGAGAGGAGAGGAGAGAGGAGAGAGGAGAGAGAGGAGAGAGGAGACGAGGAGAGAGGAGAGAGGAGAGAGGAGAGAGGAGAGGAGAGAGAAGAGAGGAAAGGAGAGGAGAGAGGAGAGGAGACGAGGAAGGAGAGAGGAGGAGAGGAGAGGAGGGTTAGGAAGCAGACACAGGACAAAAGAGAAGAGAGAGGAGGACAGGAGGACAGGAGGAAAGAGGAGGAGAGAAGAGAAGAGAGAGGAGAAAGAGAGGAGGAAGAGAGGAGAGAGAGATGGAGGGCACAGAGGAGGAGTAGAGGAGGAGTAGAGGAGACAGAGAGAGGAGAGAGAGACAGAGAGAGACAGAAAGACGAGAGAGAGGGGGAGAAGAGAGAGGAGAGGAGAAGAGAGAAAGAGGAGAGAGACAGAGGAGAGAGGGAAAGAGACAGAGAGAAAGAAGGAGAGACAGAGAGAGAGAGAGGAGAGAGAGAGAAGAGAGAGAGCGGGAGAGAATGAGAAACAAACAGAGAGACAGAGAGAGAGAGACAGACACAAAGAGAAAGGAGGGAGACAGAGAGAGAAGAGAGAGACGGAGAAAAAAAGGGAGGAAGACACAGCGAGAGCGAGAGAAAGAGAGAGAGGAGAGATAGAGAGAAAGAAGGAGAAAGAAACAGATAGAGAGAGAGAGGAGGAGGAGAGGGAGGAGAGGAGAGGAGAGAGAAGAGAAGAGAGGAGGAGAGAGGATAGAGGAAGAGGAGGAGGAAGAGGAGAGAGGAGAGGAAGAGGAGGAGGAAGAGGAGGAGGAGAGAGGAGGAGGAGAGAGGAGAGGAGAGAAGAGGAGGAAAGAGGAGGAGGAAGAGGAGGAGGAGTGGCTCTGGAGTCAGAGTTCGTTCAGAGACTCCGTTTGTGTTTTTGTCCTGGACCTTGGAGAGAGAGCGAGAGCCGTTACTGTGCATTCACAAATAACACACTTAAAGCTGCACTGCGGAACTTTTCTGCTCCCGGGGGGGGGGGCCTGACACCCTACGGCTCGTCTCTATGTTACCGCTTTGTCCAGAATGTTCCACAGCGCGGCATTTACTGTATCTCCACGGCGCCGTACTGCGGGAACATTCCAGGCAGAGAGAGAGCCACGGCGACGGCAGGTGGAGAAAAAAGCTCCGCAGTGCAGCTTTAACTTGTTTCCATGGCGATCTGTGCCGCTTCACACTGTGGTCCTTTTTTTTTTTTTATAACAAAATAAAACAAAAAACAAAAACAACAAAAACTCTGGAGGATTCTGACTCCTCGTCTCGTTCTGTCGTGGTGAAGGTTTTTACGTCAGATGCCCTTCCACGAGCTTCATTTCTCCAGGCTTTGGACTGGCACAAAGACCAGACCCGCCTCCTCTGACAGGAACTTTTACTTTACTGATCTGTGGTCACGTAAGTCCTGGTTCAGTCCTGGTTCAGTCCTGGTTTAGTCCTGGTTCAGTCCTGGTTCAGTCCTGGTTTAGTCCTGGTTCAGTCCTGGTTTAGTCCTGGTTCAGTCCTGGTTCAGTCCTGGTTTAGTCCTGGTTCAGTCCTGGTTTAGTCCTGGTTTAGTCCTGGTTTAGTCCTGGTTCAGTCCTGGTTTAGTCCTGGTTAAGTCCCTGTGCTTCTGGTCAGATGGTTCTGTCAAAGGTTTCTGTATTTCACATTGAATCATTGGAGTGGGCGGAGTCGGCGGATAGAGTCAGCGGGTGGAGTCAGCGGGCGGAGTCAGTGGGTGGAGTCAGTGGGCGGAGTCAGCGGGTGGAGTCAGTGGGTGGAGTCAGTGGGTGAAGTCAGTGGGTGGAGTCAGTGGGTGGAGTCAGCGGTCAGTGGGTGGAGTCAGTGGGCGGAGTCAGCGGTGGAGTCAGTGGGTGGAGTCAGCGGGTGGAGTCAGTGGGCGGAGTCAGCGTCAGTGGGCGGAGTCAGCGGGTGGAGTCAGTGGGGCGGAGTCACAGTCAGTGGGTGGAGTCAGTGGGTGGAGTCAGTGGGTGGAGTCAGTCAGTGGGTGGGTCAGTGGGTGGAGTCAGTGGGTGGAGTCAGCGGTCAGTGGGTGGAGTCAGTGGGTGGAGTCAGTGGGTGGAGTCAGTGGGTGGAGTCAGCGGGTGGAGTCAGTGGGTCGGAGTCAGTGGGCGGAGTCAGGGGGCACTCACCAGGCGGCTGGGTCATACTCGGCCCAGATCCTGACGTACTCGTCGAGGTGGTGAGGACCCAGGATGGACGAGTCTCGGGTCAAATACTCAAAGTTATCCATGATGACGGCGACGAACAGGTTCAACATCTGCGGAGAGGAGAGCAGCCGCACTCAACAGGGAGTATTATACTCAACAGGGAGTATTATACTCAACAGGGAGTATTATACTCAACAGGGAGTATTATACTCAACAGGGAGTATTATACTCAACAGGGAGTATTATACTCAACAGGGAGTATAGAGGCTTTGCACCGTCACGTGTCTCCATGGCAACAGTACCTACGCCGCCATGACACCAGACACACTGTGTCACTGACTTCAGCAGCGTCGGAGAAACATGGGCAGGTTTTGTTGTGTATTTGTTGTTCTAGACGCTCTGAAAGGAATAAAAAGAATCGATTCTTCACTGTTCCTCTGGAAATGACTCATCAGGATCAAACAAGGAAATTATCAAAAAAAAAAAAGACGGGAATTATGTCTAGAAACATAAACCATGAAGAGATTTCCAATGATCCCATCAAGACACACTCACGTCACTTTCATCAAGATATTTGTTATTTAAATAGTTTCATAGTTTATTTAATGAGAGAAGCACATTTACTGAACTAAAATGTAAAAAGAAAACATCTGCAGTAGAAACTGTATGTTCCAGCACATATAAACATGTCACTCGTCGTAGGACCATGTTTTCTTTATTGTCTTGTTTATCCACAACTTTGTCTTCTAGAATTAATCTCTTTTTGTGAGTGGATCTTTCTAACGTCGTGAGGATCTTTTCATGGTCGATTCTTTCGAGGTTCGACTCACAGACTCTTCGACTCGTGCGTCGTGTTGATCACAGGAGCCAGTGTGGGTTCATTGAATCATAAACTAGTGCAGGTTTTCCTGGATAAATTAATGACATTTTAGTTCAGTAAATGTGATTCTTTAATTAAATAAACTATGAAACAATTTAAATAGAAAATATCTTGATGAAACTTCAGGTGTCTTGATGGGACCATTGGAAATCTCTTCGTGGTTTATGTTTCTAGACATAATCTGCGTCTTTTTTTTGATAATTTCCTTGTTTGATCCTGATGAGTCATTTCCAGAGGAACAGTGAAGAAACAAATCATTTTATCCTTTCAGAGCTTCTAGACCAGGAGAGTCAAACTCATTTTGTTCCGGGGTCGTGTCCAAACTACTTTGATCCAAAGTGTCTGGATCAGAAAACTCCCAAATATAACCCAAAAACCCCAAAAATAACAATAAGTTCAAATATTATAATATTATGAACAACCTGAAACTTTAAGAAAAATACAATTTCAACACAAAGTTTGAACATGAACTTGTCTGTAAACAGGAATAAGTCCATTTTTGTTGTAAAATCCTGCACTCGGCTCCACTTTTCTCATGTTGGACATTTTTCTGATGAGGGTGTCACGGTCAACAGTCAAAACGATCGTCCTTTAAGAGCGTTTGGAAAGAGACAAGTCTTCATTTGTGCTGCTCTGGTGGGAGGGGCCACGTACAGAGACGCTGGAGACGCTGCTGCAATAAACACCACAGACATTTTTTTTTTGATTTTAAAAGGGCCACATTAAAAGGTCTTGGAGGGCCGGATCTGGCCCCCGGGCCGTATGTTTGACATCTGTGATTTAGAACAACAAATACACAACAAAACCTGCCCATGTTTCTCCGACGCTGCTGAAGTCAGTGACACAGTGTGTCTGGTGTCATGGCGGCGTAGGTACTGTTGTCATGGAGACACGTGACGGTGCAAAGCCTCTATAGTACAGAGGAAGAGGAGCGGGTAGAGGTGTCGCGGGCACAGGTGTGTCGCGGGCACACGCGTCGCGGGCACACGTGTCGCGGGCACACGCGTGTCGCGGGCACACGCGTCGCGGGCACACGCGTCGCGGGCACACGCGTCGCGGGCACACGCGTCGCGGGCACATGTGTCGTTCTCACCAGGAAGGAGCAGAGGAAGATGAAGGAGACGAAGTAGGTGTAGGCGAAGGTGCTGCCGCACTCCGGCCCCGAGTTCCCAGAGTCGGGGTCACACTCTTTTCCTCCCAAACACGCCAACATGATCTCATGCCACGCCTCCCCCGTGGCACTCCTGCAGCGCGCACACACACACACACACACAGAGGCACACACACACACACACACACACACACACACACACACAGAGGACACACACACACACACACACACACAGAGGGCACACACACACACACACAGAGGGACACACACACACACACAGAGAGGACACACACACACACACAGAGGGCACACACACACACTCACACAGAGGGCACACGCACACAGAGGGCACACACACACACACACAGAGGGCACACACACACACACACACACACACACACACAGAGGGCACACACACACACACACACAGAGGACACACACACACACACACACACACAGAGGGCACACACACACAGAGGGCACACACACACACAGAGGGCACACACACACACACACACTTGATCAGAGAGTAAATTAAACATATTCTTTTGCAAAGAAACAACAGCGAGACTTTTTGGTCAACGAAAATTTGACTAAAGTTAACAAACACCACCTCCCAAACCTGACCTGTCACCTGACACCTGACACCTGAACCTGACACTGACACCTGACACCTCACCTGACACCTGACACTGACACCTGTCACCTGACTGACACCTTCACCACACCTGACACCTGACACCTGACACCTGACACCTGACACCTGTCACCTGACACCTGACACCTGACACCTGACACCTGTCACCTGACACCTGTCACCTGACACTGACACCTGACACCTGACACCTGACACTGACTGACCTGTCACCTGACACCTGACACCTGTCACCTGACACTGACACCTGACACTGACACACCTGTCACCTGACTGACACCTGTCACTGACACCTGACACCTGACACCTGACACCTGACACCTGTCACACCTGACACCTGTCACCTGACCTGTCACCTGACACCTCACCTGACACCTGACACCTGACACCTGTCACTGACACCTCACCTGACACCTGACACCTGACACCTGACACCTGACACCTGACCTACACCTGTCACCTGACACCTGACACCTGACACCTGACACCTGACACCTGTCACCTGTCACCTGTCACCTGACACCTGTCACCTGACACCTGACACCTGTCACCTGACACCTGACACCTGACACCTGTCACCTGACACCTGACACCTGACACCTGTCACCTGACACCTGACACCTGTCACTGACACCTGACACCTGACACCTGTCACCTGACACCTGTCACCTGACACCTGACACCTGTCACCTGACACCTGTCACCTGTCACCTGACACCTGACACCTGTCACCTGACACCTGTCACCTGACACCTGACACCTGTCACCTGTCACCTGTCACCTGACACCTGTCACCTGTCACCTGACACCTGGCACCTGACACCTGTCACCTGTCACCTGGCACCTGTCACCTGTCACCTGACACCTGTCACCTGACACCTGTCACCTGACACCTGACACCTGTCACCTGACACCTGTCACCTGACACCTGTCACCTGTCACCTGGCACCTGACACCTGACACCTGACACCTGACACCTGACACCTGTCACCTGGCACCTGCACCTGTCACCTGTCACCTGAACACCTGACACCTGTCACCTGCACCTGTCACCTGACACCTGACACCTGGCACACTCACCTGTCACCTGACACCTGACACCTGTCACCTGACACCTGACCTGACCTGCACCTGTCACCTGCACCTGACACTGCACCTGCACCTGGCACCTGCACCTGTCACCTGCACCTGCACCTGACACCTGTCACCTGTCACCTGACCCACCTGACACCTGACACCTGTCACCTGACACCTGACACCTGTGACACCTGACACCTGACACCTGACACCTGACACCTGTCACCTGACACCTGCACCTGACACCTTCACCTGACACCTGACACCTGACACCTGTCACCTGCACCTGACACCTGTCACACCTGACACCTGACACCTGCACCTGTCACCTGACACCTGACACCTGACACCTGACACCTGACCTGACACCTGACCTGTCACCTGACACCTGTCACCTGACACCTGACACCTGACACCTGACACCTGACACCTGACACCTGTCACCTGACACCTGACACCTGTCACCTGACACCTGTCACCTGCACCTGGCACTGACACCTGAACACCTGTCACCTGACACCTGACACCTGACCTCACCTGCACCTGACACCTGCACCTGGCACCTGACACCTGGCACCTGTCACCTGGCACCTGACACCTGTCACCTGTCACCTGGCACCTGTCACCTGACACCTGACACCTGACACCTGTCACCTGGCACCTGACACCTGGCACCTGTCACCTGACACCTGGCACCTGACACCTGGCACCTGGCACCTGACACCTGTCACCTGACACCTGTCACCTGGCACCTGACACCTGTCACCTGGCACCTGACACCTGGCACCTGTCACCTGACACCTGACACCTGGCACCTGGCACCTGGCACCTGGCACCTGGCACCTGGCACCTGGCACCTGACACCTGACCTGCACCTGACACCTGACACCTGGCACCTGGCACCTGACACCTGGCACCTGACACCTGACACCTGTCACCTGTCACCTGACACCTGACACCTGGCACCTGACACCTGGCACCTGGCACCTGGACTGGCACCTGTCACTCGGCATAAAGACTAAAATAAAAATCCAGTCAAAAAACTAAAAATAAATGTACAGTTTTCATCTGGATGTGACGTTTATGAAGAATTGTTTTCAAATTAAAGTAAAACTCAGATATAACAGAACTGTTAACCCAGGACCCAGACCCAGAGAGACCCAGACCCAGACCAGACCCAGACCCAGACCTAGACCCAGACCCAGACCCAGACCTAGACCAGACCTAGACCCAGACCCCTAGACCCAGACCTAGACCAGACCCTAGACCTAGACCTAGACCCAGACCCAGACCCAGACTAGACCAGACCTAGACCCAGACCAGACCTAGACCCAGACCCAGACCTAGACCCAGACCTAGACCCAGACCTAGACCCAGACCCAGACCCAGATCCAGACCCAGACCAGACCTACCCAGACCCAGACCCAGACCTAGACCTAGACCCAGACCCAGACCCAGACCCAGACCCAGACCCAGACCCAGACCCAGACCTAGACCCAGACCCAGACCTAGACCTAGACCTAGACCCAGACCCAGACCTAGACCCAGACCTAGACCAGACCCAGACCTAGACCCAGACCCAGACCCAGACCTAGACCTAGACCCAGACCTAGACCCAGACCTAGACCCTAGACCCAGACCCCTAGACCCAGGCCAGACCCAGACCCCTAGACCCCCCAGACCCAGACCAGACCCTAGACCCAGACCAGACCTAGACCAGACCCCACCAGACCTCCCAGACCCAGACCTAGACCTAGACCTAGACCCCGACCCAGACCCCAGACCTAGACCAGACCAGACCTAGACCTAGACCCTAGACCTAGACCAGACCTAGACCTAGACCCAGACCAGACCAGACCAGACCCAGACCCAGATCCAGACCCAGACCCAGACCCAGACCCAGACCCAGACCTAGACCTAGACCAAGACCCAGACCAGACCCAGACCCAGACCAGACCCAGACCCAGACCCAGACCCAGACCAGACCAGACCCAGACCCAGACCCAGACCTAGACCCGACCCAGACCCAGACTAGACCTAGACCTAGACCCAGACCAGACCTAGACCAGACCCAGACTAGACCAGACCTAGACCCAGACCCCAGACCCAGACCAGACCCAGACCTAGACAGACCAGAGAAGACCCAGACCTCCAGACCCAGAGAGACCAGACCCAGACCCAGACCCCTAGACCAGACCAGACCCCTAGACCCAGACCTAGACCAGACCCAGACCCAGACCAGACCCAGACCAGACCCAGACCCAGACCAGACCTAGACCCAGACCCAGACCCAGACCAGACCCAGACCAGACCAGACCAGACCAGACCCTAGACCCAGACCAGACCAGACCCAGACCTAGACCCAGACCCAGACCCAGACCCAGACCTCCAGACCCAGACCCCAGACCCGACCCAGACCCAGACCCAGACCCCAGACCCAGACTCCAGACCTAGACCCAGACCCAGACCAGAACCTAGACCCAGACCCAGACCTAGACCCAGACCCAGACCCAGACCTAGACCTAGACCCAGACCGACCAGACCAGACCTAGACGACCAGACCTAGACCCAGACCTCCAGACCCAGACCTAGACCCAGACCTAGACCCCCAGACCCAGACCCAGACCCAGACCTAGACCTAGACCCAGACCCAGACCAGACCAGACCAGACCTAGACCCAGAGACCTAGACCCAGACAGACTAGACCAGACCCAGACCCAGATCCAGACCCAGACTCAGACCCAGACCTAGACCCAGACCCCCAGACCCAGACCCAGACCAGACCTAGACCCAGACCCAGAGACCCAGACCCAGACCCAGACCTTAGACCTAGACCCAGACCCAGACCCAGACCAGACCAGACCCAGACCCAGACCTAGACCCAGACCCCCAGACCCAGACCCAGACCCAGACCCAGACCCAGACCCAGACCCAGACTCAGACCTGAAGAGCAGCATCAGCGCCATGATGAACGTCCTGAAGTTGTTGTGTTCGTTGATTTCTCCCTCCTCCCCCAGAGCAAGATTACCAAAGAGCTGCAACAGAGGTCACACAGAGGTCACACAGAGGTCACACAGAGGTCACACACAGAGGTCACACAGAGGTCACACAGAGGTCACACAGAGGTCAAACACAGAGGTCACACAGAGGTCACACACAGAGGTCACACAGAGGTCACACACAGGTCACACACACAGAGGTCACACAGGTCACACAGGTCACAGAGGTCACACAGAGGTCACACAGAGGTCACACAGGTCACACAGAGGTCACACAGAGGTCACACAGAGGTCACACAGAGGTCACACACAGAGGTCACACAGAGGTCACACAGAGGTCACACACACAGAGGTCACATCACACAGAGGTCACACACACAGAGGTCACACAGAGGTCACACACACAGGTCACACAGAGGTCACACAGAGGTCACACAGAGAGGTCACACAGAGGTCACACAGAGGTCACACAGAGGTCATGTCCCTGTTGTGTGAGTCTCACCTGCATCCCGATGATGGCGTAGATGAAGAAGAGCATGGCGATGAGGAGGCACACGTAGGGCAGAGCCTGGGCACAGAGGTCACAGAGGTCAGACAGGAGAGGAGAGGGCACAGGGGAGGGGCACAGGAGGAGAGGGCACAGAGGGCACAGAGGAGAGGGCACAGAGGAGAGGGCACAGAGGAGGGGGCACAGAGAGCACAGGGGAGAGGGCACAGGGCACAGGGGAGAGGGCACAGAGAGGGAGGGGCACAGGGGAGAGGGCACAGAGGAGAGGGCACAGAGGAGAGGGCACAGAGGAGAGGGCACAGGGGAGAGGGCACAGGGAGAGGGCACAGAGGAGAGGGCACAGAGGAGGGGGCACAGGGAGAGGGCACAGGGGAGAGGGCACAGGGGAGAGGGCACAGAGGAGAGGGCACAGAGGAGGGGGCACAGAGGAGAGGGCACAGAGGAGAGGGCACAGAGAGGGCACAGAGGAGAGGGCACAGAGGAGAGGGCACAGGGGAGAGGGCACAGAGGAGAGGCACAGGAGAGGGCACAGAGGAGAGGGCACAGAGGAGGGCACAGAGGAGAGAGGAGAGGGACAGAGGAGAGGCACAGAGGAGAGGGCACAGGAGAAGGGCACAGGGAGAGGCACAGAGGGCACAGAGGAGAGGGCACAGAGGAGGGGGCACAGAGGAGAGGGCACAGAGGAGGGCACAGAGGAGGGGGCACAGAGGAGGGCACAGAGGGCACAGGGTTAAAGTCTAAAGAGTATCTGTCATATTTTTCATCTCTTCATCGTTCTTTGGAGCAGCTCGTTTCCTGACGCCCACAGTTGTTCATATTTTTCATTCACTCCACTCGGTGTCCAGTTCTGCTGCCGCCACAGTCGCCCCGGGGCAGAGTGATGGAAGAGCGGCTGCCAAGTGTGGCTGCTGTTCTGTGGCCACTGCTCGTCTGAACGTCAGTGCCCACAGTGAGAGTCCAGGGAAAGGCTGGAGCAGCAGTAGTAGTAGTAGTAGTAGTAGTAGTAGTAGTATTAGCAGTAATAGTATTAGTATTAGTACCTTGAAGGACTGCACAAACGTCCATAGCAGGATGCGTATGGTCTCCCCCTGCCGGAGCAGTTTGATGAGTCGAGCCGCTCGGAACAGCCTCAGGAAACTCAGGTTTATGAAGTTATTCTGAACACAGACAGGACCTTTAACACGTGTACTGCAGTACTCTAGTACTGTGAAGTACTGCACTACTGCAGCACTGTAGTACTGTAGTATTGTAGTACTGTGCTACTGCAAAACTGAGAGAGAAAAGAACAGAAAACTGAAGTACTGCAAAACAGAGTGTGAGAAACAAAGTGAGAGTGAAGTGTGCAGAGGAGCGTCCACACCAGCTCCTCTCCGTTTAACTGTTCACACTCCTTTATGTGACTAGGACCCGTCCTCACTCACACTGTGTGACACGGGCTGTTTACTGTGCACACTGGGGGTGTTCTGCATGTATGTCTGTGGTGGAATGTTCAGGAGTTACCAAGGAAACGCAACGCTCACATTAACAAAACACTGTCAATGAAGTTTTAAGATCATCTGAAATTCAATCAAAAAATACAAAATAGAAAATATTTTTCTTTTCCTGAGATCAGTCTGAGTTTGTTTTTACAACAGATCAGATCAGATCAGATCAGCTGCTGGAGTTCAGACTGTGTTAAAACAAAAGTCAGATTAGAGTCTGACAGAGGCTCAGACGGAGCAGTGCCTGCGGTTAACATCATCATCATCAAACTGTGACGAACAAATAAAATAAACTCTTTAAACGGAGATAAACTGTTGTGACGTGTGGACGTTCCTCCAGCAGAGCAGAGGAGAGAGTGAGGAGAGACAGAGCAGAGAGGAGAGGAAAGAAAAAGAAAAAGAAAAAAGAAAATCAAATCAAATTCACTCGGAAGTCTTCATCCAATCTGGTTCTAAGGTTGTTTTTTTTAAAGAGGAAAATGCACTGATCTTTGGGGACGAGCAGGCCACACAAGATGGAGGATCACTGTCTGCCAACCACGGACAAACGCACTCGACTGAACACGACTGAACACGACTGAACACGACTGAACACGACTGAACTCGACTGAACTCGACTGAACTCGAGGATGTTTTTACGCCTCAAAGTGCATATGACACGTGACAATATTCTGTTCTAAATCAACACTATTTGATTGAAGGTTTTGTGTGTTTTTCTCTCGTTTGATCCACAGACTGTGGAAAGAAAAGGACTGAGGGAGAGTGACGTCACCCACAGCCTTCAGATCCAGTCAAATGAAGCTCACTGAAGCTGCATTTACACTGAAATGAATCACTTTATCACAGAAACGATCTGCGTCCAGACTCGTGGTTTCTGTGTCCGTGAGTCGTCTCTGTCCACGCAGCTTTGAGCACATTTGTTTACGTTTTACAGAAATGAAACTTAAAATCACATGACTCATTTGCATAAACTGAGCCTCAAAAAAAACCCAGGACTGAACCAGGACTAAACCGTTTTCAGTCCTCATCTGGTCCTGGTCTCAGTCTCAGTCTCAATCATGGTCCTGTTCCCAGTCTCAGTCTTGGTCTAAGTCCTGGTCTGGTCCTGGTCTCAGTCCCAGTCTCAGTCTTGGTCCTGGTCTCATTCTGGACTCAATCCTGGTCTGGTCCTGGTCTAAGTCCTGATCTCAGTTCTGGTCTGGTTCCGGTCTGGTCCCGGACCTGATTCAAACCTGGTTCAGTCCTGGTTTAGTCCTGGTTCAGTCCTGGTTTAGTCCTGGTTTAGTCCTGGTTCAGTCCTGGTTTAGTCCTGGTTCAGTCCGTTATCCGTTTTTTCCATTTTTCATTTAAACACAAAATCAAAAACTGAAAAAACAAATCATTATCTGTTTTTTCATTTTGGTTTTGGAGACAAATAATGAAGAAAATCGTTTTTTGTTTTTTTTCATTTTCTTGTTTGTGGTTTTATTCTTATTCTTATTTTATTATATCACCCGTTTCAACCCCGACAGAGTCTGGACCAAACCAAATTTCTGGTCAGACGATGGTGGACACTTCCTTATATCTGCAGGAGCTAACTACACTGAAACTCAACAAAGTGTGTGTGTTAGTTTCAGAGGAGTTTCAGTGTAGTTAGCTCCTCCTGCAGATATAAGGAAGTGTCACCAGCGTCTGACAGAACTGAAGAAGCAGCTTGGACGAGCTGCAAAACGTCTTCAACCAAACTCACTTTTGTCCAGTCGACAAACTGAATTTTCTCCTACATTTGATTTCAGATCATCACGACGTCACGTGGGCAGTAAAAACGAGGAAGTGGAGCACCGCGTCTGAAGTTGCAGCAGCAGATTCTGAGCCGAGGAAGACGGCGAGCGTCAAAACAGTCTTTTCGTGGACCGTGTACGAGCGTTTGTATCTCGGCTGTTTCTTGTTTGTCTCTGGTTTGTTTAAACTGTTTTTTACACAATATCATCACATGACCAACGTCACAAACCCAGAGAATCAGAAGGAGCGAGTCACAGTGACGTGTCCAATCAGGACGAGACTCCAGCTCCTACATCAGAGTATCAGAGTTTTCAGGAGTCCACACAGTCCCCGTCACATCTGGACCAACATGAACTCGTGGAGATCACCAGATCGTTCAGACTCTGGAGACGGATTAATGTGAACAAACACTGCACCCACAAAAAAAAAACAACTCACATACGACTAGTGTGAACGGGGCCTCACATTTAAAAACACAAACATGTGTCATATGCACTTCAGCTTAAGTTCATAATCGAGGTTTATTTGGTTTCTGGTTCATGTCTGTGGTTACTGGGCCTATTTACGTGAAACAAAAACTACCACAGAGTCAAAAAAAAGCTGGATTAGTAATTAATCGGGGTAATGTTTGTAGTGGAAAGTGTCGACATCGTGTTTGGAGTTTAGTTTCAGTTCGAATGATCGATCTAAACGTACTTTAAAGTGAAGTATTTACAGATGCGTTGGCGTTTTGAGCGTTTGTTGTTTTGCGTTTGTCGGTGGTGGGCGGGCAGAGCTGGAGGGCATGAGGGGGGGGGGGGGGGGGCAGGCAGCTTCAGGCACAGCTTCAGGGCCTTGGGGGGGGGGGGGGGGTGGGGGGGGGCTCGTTTTGGGGTCCGGTCCTCGTCATGCAGAGGCTGAACATTCACCGCGACACGGGGAGGGAGGGATTTAAAGCTCCTAAGTCACACAAAACGACTCCTGCGACTCCTGCGACTCCTGCGACTCCTGCGACTCCTGCGACTCCTGCGACTCCTGCGACTCCTGCGAGCGCCGAGTCTGTTCCCTCCTCAGAAACACACCTGGAGTTTTGGTTTTGTTTCGTTCACACGTGCTCCACCGTGTTTTTAAACTCCACACAGCTTCACCACAACCGTTTGGGTCGTTTCAGTCCTGGAATCGTCGATCTCTGTGACCTTGAAAACTCAATTAAACTGTTTGGAATTCAAATATTTACCTACGAGTTTCCATGGAAATAGTCATTTTGAATTGTTGTTTTCGTGTTAAACTGGTGAAAAGTTTTTTTTAATGTGTCTGAGCGTCTGGGGGAGGTTCTGACTGGACAGAGACGCCAGCGGATTTAAGTCTTTAGGAAGAAAACACAGACTTCAGCTGCTCAGGACTAAACCAGGACTAAACCAGGACTAAACCAGGACTAAACCAGGTCTAAACCAGGTCTAAACCAGGACTAAACCAGGACTAAACCAGGTCTACTAAACCAGGACTAAACCAGGGGACTAAACCAGGACTAAACCAGGACTAACCAGGTCTAAAACCAGGACTAAACCAGGACTAAACCAGGTCTAAACCAGGTCTAAAACAGGTCTAAACCAGGACTAAACCAGGACTAAACCAGGACTATATCAGGACTAAACCAGGACTCTGGTCTAAATCCTGATCTCAGTCCCGCTCTGGTTGCGGTCTGGTCCTGGACCTGGTTTAGTCCTGGTTTAGTCCTGGTTCAGTCCGTTATCCGTTTTTTCCATTTTTCATTTAAACACAAAACCTAAAACTGAAAAAAACGAATCTTTATCTGTTTTTTCATTTTGGATTTGGAGACAAATAATGAAGAAAATATATATATATTTTTTTTCATTTTCTCATTTTTAAATTCTTATTTTTTAAATTAATTTAATTTTTAATTCAGATTTTTTCAGAATTAAATGATCAAATCTCTCATGTAAACTTGACGACTGTTTGTGTGTTTACATTTCCAAAGCTCAAGTCTCTGTTCCACCTTGTGATGTCATGAAGTGGTCGTTTTCATGTGAACTGCTCCTTTTATCGTCAGTTCAGTCGAGATCAGTGATTCCAGGACTGAAACGATCCAAACGATTCCAGTGAAAGTTTGTGGGACTAAATGTGTGACTGAAACGAAACAAAACTCCAGGTTTGTTTGTGACGAGGAAACGACATCAGAATAGATTAAAATAAATAAAATAAAGAGTAAAATGGACCTATTAATAATGAGAAAACTGACTCCCTCCTCTGTTTCATTTTCACGTGTAAACAGTTTAAATATTTTATTGAATTATTTTTAGATTATTAATAGTTTCTGGAATCCAACTGCAAATCTGAAAAACCAAAAGGAAGTGAAGAAGGTTTTAGTCCAGTCAGGTTCATTTGGTTTTCAGATAATTTATGTTTTTAGGTTCATTTTTTAGACCAAGAGTTTGTTTCCCACACAGCAACAAACTGAAGGGTTAAAACTTCACGGTAAAATGTTTTTAACCCAAAAAGTGTTATTTTAACTATTTGAAAGTTAAATTCGGGTTCGTGTTTGCCAGAGTTGATCTGGTTGAAGTTAATTCAACTTCCTTTAGTGTTAATTTGTTTCCTCCCTCCACTTCAAACTCCCTCCAGAGTAGAACCAGTTTGAACCAGTTTTGTTCATAATTTCATCTTAAATTCACTCAAATAAAGTGTAAAAATAAAACACGTCTGTGTGTTGTTTAGTTAAATCAGGATAACTCTACAAAGTGTTTTCTGTTTACTCTCAGAACATTAAAATAACTCTGGATTTCAGGTTAAACAGGAACTTTGGTCCAGTTTTACTTAATGAACATTTCCAAAAAATGTTAAATTAACTCTAGAACAGATTAAACTCAGATAAACTCTGAGAAAGTGTTAAAAGTGATTCTGTGAGAACACTAAGGGAAGTTGAATTAACAAAAAAAACAAAAAAAAAAAACAGACTGAAGCCCTGAGCGGCAAAAAGAAAAATAAATTAATTAATTTAAAAAAGGCTCGTCATTTGGGTTCTATTTTCTAAGTGTCTAAGTTTTTTTTTTTCAACAACAACTCAAAAAATAAATAAATAAATAAATCTTGCCTTTATTTTTTTTGCACAAACAGTTATTTATTATTATTATTACTTTTATTTATTATTTATTTTTACTGCTGTTGTGGCTGATGAAAAAAAAAAATATATATATATATTTGATTTTAGATTTTTTTTTTTCCACCAACCACATAAACAGTAAAAAAATAAAAAAAATAATAAAAATAATAATAAATAATAATAAAAATTAAGTAAAAAAAAATTTTTTTTAGAGCTCTTGAGGCACTTAGCCTCTGGAGTGTTTGAGTTTAGTTTTAGTTTAGTTTTTTTTGTTTTTGTTTTTGTTTTTTCCCCATTGCCAACAATAAAAAAAAAAAAAAAAAAAAAAAAGGGCCAAGAGTTTTTTGTTTGGTTTTTGGGAGCTATTGGTGAGACAATAAATAAATAAATAAATAAATAAAAAAATAAAGACTGATTGATTTTTGACTGACCTTAGTTTTTTTTTTTTTTGTTTTTTTTTGCCGCTCAGGGCTTCCGTACATTCTGCTCACGAGCGGGATCGCCTCTCCGCAGACCTGACCTGTAACTTGCCCTGGTCTGTTCTTCCATGAACATAGAGAGAAAGATTTAATGCCGCACTGTGGAACATTCCAGACGAAAAAAAAAAAGACCAAAACCTCCACCAGAAAAGTTCCACAACGCAGCACAAAAAAAAAAAACTAAAAAAAAAACAAACGACATTTTCAACATAAAATTCTCCTGACGTTCTTTTCTTGTTTTAAAGGGTCAGAGTTCAGGTTCTGGAGCATTCGGGAAGCACATGCACGTGGGCGGGGCTTGGGGGGGAGAATGGACCAATGAGGATGCAGCATTGATCGTCGAGAGAGAAATTACAAACCAACCAGATTCTACGTATGTGCCAGTGTGCAGAAGGATGAGGGTGGAGTGGGTGACAGACACGGGTTGAGTGGGACGAGTTTCAGCCCAATTATTGTTTCAGTTTGTTTTTTTTTTTCGTTTTTTTCTGTTTGTTTGTTTTGTTTTCGTTTGTTTTCATGGGGCGAAAACCACGGCGCCGTCACGGGCACGGATGGGCGGAGCACACGATGTGGGAGGAGTCATAGTGCATTTCGATTGGATGGATTTGTCAAAGGGGAGGGGCCAAAGGAGAGGGGGAGGGGTAAAGAAAGCATGTAAAGAGACAGAGAGAGGATCATTACTGCAGCTGCGAAAAAACACGATCAACACAAGAGACAACGGGCACCGGGTCAGCCTCTCTGCGCCGACAACAGCGCCCACGGCGTGCCCACGACGTTCGATACCAAAGAACAGACTCGATAACGATTCTGATTCCACAATAATGATAAAAAAATAATCTTTCGTCAGATAATTTCTGGTGTTTTTTCACTTTAAATTGTGGAATTTTATTTTCTGATCCCAAATGTCCTTATATCTGTGTAAAACCAGGACTAAACCAGGACTAAACCAGGACTAAACCAGGACTAAACCAGGACTAAACCAGGACTAAAACCAGGACTAAACCAACTAAACCAGGACTAAACCAGGACTAAACCAGGACTAAAAACTAAACCAGGACTAAACCAGGACTAAACCAGGACTAAACCAGGTCTAAACCAGGTCTAAACCTGGACTAAACTAAACTAAACCAGGACTAAACCATCCATAAACCTAAACCTGATCTAAACTAGGTCTAAACTAGATTTAATCCAGGTCTAAACCAAATATAAACCAGCTGGAAACCAGGTCTAAACTAAACTAAACCAGGTCTAAACCAGGACTAAACCAGTTCTGATAACGGATCCAAGACATTGTTAGGTCTATGCAAGGACTAAAAACCAAAACCAGGTTTAAGACCAGGACTAAACCAGATCTAACCCAAGGCTAAACCAGGTCTAAACCAGACTAAACCAGTTCTGATAACGGATCCAAGACATTGTTAGTCTATGCAAGGACTAAAAACCAAAACCAGTTTAAGACCAGGACTAAACCAGATCTAACCCAAGGCTAAACCAGGTCTAAACCAGACTAACCAGTTCTGATAAGGATCAAGACATTGTTAGGTCTATGCAAGGACTAAAAACCAAAACCAGTTTAAGACCAGGACTAAACCAGATCTAACCCAAGGCTAAACCAGGTCTAAACCAGGACTAAACCAGGTCTAAACCAGGTCTAAACCAGGTCTAAACCAGGACTAAACCAGGACTAAACCAGGACTAAATCAGGTCTGTGTATCGAACATTAAAATCAGTTGTTTATTGTTTAACACTGACGAGAGTTGATCACCACAGAGAGGCTGAAACATCACATTATAACATCATAGAAAACATGAAAACCCAGGACTAAACCAGGACTAAACCAGGACTAAACCAAAACTAAACCAAGACTAAACTAAACCAGGACTAAGTCAGGTTTAACCCCGGATAATCGAGGCCAAACTGAGGAGTAAACAGATCTAACCAGAGATTAGACCAAAATTAAACCAGGACTAAACCAGTTCTAATAACGGACCCAAGACCACATCAGGTCTATCCAAGGACTAATCCAGAACAAAACCAGGTTTAAATCCAGGACTAAACAAATCTAACCAGATCTAACCCAGGACTAAATCAAGTCTAAACCAGGACTAAACCAGATCTAACCCAGGACTAAATCAGGTCTAAATCAACTGTAACCAGATCTAAACCAGGTCTAAACTAAACCAGGTCTAAACTAAACCAGGTCTACCTGAGGAGTAAACAGGTCTAAACCAAGATTAAACCAGGACTAACCCAGGACTAAACCAGGACTAAACCAGGTCTAAACCTAGAACTAAACCAGGAATAAACCAGGACTAAACCAGGTCTAACCCAGGACTAAACCAGGACTAAAACAGGACTTAACTGGGTCTAACCCAGGACAAAACCAGGTCTAAACCAAGACTAAACCAGGACTAAACCAGGACTAAACCAGGTCTAAACCAGGACTAAACCAAGTTCAAATCCATGTGCATCATTAAACATTTGTTCTTGTCGCACAAACCTCCTGAGTCTTTCTTATTCAAATAAATAAACAGATAAAAACCCAACATTCTGAATCGAAGACTTTGACAGGTGCAGTGTTCTTTAACGACAGGTGCAGTGTTCTTTACGACAGTGCAGTGTTCTTTAACGACACAGGTGCAGTGTTCTTTAACGACAGGTGCAGTGTTCTTTAACGACAGTGCAGTTCTTTAACGAAGGTGCAGTGTTCTTTAATGACAGGTGCAGTGTTCATTAACGACAGGTGCAGTGTTCTTTAATGACAGGTGCAGTGTTCATTAACGACAGGTGCAGTGTTCTTTAACGACAGGTGCAGTGTTCTTTAACGACAGGTGCAGTGTTCTTTAACGACAGGTGCAGTGTTCTTAACACAGTGCAGTGTTCTTTAAGTGTTCTTTGACAGGTGCAGTGTTCTTTAACGACAGGTGCAGTGTTCTTTAACGACAGGTGCAGTGTTCTTTAACGACAGGTGCAGTGTTCTTTAACGACAGGTGCAGTGTTCTTTAACGACAGGTGCAGTGTTCTTTAACGACAGTGTTCTTTAACGACAGGTGCAGTGTTCTTTAACGACAGGTGCAGTGTTCTTTAACGACAGGTGCAGTGTTCTTTAACGACAGGTGCAGTGTTCTTTAACACAGGCGCAGTGTTCTTTAACGACAGGTGCAGTGTTCTTAACGACAGGTGCAGTGTTCATTAACGACAGGTGCAGTGTTCTTTAACGACAGGTGCGTGTTCTTTAACGACAGGTGCAGTGTTCTTTAATGACAGTGCAGTGTTCTTTAACGACAGGTGCAGTGTTCTTTAACGACAGCGTGCAGTGTTCTTTAACGACAGGTGCAGTGTTCTTTAATGACAGGTCATGTTCATTAACGACAGGTGCAGTGTTCTTTAATGACAGGTGCAGTGTTCATTAACGACAGGTGAGTGTTCTTTAACAGAGGTGCAGTGTTTTAACGACAGGTGCAGTGTTCTTTAACGACAGGTGCAGTGTTCTTTAACAGGTGCAGTGTTCTTTTGCAGTGTTCTTTAACGACAGGTGCAGTGTTCTTTAACGACAGGTGCAGTGTTCTTTAACGACAGGTGCAGTGTTCTTTAACGACAGGTGCAGTGTTCTTTAACGACAGTGCAGTGTTCTTTAATGACAGGTGCAGTGTTCTTTAATGACAGGTGCAGTTTCTTTAACGACAGGTGCAGTGTTCTTAACGACACTTTAACGACAGGTGCAGTGTTCTTTAACGACAGGTGCAGTGTTCTTTAACGACAGGTGCAGTGTTCTTTAACGACAGGTGCAGTGTTCTTTAACGACAGGTGCAGTGTTCATTAACGACAGGTGCAGTGTTCTTTAACGACAGGTGCAGTGTTCTTTAACGACAAGTTCTTAAGACAGGTGCAGTGTTCTTTAACGACAGGTGCAGTGTTCTTTAACGACAGGTGCAGTGTTCTTTAACGACAGGTGCAGTGTTCTTTAACGACAGGTGCAGTGTTCTTTAACGACAGGTCTTTAACGACAGGTGCAGTGTTCTTTAACGACAGGTGCAGTGTTCTTTAACGACAGGTGCGCACCTTGACAAAGTCGTTAATGAAATCCGTGCAGTGAGAGTCTTACCCCGAGCTCCGTGACCAGGATGTCCGTGATGGAGCCGAGCACGGACACGAAGTCAAAGATGTTCCAGGCGTCTCGGAAGAAATTCTGAACAGAAACAAGATCGAGAACGAATTAAAATCCGACTTTCAGAGCAAATATCAGGCCCGGAATGTTCCACAGTGTGACTTTAAACAGATCCGCTTCACGTTTATTCACTTACAGGTGATTTTAAAGCTCAAAAACACCTCGAAAAACAGACGTTGTGAGTGTGAGCGGCGTCGCCTCTCCACAGATCTGACCTGTGACTGCGTCCGGTTTGGTCTCCATCATGAGACAGATCTAAACCAGTCTAAACCAGGTCTAAACCAGGTCTAAACCAGGTCTAAACCAGGTCTAACCAGGTCTAAACCAGGTCTAAACTAGGTCTAAACCAAGACTAAACCAGGACTAAACCAGGTCTAAACCAGGTCTAAACCAGGTCTAAACCAGGACTAACCCAAGACTAAACCAGGTCTAACCCAAGACTAAACCAGGTCTAAACCAGGTCTAAACCAGGTCTAAACCAGGTCTAAACTAGGTCTAAACCAAGACTAAACCAGGACTAAACCAGGTCTAAACCAGGTCTAAACCAGGTCTAAACCAGGTCTAACCCAAGACTAAACCAGGTCTAAACCAAGTCTAAACCAGGTCTAAACCAGGTCTAAACCAGGTCTAACCCAGGTCTAAACCAGGACTAAACCAGGTCTAACCCAGGTCTAAACCAGGTCTAAACCAGGTCTAACCCAGGTCTAAACCAGGTCTAACCCAGGTCTAACCCAGGTCTAAACCAGGTCTAAACCAGGTCTAAACCAGGTCTAAACCAGGTCTAACCCAGGTCTAAACCAGGTCTAACCCAGGACTAAACCAGGTCTAAACGTGGTCTAAACCAGGTCTAAACCAGGTCTAAACCAGGTCTAAACCTGGTCTAAACCAGGTCTAAACCAGGTCTAAACCAGGACTAAACCAGGTCTAAACCAGGACTAAACCAGGTCTAACCCAGGACTAAACCAGGTCTAAACCAGGTCTAAACAAGGTCTAACTCAGACTAAACCAGGACTAAACCAGGTCTAACCCAAGACAAAATCTACTTGAGTAAAAGTATTTAAGTACCTGTATTAAAAAGTATTTCACACATTTTGAGTTGGTGTAAAACCTCAGATGAACTGAGACTCTGATAAAGATTTTGTTCAACAGAAACCATCTCTTTTTTTTTTTTTTTTTTTTTTTTTTTTTTGTATATTTGTGTGACTCAAACTGTGAACATGTTCAAAAATAAACCTCAGACTTACACGGCTTAAAATACTACAACTCTAGTACTACTACAGTAAAAAGTACTCAGAAATGACGTGGAATAGGAAGTACAGACACCAGCTCTGAAATGTACTGAAGTAAAAGTAAAAAGTAAAAGTAAAATAAAAGTACAGATGATTAAACTGTACTACTGAAGTGCAGTACTTTTCTACTTTGACTTTGTTAAATTCCACCACTGGACAAACATCGGTGCCTGCTGTGACGTGTTCCAGTAAAGTAACGACTGTTTTGGCTAAAAATCATGTGACGCACGAACGTAATATTTGGAAACGAAACTTAGTTCCTTTTTCAATTCAACGCAACGTTACTTTTCTGTGTATGTCTGTCCTGCCCCGGCGACTAGGGGTGTGCAAAAGTATTGAAATATCGATAAATCGTATCGTTTAATGTGATGATACAGTATCAATATCATGGGCTGCTGTATCGATATATCACGCAGAGTATTTTTTTTGTAAATTTAACTTAATTATTTTGTTAAAGCTACAGATTAAGTTGCTTGTTTAGAGGAAAGAAACTCGTTTATGTAACTCATTTGACATTTTCACTGTTTTGATGATTAAAATGTTCATGTTTCATATGAACTTTGCAAAAAAAAAAAAAAAGTGGTTTAACAAAGACTTTTAGTATCACAGCCATGATTTAGACTTTATTTTATATTAAAGGTTGTATAGAGGATTTTTTTAAGGGAAGAGAAATACAGCGACAGTCCTCGTGCGCGTTCAGAATCACTGTTGAAGTTTCCTGTCTAGAAGTAATTCAGCGACCGACGCGTCTTTAGTTTTTAGACCCTTCGTCTGCTTCGGTCGCGCCATCGCTGGACGAGATCTCCAAGAATCACCTCAGTTTGGCTTTGCTCCTTTTCCTCTTCTCTTCTTCTTTCAGCGACCTCAAAAACGGACTTTCTTTTGCGGTGAACCGGTCGTGGATTCTCGTCCGCCGTCGCGACAAACTTTGTGCGAAATGCGAGGAAGCGACAGTTCGAAAAAGCCTCTAAGAACCGCTGCGTAAACCACGTAATCCCCGCGCGCCGACGAGTCAGTTACACTAGGGAGTTTGACTGACAACCTAACAGCCAATAGAAAATGAGGGAGCCTCGTTTTCTATTGGCTGATGTTTATCTGGCCTCAACACGTCCACAGTTGATAGATTTTCGTTCTTTTTTTTTTGGTCATCATAATTACAAAGCTGCTGCGTCTCTGTAATGGTATTTTAATCTTTCACTGACAGTTTGAAACTAAAAAAAATCCTCCAGACAACCTTTAAATCGTATCAAAATGATTGAATTAAAAGTGCACTGTATCGAGATAAGTATCGTATCGTAGTCTGTGTATCGAGGCATGTATCGTATCGGCAACGTCTTAACGATACCGAGCCCTACCGGCGACGTGAGGCATTTGGGGCACACAGAGGACAGTCCGCCCCGGTCGACAGTGGTGCCGGGAGAGGGCGCAGCGGGCACTGACCCCATGACCTGGGAAGCATGACGTCCAGGTAGGAGGAGCTGTAAAGCGGCCGGAGCGTCGGGCCACCTTCACCTCGAGTCTTTCCTGGTCGACCCAGAGCCACCGCCTCAGAGGAAGTGAGCTGGACGGGGGCTGGAGACACTCGACGAGACGTTCCTCGAGAAGATCCTCCTGCACCGAGCGTCCGTCCCTCACCCGCTGACCCCACGTTTACCTCTGAACAGTTTCACGTCCTCTTGACTCTGTGAAGTTCTTTTCATTTTTCCCTCACGGTTCTTGTCGACTGTCGGCCTCGTGCCGGATTTAACTTCAGATGGAGTTTACACCAAAAAATACCAAAGTAACGAGGAACGTAAAAAAAAAAAAGTGACTTTCCATGAGAGAAACTAAGTAAAGTAATGGATTACTTTTTAAAGAAGTAACGAGCGAACGTGACTTTTTTAAAGTCACTTCCCCGACACTGGGCGTGTTTCAGTGTTTGATGTGACGGCTCAGACTCTTCTTCTCTTCTGACCAGACGACTGCGGTAAAATATGGAGCAGCTGTTTCATTATCAACGTGAACTTTCTCTCTTCGGTAACCCACGGTAACCCACGGTAACCCACGGTAACCCACGGTAACCCACGGTAACCCACGGTAACGCCGAGGAGAGCGGGACTGTCACTCACCAGGGGCCCGAAGGCGATGATCTTCAGAATCGACTCCATGAAGAAGAAGGTGGTGAAGACGATGTTCAGGTTCTTCAGGACGTTATCGTAGGTTTGAGACGCACCGTCGAACTGAGGAGAACAACAACAAGAACAAGTGAGGAACAAGAACAAGAACAGAACAAGAACAGAACAAGAACAAGAACAAGAACAAGAACATGAACAAGAGAACAAGAACAATGAACATGAACATGAACATGAACATGAACATGAACAAGAACAAGAACAAGAACATGAACATGAACAAGAACATGAACAAGAACATGAACAGAACAGGAACAAGAACATGAACAAGAACATAAACAGAACAAGAAGAACAAAGAACAGAAACAGAACATGAACATGAACATGAACAAGAACATGAACAAGAACAAGAACATGAACAAGAACATGAACAGAAACAAGAACATGAAATGAACATGAACAAGAACATGAACAAGAACAAGAACAAGAACATGAACAAGAACATGAACAGGAACAAGAACATGAACAAGAACAAGAACAAGAACATGAACAAGAACATGAACAAGAACATGAACAAGAACAAGAACAAGAACATGAACAGAACAAGAAAGAACAAGAACATGAACAAGAACAAACAAGAACATGAACAAGAACATGAACAAGAACAGAACAAGAACAAGAACATGAACAAGAACATGAACAGAACAAGAACAATGAACAGATGAAGAACAGATGAAGAACAAGAACAAGAACAAGTGAGGAACAAGAACAAGAACAAGAACATGAACAAGAACAAGAGAAAGAAAAGGTGAGGAACAGATGAAGAACAAGTGAAACACAGATGAAGAACAGATGAAGAACGTGTGAAGAACGAGTGAAGAACGAGTGAAGAACGTGAAGAAGAGGAGGTTGACCTTCATCATGAGGACGATGGTGTTGAGCGCGATCAGAGCCATGATGCTGTACTCAAACGGAGGAGAAACCACAAACTGCCACATCCGATACTGGAAACTCAACTTGTTCTTGGGCATGTGACGAGTCAAAGGACGAGCGTTTATGGCAAAGTCGATACAAGCTCTCTGCAACGACAAACCAGAACTGAACCAGGACTCAAACAGGACTCAAACAGGTCTAAACCAGAACTGAACCAGGACTCAAACAGGACTCAAACAGGTCTAAACCAGAACTGAACCAGGACTCAAACAGGACTCAAACAGGTCTAAACAAGAACTGAACCAGGACTCAAACAGGACTCAAACAGGTCTAAACAAGAACTGAACCAGGACTCAAACGAGAACTGAACCAGGACTCAAACAGGACTCAAACAGGTCTAAACGAGAACTGAACCAGGACTCAAACAGGACTCAAACAGGTCTAAACCAGAACTGAACCAGGACTCAAACAGGACTCAAACAGGTCTAAACAAGAACTGAACCAGGACTCAAACGAGAACTGAACCAGGACTCAAACAGGACTCAAACAGGTCTAAACGAGAACTGAACCAGGACTCAAACGAGAACTGAACCAGGACTCAAACGAGAACTGAACCAGGAACCAGAGACTGAACCAGACTCAACGAGAACTGAACCAGGACTAGACCAGGACTAGACCAGGACTAGAACAGGACTAGAACAGGACTAGACCAGGACTAGACCAGGACTAAACGAGAAACTGAACCAGGACTAAACGAAACTGAACCAGGACTAAAACAGGATTAAACCAGGACTAACCAGGACTGAAACCAGGACTAAAACCAGGACTAAACCAGGACTAAACCAAGAACTAAACCAGGACTAAACCAGGTCTAAACCAGGACTTGAACCAGGACTAAACCAGGACTAAACCAGGACTAAACCAGACTAAACCAGAAACTAAACCAGGTCTAAACCAGGACTGAACCAGACTAAACCAGGAACTAAACCAGGACTAAAACCAGGACTAAACCAGGACTAAACACTAAACAACTAAACCAGGACTAAACCAGGACTAAACCAGGACTAAACCAGGACTAAACCAGAACTAAACCTTTTCAGCTCAGACACTGATTTAAAGCTGCACTGTGTAACTTTTTCTCCATGGAGACGTTATCGCTTTGTCTGGAATGTTCCACAGTGTGGCATTAAAACCTTTCTATCTCCGCGGAGACCAAACCAGACCGAGTTCCAGGTCGGATCTGCGGAGCGGCGACAGTCAGAACGTCTGTTTTTCTGGTTATATTTAAAACAAAAAAAAACACTCGTAATTGAATAAACGTAAAGTCGAGCTGTTTAAAGTCACACTGTGGAACATTTAAAGCAGAGCGCTGTCGTCTCCATAGAAACAAGCGGGCGATGGACACCCGACCGAAAAGTTACGCAGTGCAGCTTTAGAACTAAAATCAAAAAGTCGGAACTGATTCAAACATTCTGAGACCCAGTAAAGAGTCTAAATCGATTCATCTGCCAAACCCGGATATCGACGAACCGATACCGATGAACCGATATCCGGTGCGGTATCGGCTCGCTCCTCACCTCGTTCTTCTCGAGGCTGTAGTCCTCCATCATCTTGTCTCCTTGCTCTTGGAAGGTGATGATGATGAGAGCCACAAAGATGTTTACGAAGAAGAAGGGGAAGACAACGAAGTACACCACGTAAAAGATGGACATCTCCATCCTGTATCCCGGGCTGGGGCCCTGGTTCTCATAAGTGGAGTCCACCGAGTGTTTTAACACCCTGTCAAAGTAAGAGCGCAGGAGTCAGAGGGGGATTTCACAATAAGAGCGCACTGTCAAAGTAAGAGCACACTGTCACAATAAGAGCGCACTGTCAAAGTAAGAGCACTGCACTGTCAAAGTAAGAGCGCACTGTCAAAGTAAGAGCGCACTGTCAAAGTAAGAGCTGCAATAAGAGCGCACTGTCAAAGTAAGAGCGCACTGTCAAAGTAAGAGCGCACTGTCAAAGTAAGAGCACACTGTCAAAGTAAGAGCACACTGTCAAAGTAAAGACTGTAAGAGCGCACTGTCAAACTGTAAAGAGCACACTGTCAAAGTAAGAGCACACTGCACTGTCAAAGTAAGAGCGCACTGTCAAAGTAAGAGTGCACTGTCAAAGTAAGAGCGCACTGTCAAAGTAAGAGCGCACTGTCAAAGTCACAAAGTAAGAGCGCACTGTCAAAGTAAGAGCGCACTGTCAAAGTAAGAGCGCACTGTAAGAGCGCACTGTCAAAGTAAGAGCGCACTGTCAAAGTAAGAGCGCACTGTCAAAGTAAGAGCGCACTGTCACAATAAGAGCGCACTGTCAAAGTAAGAGCGCACTGTCAAAGTAAGAGCGCGGGTCAGAGCAGACTTCAGTCAGTACAGTCAAAGTAGCAGCAATACAGTAGTAGTAGTAGCAGTAATAGTAGTACTTGTAGTAGTAGTACCTGTAGTACTTGTAGCAGTATTTGTAGTACTTGTAGTAGTATTTGTAGTACTCACGTGGGCCACCCCTCTCCAGTGGAAACAGTGAAGAGTAGTAGTAGTAGTAGTAGTAGTAGTAGTAGTAGTAGTAGTAGTAGTAGTAGTAGTAGTAGTAGTATTTGTAGTACTCACGTGGGCCACCCCTCTCCAGTGGACACAGTGAAGAGGATGTAGTAGTAGTAGTAGTAGTATTTGTAGTAGTATTTGTAGTACTCACGTGGGCCACCCCTCTCCAGTGGACACAGTGAAGAGGATGTAGTAGTAGTAGTAGTAGTAGTATTTGTAGTAGTATTTGTAGTACTCACGTGGGCCACCCCTCTCCAGTGGACACAGTGAAGAGGATGTAGTAGTAGTAGTAGTAGTATTTGTAGTAGTATTTGTAGTACTCACGTGGGCCACCCCTCTCCAGTGGACACAGTGAAGAGGATGTAGTAGTAGTAGTAGTAGTATTTGTAGTAGTATTTGTAGTACTCACGTGGGCCACCCCTCTCCAGTGGACACAGTGAAGAGGATGTAGTAGTAGTAGTAGTAGTAGTAGTATTTGTAGTAGTATTTGTAGTACTCACGTGGGCCACCCCTCTCCAGTGGACACAGTGAAGAGGGTGTAGTAGTAGTAGTAGTAGTAGTAGTATTTGTAGTAGTATTTGTAGTACTCACGTGGGCCACCCCTCTCCAGTGGACACAGTGAAGAGGATGTAGTAGTAGTAGTAGTAGTAGTAGTATTTGTAGTAGTATTTGTAGTACTCACGTGGGCCACCCCTCTCCAGTGGACACAGTGAAGAGGAGTAGTAGTAGTAGTAGTAGTAGTATTTGTAGTAGTATTTGTAGTACTCACGTGGGCCACCCCTCTCCAGTGGACACAGTGAAGAGGGTGTAGTAGTAGTAGTAGTAGTAGTATTTGTAGTAGTATTTGTAGTACTCACGTGGGCCACCCCTCTCCAGTGGACACAGTGAAGAGGGTGTAGTAGTAGTAGTAGTAGTAGTATTTGTAGTAGTATTTGTAGTACTCACGTGGGCCACCCCTCTCCAGTGGACACAGTGAAGAGGATGTAGTAGTAGTAGTAGTAGTAGTATTTGTAGTAGTATTTGTAGTACTCACGTGGGCCACCCCTCTCCAGTGGACACAGTGAAGAGGATGTAGTAGTAGTAGTAGTAGTAGTAGTATTTGTAGTAGTATTTGTAGTACTCACGTGGGCCACCCCTCTCCAGTGGACACAGTGAAGGGTGTAGTAGTAGTAGTAGTAGTAGTAGTATTTGTAGTAGTATTTGTAGTACTCACGTGGGCCACCCCTCTCCAGTGGACACAGTGAAGAGGATGTAGTAGTAGTAGTAGTAGTAGTATTTGTAGTAGTATTTGTAGTACTCACGTGGGCCACCCCTCTCCAGTGGACACAGTGAAGAGGGTGAGCAGGGCCCAAGCCACATTGTCGTAGTGGAAATCGTACTTCTTCCACTCCCGCTTCTGAGCTTTCACCTCGTCTCGCTCGTACACCAGATACTCGCCCCTGAAACGCACAAACACACACACCCAACACACACACACACACACACACAAACACACACACACACACACACACACAAACACAAACACACAAAAACACACAGAAACACTTTAATAAACTCACACTCGTCAGGTCTGTATATTTAGTGTCAGATCGGGGCTGTGACTCTGCACACGACCACCAGAGGGCAGTGCAAGCTCACACACACACACACACACACACACACACTCACAGACACGCACGCACGCACACACACACACACTCACACACACACACACACACACACACACACACAGACACACACACACACACACACGCACTCACACACACACACACACACACACACTCACACACACACACACACACACAAACACACACTTCCTTCTCAGTGCAGTGACGTGTGTTTAAATTGTTCCTTTTCAGACTCTCGTGTGTTTTGGGGCTCAACTTTCTGAAGCCGTTGAGGAAAAAAAAAAAAAAAAAAAAGACTTTTTCCCGACAGAAGAGGATGAACTGTTTTTTCATGTGGAAAGGCCCAAGTAATGCAGAAATATGAACCAGAAACCAGCACTAAACAAGGACTAAACCAGGTCTAAACCAGGTCTAAACCAGGTCTAAACCAGGTCTAAACCAGGTCTAAACCAGGTCTAAACTAGGTCTAAACCAGAACTAAACCAGGTCTAACACAAGGTCGAAAACCAGGTCTAAACCAGAACTAAACCAGGTCTAAACTAGGTCTAAACCAGAACTAAACCAGGTCTAACACAAGGTCGAAAACCAGGTCTAAACCAGAACTAAACCAGGTCTAAACCAGGACTAAACAAGGTCTAAACAACATCTAAAATGGATTTTAAAAGTTGTTTCTGGTCAGATTGTGTTAAAAAACAAAGCTCAGTTTAACGCTGCACTGTGTAACTTTTCTGGTGGAGGATCCGTCACCTTCTTGTTTCTATGGATACGTCGTCGCTCTGCCTGGAATGTTCCACAGTGTGACTTTAAACAGCTCTACCTTACATTTATTCAATCACAGGTGGTTTTAAGGCTCAAAAACACCTAGAAAAACAAACACTGTGAGTGTGAGCGGTGTCGCCTCTCCACAGATCTGACCTGGGACTGGGTCTGGTTTGGTCTCCATGACGATAGAAAGGTTTAATGCCATACTGTGAAACATTCCAGACGAAGCCACAACATCTGCACGGGGAAAAGGACTCGACGAAGCCTCCACCAGAAAAGTGACACAATCCACCTCTGAGTCCAACGTGGAGAAGATGAGGTTCAGACAGAGCAGTGCCTCAGTTAGCGTGGCCCCCTGCAGATGTGTGTGTGTGTGTGTGTGTGTGTACGTGTGTGCGTCGGACCTGCAGTCGCGCTCGAACTCTTTGGACTCGTCGGAGCAGTAGAAGAATCGTCCTTTGAAGAGCTGCACGGCCACCACAGCGAAGATGAACATGAAGAGCATGTAGACGATCAAGATGTTCAGGACGTTCTTCAGGGAGTTCACCACACAGTCGAACACGGCCTGGACCACGAAGAGGACGAAGAGGACGAAGAGGACGAAGAGGAGGAGGAGGAGGAGGAGGAAGAGGAAAAAGGAGAAGAGAAGGTTACAGAAGACTACATCTGACGTTGAGGATCTTGGCGTGTTTGTCCGGCCGCCGTCTCGGAGCAGAGCTCTAAAGATCTAAAGTCACCGAACGTCACTGGATCGAAGCTTTTTCAGTATCAGCAAATCAGAACTAAACCAGGACTAAAACGGGTCTAAACCAGGTCTAAATAAGGACAAAACCCAGCCTAAACAAGGACTAAAACAGGACTAAACCAGAACTAAACCAGGACTAAACCAGAACTAAACCAGGACTAAACCAGGACTAAACCAGGACTAAACAGGACTAAAACCAGGACTAAACCAGGACTAAAAACCAGGACTAAACCAGGACTAAACTGGGACTAAACTGGGACTAAACCAGGACTAAACTAGGACTAAACCAGGATTGAATTGGGACTAAACCAGGACTAAACCGGCACTAAAACAGGACTATTTCAGGACTAAACCAGGACTGAACCAGGACTAAACCAGGACTAAACAAGGACTAAACCAGGTCTAAACCAGGTCTAAACTGGGACTAAACCTGGACTAAACCAGGACTAAACCAGGTCTAAACCAGGACTGAACCAGGACTAAACCAGGACTAAACCAGGTCTAAACCAGGTCTAAACTGGGACTAAACCAGGACTAAAACCAGGACTAAACCAGCTCTAAACCAGGACTAAACCAGGTCTAAACCAGGACTAAACCAGGACTAAACCAGGACTAAACCAGGACTAAACCTGAACTAAACCAGGTAGAAATTTCAGCACCTAAAAATCTGTTTTGGTACAAAATTCTCAACACGAAACTTAAAACACTGAATAAATAAAGTGATACTGGTTTGTCGTTAGTCTGGACCGAGACCACGACTTTTGTAAACGCACGATGAAAGATTCTTCAAACATGAATCAATCCAAATCAAACTTCAGCGTGAGAAGAAACGGCGAGGACACGTTGTTGTTGTTGAAAGTTCTGGTGTAAATGTGCGTGTGAAGTTCTGACCTTGAGCTTGGGGAGCCTCTTGATGGTCTTGAGCGGCCGCAGGACCCTCAGCACTCGCAGGGACTTGATCGTGCTGATGTCTTTGCCTTTGCTGCTCCCCCTGCAGGTCGGGAGAGGAACAACAGCACACGGTCACGTCACACACACAGAGAGAAGCGGCGCCCCCTACGGCCAGCGAGGGGGGGGGTGTGTCACATGAAGCCCGCGGGGTTTCATGGAGCGGTGCGGTGCTCGGGGTCATTCACATGGACAGGCAGCTCGGCGAGTGCCCGGCCAAACCTCTTTCTTTCGTTCGGTCGCGTTCGGTGGGCGGATTATATCGACATAATCCAGTGTTTTTAAATCACTAAAAACACCTCGGAACTTTCACATAGTTTACACCAGGCTCATGTTTCTGACGACAGCGATGTGTAAATATATGTTGTTCTGCCTTTCAGTCTTTTGCATTTACTAATACTTTTATTTTGAAATCTGTGCTTTTATTTTGGTCCGTGGAACCAGAACTGTGAAAAATAAGAACACAAGCTGGTAAAGAGGCCATAAAACTGGACTCATGCAGCTAAAAATCAAACTTACAAAAGCAACACGTGTATAAATATTAGGGAGAAAATTTGCCCAACTTTTTGAAACATTTCTGAAAATCAGTCTGTACCTCGTATTCGATTTTTTACACTTGCCAAAGTAAAGTTCCAGGAGAAATTTCATGAAATTCTACTGGGTCCATAAAGCCTCTGGAGTTTAGCGTCTGCAGAAGATTTAAACCTGAACTGAAAAATCAGTTTTTCTTCCAATAACATCAAAAATAATGAATTTATCCCAATAGTATCAATGAAAGTTGAATATAAATCTGGACATTGTGGATCATTTGGTGTCAGTTTTCTGTCTCTGTCATCATTAGTTTCTGAGATATGGCTATAAAATTTAATTTTTTTGGGCAAGGACATTGAATAAACAATTACAAAAAAAAATAAATTAAATAAATTATAAAAAATAAATTAATTAATTAATAAAAAAAATAAAAAAATAAAATAAAATAAATAAATATAATATGATAATAATAATAATAATAATAATTAATAATAAATATACAATTAATTTAAAAATAATTAATTAATTAATAAAAAGTAATGTATAATAAAATTAAAAATAAATTAATAAATTAATAAAAAAATATTTATAATAAAATAAAATATTATATTATTATTTTTGTTATTGTTATTTTTAAAGTTATTTAGAGAAAAACGAAATTTCTCAGCCAGAGTTTTATGGACACTGTTAAAATAGAACTTAAAGGTCTTGTTGGACCCAGTAGATTTTATTCAACTGAGCAAATATTCCACACATTTTCTTTTAGTTGGTTTTGTCACATTTTAAAATTGTGTACAAGTTGAATTTCTGACACTGGGGAAAATGATGCAGCCTAATATGTTTACATTTGTACATTTTATTTAGCTCGTTTCATTAGTGTAAAATTATTTCAAAACAAAACTGTAATAATAATCAGCCATATTATTTATGTTAACGGTTATTTTCTTTGTGTCGTGCGCCTCTTATTATCTCCTAATGATAAAAACAGATCTGTGATAAATTTTTTACTACAACATCTGCGTCGTCGTTGAATCAGAACAAAACACACTGATCTGTCGCTTTTATTCAATCCACAGAACGTCTAAAGAAGCGACGAAGACAACGATCAGACCGCAGGCGTCACGCTCAGTTTGACACTAGAACGACACAAAAGAACACCATATTTTCACTATTTTACAATAACTACACCTTATTTAGCCTTAATAAAGCATGAACAAAGGCTTAATTAATAATGATTCACGCTTAGTAACTACTTAATTACTACCTTAATTAGCACTTGGACTTAATTCACCTGTGCTGTAAATAGTTACTCATAATTATTTGATACTTAATTACTCATGAACTAACCATTTATTAATCATTAGTAAACTATGAGAGAATGATTTACTAATAATACAATGCAGTGATAATTCAGGCAGCTGTTATCTGTTAGTTAAATCTTTTTGAGAGCTTCTCTAAAGTGAAGACAAATTATGTTTTATTAAACATTTACTAAGCGTGAATCATTATTAATTAAATCTTTGTTCATTATTAATTAAGTCTTTGTTCATGCTTTATTAAACCTAAGTAAGGTGTAGTTATTATAAAGTGTTACCGAGTACTTTAAGTGTCACTGACCCTGGGCAGAGTGTGGACGATCGACGCTTTTCTTTAATTTCCTTGGATTTTTGAGAATTAAAGATCGAGACGAGCACAAGAAAACAGCAAATACTGAAAAATATTTTTTATGGACAAACAAGTGAATTTTCTAAAGTGAACTTTTGTGTGATTCTGTGTGTTTTTCCCTTTGCTGTCCTCATGTTTCAGTTTTTATGTTTGTTTGTTTGTTTGTTTGTTTGTTTGTTTGTTTGTTTGACGGAGCTGGTCTGAGGACTTCGGTGAATCTATGTGAAAGACTGACACCATGAGATGAATCTGGAGCAAACGTCTCGTGTTTACGTCAGGAATCTTCAGAGGAGCAGGGTGAAGCGCCGTGTGCACAGGGGCCTCCAAAACCTCGCCATCTCGTCCGAGGGCGGGGCTTAACTTTCTACCGTAACCACGGAAACTCAGAGTAAACGGACTTTTACTTTTACCTGAGCTGAAAAAAACTAAAACGAGAAACGCTCCTGAATCAAACAAAATGACTCTGAGCTTTAACAATCTGTGTGTCATTCAATCATTTTTCAAAATAAAACCAAAAATAAGAAAATTAAACAAAAAAAAAAAAAAACAACAACTATTTTCTTCAATATTTGTCTCCAAAACCAAAATGAAAAAACAGATAACGGACTAAATCAGGTCTAAACCAGGACTAAATCAGGTCTAAACCAGGTCTAAACCAGGACTAAATCAGGTCTAAACCAGGACTAAACCAGGACTAAACCAGGACTAAACCAGGTCTAAACCAGGACTAAACCAGGTCTAAACCAGGTCTAAACCAGGACTAAACCAGGTCTAAACCAGGACTAAACCAGGTCTAAACCAGGTCTAAACCAGGACTAAACCAGGTCTAAAACCAGGACTAAACCAGGACTAAACCAGGACTAAACCAGGACTAAACCAGGACTAAACCAGGTCTAAACCAGGTCTAAACCAGGACTAAACCAGGTCAAAACCAGGTCTAAACCAGGTCTAAACCAGGTCTAAACCAGGACTAAACCAGGACTTAGACCGGGACAAGATCAAGACAATCAAAAACAGAAAAAAAACCCCAAATCATTATGTTTTTTTTTGTTGTTTTTCTGTTTTTATTTTGGTTTTGGAGACAAAAAATTTTGAGAAAATTGTTTTTTTTTTCTCATTTTCTTATCCTTGTTTTATTTTGAAAAACGAATGGACGAACGATAGGCTCTTTATTATATTTATTATATATTATATTCCACCTCGTGATGTCATGAAGTGGAGATTTTCAGGTGAACAGCTCCTTTTACTTTTAGTTCAGTCGAGCGATTCCAGAGGCTGAAATGATCCAGATGAATCTCGTGAAGGTGTGTGGAGTTTAAAAACACAGTGGAGCGCTTCACGTATCACCACATGATGACATCACAAGGTGGAACAGAGTGTTTCCAGTTTGAGAGAAGAGCTCATGGGAGTCAGTTTTGCCTTTTCCTTCACTTTTCCCTCTCTCTGTCTCTCGCTCTGTCAGCTTTGATTGACACGTGTCACTAAGCCCCGCCCCCGGGCCTGATGGCGAGCGGCGCGGGATGGGTTAGCGTTAGTGGCGTCGCGCGGGAGCCTCGGGGGCAGGTCGGGGTAATTGAGTGAGGATGGAGTGATCAGGCGGCGGACGAGTGCGGAGTGACACGTCGGGACTCGGCAGGTGCATCGATTTCCCACGATGCACCGCTGCAGGAGCCGGGAGGCGCCGCGAGAGAGACTCCGGCCACTCAGGAGTAAAAGCCCGCGGAGGTCAAAGGTCACGGGCGAGGACTTAGGAGACAAGGGAGGAGGAGGAAAGGAGCTACGGAAAACACGACTCGACTGTTTTGAATGTGCGAATAAAACACCAAGTCAAACACAAACCTGCACTAAAACTCTCACTCGTTTATGTTTCGTTTGTGCTGCAAAAAGTTTGATTTTCTTAAAATATTCACAGTTTTATTTTTGGTCGATGACGTCGTTCGGCCTCAAAACGACAGAAAACGATACAAGTGTTTGTGTTCGGTTTGTGTTGTTTCGTTTTGACGTAAACCAGTGACTAAACCAGGACTAACCAAGACTAAACCAGGTCTAAACCAGGACTAAACCAGGGACTAAACCAGACTAAACCAGGTCTAAACCAGGACTAAAACCAGGACTAAACCAGACTAAACCAGACTAAACCAGGTCTAAACCAGGACTAAACCAGGACTAACCAAGACTAAACCAGGTCTAAACCAGGACTAAACCAGGTCTAAACCAGGTCTAAACCAGGACTAAACCAGGACTAAACCAGGTCTAAACCAGGTCTAAACCAGGTCTAAACCAGGACTAAACCAGGACTAAACCAGGTCTAAACCAGGTCTAAACCAGGTTTAAACAAGGACTAAACCAGGACTGAACCAGGACTAAACGAGAACCAAACCAGGACTAATCTTGGACTAGAACTTGGAATCTAGTTCTGCCCCTGAGAGAACCCCGAGCCCGTGGAACAGGGTGTGATCGGGCGTCAGCTGCGTTTCGTCTCATGGAGTGTGGAGTTCTGCATCGGTCCTTTCACTCGTGGTCACCTGACGGTTTACATGGGCGCGTCTCCGGCGTTTCATCGCTGTTGATATCGCGCTGATTTTAGCGAAATTGTATGAAGAAAAACCCACCACTTCAGTCCAGGTTAAAAAAGCTTTTTGACGAGCAATACTCACATTTGTACACTGTAAAACATTACTTTTTAATTTTTCTCCCCTGTAACGCCACATTACGGCGTTACAGCAAAAAACTATGGATTACAATAAATTCTTACTTTTATAACGTGTTACTCCAAACACTGTGCGTGACTCCTTCATTTGTGTGAGTTTTTTTATACAATTATTCATTATTATTTTCATGTAAATTCTCTGAGGTCATGTCCGTTCAGCTGACGTCAGCGACTTTAACAAAACTCCACAAAACGAGTGAAGAGAAACGACCGGAGTCTGTGGAAAAGTCTGGATCAGTCTTCAGTTTTGCTGAAGCCGCTGACGTCAGCTGAGCGGAAATGACCTCATATCATTTCAACAAAAATAATAATTAAACACAAACATGAGACGTCTTCTGGTCGTGCAGGTCGTGTCTCTGTCGCGTCCGTCGGTCCAAGACCAGGTCTGGACTAAATGACGTGTGAATGACGTCCAGTATTTGGGCGTCAAACTCTGACCCACGTAGACGTAAATGTGCAGTGAAACATTTGAACTGCACCGATTTCACTAGTACTGTTTTCTAATCTTCACATAGTGGGTGTCATGTTTACATGGTGGGTGTCATGTTTACATAGTGGGTGTCATGTTTACATAGTGGGTGTCATGTTTACATAGTGGGTGTCATGTTTACATGGTGGGTGTCATGTTTACATGGTGGGTGTCATGTTTACATAGTGGGTGTCATGTTTACATGGTGGGTGTCATGTTTACATAGTGGTCATGTTTACATGGTGGGTGTCATTTACATGGTGGGTGTCATGTTTACATGGTGGGTGTCATGTTTACATGGTGGGTGTCATGTTTACATAGTGGGTGTCATGTTTACATGGTGGGTGTCATGTTTACATGGTGGGTGTCATGTTTACATGGTGGGTGTCATGTTTACATGGTGGGTGTCATGTTTACATGGTGGGTGTCATGTTTACATGGTGGGTGTCATGTTTACATAGTGGGTGTCATAGAGGGGTGCTCTACACTATTATGCACTTTTAAAATACTTTGCAGTTGTGTGATGTTCTAACATAATTTTGTTGTTATTTTATATGATGACGACAATAAAGGAATTGAACTGAATTTGAACCGTGGACTCGAGACTTTAGGACGTCATGTGGACATGTCATACGACGCAGGAGAATGACGTTATTAATGAATATAATCCTTTTTCTAATGACAAATATCAGCATAATAACAAATAACATTCATTCATTTTAATTTAGATTATTTGTGATTAAACATTCATTATTAATTATTTATTTATTGGAGCACGTGATATTTTGTTTTCTGTTTAATGAACTCATTTAGCTCTTTATGTTTATTTATTTATCTGGAAAATCCTTTTGTGGAAAATTATATCCCGTCCAGACACTTTATATCCCGTCCAGACACTTTATATCCCTTTATATCCCGTCCACACCGATGAGTTCAGTTGGTCGAGTGTTTGTTCATGGACCTGTTGTGTGCGTCGCCACAGGAAAAAAACAAACGTTCATCCTGGACGTCTGGTAAACGCTGGACAAAAGACGTGATCTGCTTCAGCGGACGAACAAAACTGATCCTAAAAAGACGTTTCAGTGTTTCTTTGTGCAGTGGGGAATAATTTAGTAAATAAACTCGCACAAATGAACAGTGTTGGGAAGTTTACTTTAAAAATGTAATCCCCTACAGATTACAGATTACACACACCAAAATGTAGTTTGTAACGTAATCCATAAAATTACTTAAAGTGAGTAATGTAATCTGATTACTTTGGATTACTTGATTTGTTGTAGAGAAACAAAGACGAGGAAATCGAAACATAAGAAGTTTTGTCTGATAAAAGAAAATAAAAAGTCCAGACTTTACTGAACCAAATTAAAAATATTATTGATAGAAGAAGAAGAAACACGTCCACACAGCAGGATTTAGTCCTGGTAAATCCTGGTTTAGACCTGGTCTAGACCTGGTTTAGATCTGGTTTAGACCTGGTTTAGACCTGGTTTAGACCTGGTTGAGACCTGGTTTTAGACCTGGTTTAGACCTGGTTTGAACCTGGTTTAGACCTGGTTTAGACCTGGTTTTAGACCTGGTTTGGACCTGGTTTAGACCTGGTTTAGACCTGGTTTAGACCTGGTTTAGACCTGGTTTTAGACCTGGTTTTAGACCTGGTTTAGACCTGGTTTAGACCTGGTTTAGACCTGGGTTTAGACCTGGTTTAGTGTCCGGCAATGAGTGGAATTACCAAAAAAAAAAAAAAAAGCCCCGAAATGTGAAAACAGGAAAATCCCTCTGTGTAATCCATTTATTTCAACAAAGTAACTGTAATCCAATTACCACTCACTGAAACAGTAACTGTAACTGAATACAGTTACTCATCATTTGTACTCTGATTACTCTGGTACTTGTAATCTGTTACTCCCCAACACTGCAAATGAAACAGTCGCACACGAAACGAAACACAAACGTTTGGATCATTTTCTGTCGTTTTGAGGCTGTTTCACTTTTTGAGGCTGGACGACGTCATCGAGCAAAAACAAAACCGTGAATATTTTAAAAACCAGAAACGAAACACAAACGACCGACGGAGTTTTTGTGTTTGTCGGGCGACTTCACCCGCGTCACTGCTCTGGTTCGTTCGTTTGTTTTTCGGTGAAGACTGGAGGATGTCGGTGGTTTTCTTTGCGTCGTGTATTTGATATTTCGAGGAGTGTTAGTTTTCCCAGCGGATGGCGTGAGCAGACGAGGCGAGGAGGCGTGGATGAGAACGAACGAACAAAGAAAGAAAGAGAGAGAAGCCATTTTTTTGTTTTGAATCTGGAGGTGAAGAGCAAAACTGGAGGAAGAGGAAGAGACTTTACCGGGTACTGCTCCTGTGGAGAGGCAGCCGCAAAAAAATATATGTACACCAAAAAAAGAAGAAGAAGAAGGAGAAGAAAAGAACACGACAATATACAGAGAGAAAGAGAAGAGAGAGAGAGAAAGAGAGAGAGACAAAGAGATAGGAGAGGAGAAAGAGAAGATAGAGAAAGACATAGAGAGAAAAAGAAGAGAGAGGGAGAAAGAGAGTGACACAAAGAGGGAGAGAGACAGAGAGAGAGAGACACAGACAGAGAGAAAGAGAAAAGAGAGAGGAGACAGAAGAGAGGGGGGCATAGAGAGAGGGGGATGAAAAGAGAGAGAGAGGAGAGGGAGAAAGAGAGCAGCAGAAAGAGTGAGAGAGACAGACAGAGACAGGAGAAAGAGAGAGAGAGAGAGAGGGGGAAGAAAGAGGGAGAGAGAGAGACAAACAGAGAGATAGGAGAGGAGAAAGAGAAGAGAGGGACAGAGAGAGTGAGACAGAAGAGAGAGGAGGAGACAGAGAGAGAGAGAGGAGAGAAGAAAGGTAAGAGAGAGAGAGCAGAGGGTGACATAGACAGAGAGAGAGAGAGATAGAGAGCAACAGAAAGAGGGAGAGATACAGAGAGGAGAGAGAGAAGAGAGAGAGAGAGAGAAGAGAGAGAGAGAAAGACAAGAGAGAGAACAGAGGATGACATACACAGACAGAGAGAGAGAGAGAAAGGAGAGAGAGGGAGAAAGAGAGCAACAGAAAGAGGGAGAGAGACAGAGAGGAGAAAGAAAAGAGAGATAGAGATAAAAGAGAAAGGAGAGAGAGAGCGACAGAGCGAGAAAGAGAGGACAGGAGAAAGAGAAGAGAGTGAGGCAGACATAGAGAGAAGAGAGAGAAAAAGGAGAGAGAAAAGGAGAGAGGAGAGAAGAGACAGACCAGGGAGAGAGATAAAGAAGAGAGAAAGAACGTGACAGAAAGGAGAAAGAAGAGAGAAGAGAGAGAGAGAAAGGAGAGAGAGGGAGAGAGACAGATAGAGAGAGAGGAGAGAAGAGAGAGACAAGGGAAAGAGATAAAGAAGAGAGAGAGAGATAAAGAGAGTGATAGAGCGAGGGAGGGAGGGAGACAGAGAGCGAGGAGAGGAGAAAGAGAAAAGAGAAGAGCAAGAGGAGGAAGAGGAGGAAGAGGAGGAAAGAGGAGGAGGAGGAGGAAGAGGAGGAGGAGGAAGAGGAGGAAGAGGAGGAGGAGGAAGAGGAGGAAGAGGAGGAAGAGGAGGAGGAAGAGGAGGAAGAGGAGGATGAGGAGGAGGAGGAGGAAGAGGAGGAAGAGGAGGACGACACATGTGGAGCAGACGGACAAACATCGACACAGAGAAAGTTGAACAAGAGAAAAGAGAGAAGGATGAGAGAGAAATGAACCAAACCTGAAGCACAAACATCTGAACTGACACCAGAGTATCCACCAGAGTACTCGAGTACAAAGTCAAGTTACTTCAAAATAATAAGTACTCAAGTAGAAGTACAAAGTAGAGTCAAGTCAGAGTCGTTACAGCTGAATCATAATCTGAAGTGAATTTAACAAAATCTAAAAAAAAAAAACTCTGGAGTTTTTAAAAAAGTTCAGACACAAAACTGAGACAAAGTGAATGAGACGAGAAGCAGCTGCAAGAAACACAAACGTGAGAATCATTTCATTTTGTCACACGGAGCTTCGGTCTCGTGAGTCTTCGTCGCAGAGACTCGTCGTGTCGATAGAAAGAATCGTCTTTTTACGAGTTCAGATATTTTCTTCATGCGTTTGTGATGAAAGTGACAGAAAATATCAACTGAAGGACGTTTTTCTGAAGTCTGTCGGGTGGTTCGTGAAATGAAGAGTGAAGCGACCGACGGTGGAGCGGCGTCGGCAGCCGGAGCGGGGGTGTGCGGGGGGCGGGGTCAGGGGTCAGGGGTCATGCCGTGGACAGGGCCAAAGAGTGAAAGGGTCAAAGGGTCAAAGGGTCAAAGGGAGGTGAGTTTGTCGATGTGGAAAATCTGGATGGAAACTCCTGGTACGAGATGAACTGTGAGTTTAATCTGGTTCCTCTAGACCCCAGCGCCTCACGCACACGAGCGCCTCACGCACACGAGCGCCTCACGCACACGAGCGCCTCACGCACACGACACACGAGCGCCTCACGCACACGACACACGAGCGCCTCACGCACACGAGCGCCTCACGCACACGAGCGCCTCACGCACACGAGCTCAGGTAAAGGGAGTGTTTCTCTGGTCCGTGACTGTTTCCTGCACATCAGTGTTCAGGATTTGCTGTTTCCGCGACGTCGTCAAACGGAGGATCACAGTTTGACAAAATCTTACAAATGCACAGGTGCAAAAATGATGTATTTAATAAATCCTGGGCGCAGATCAAATCAACGTTTCCAAACACGATAATACAAGTTCTACACTGCAGAGGATTCTTCATTAAAACCTTCTGCATAAATAAACACCGTCACGTGTCTCCATGACAACAGTACCTACGCCGCCATGACACCGGACACACTGTGTCACTGACTTCAGCAGCGTCGGAGAAACATGGGCAGGTTTTGTTGTGTATTTGGTTGTTCTAGACGCTCTGAACGGGATAAAATGAATCATTTCTTCACTGTTCCTCTGGAAATGACTCATCAGGATCAAACAAGGGAATTATCGAAAAAAAAAGACACAGATTATGTCTGGAGAACATAAACCACGAAGAGATTTCCAATGTTACCATTGGGTGTTCTGCTAATGGTGAGTCTGTTCTGTGTTCTGCGCAGATGGTTCATGTGAAACTTTTTAGAGATTATACGAGTGCAGATCATAGGTGTGCGGGTTTATACTCAGGATACTACGTAAACATGGCGCAGTGTCCCGGTTACTATCAGAACATCCCAGCTACAATATCCCAGTTTCTCTAAACCGGGACACAGAAGTCGGGATTCTCACTCAAAAACCCCGATCATCCCGAGACACTGATGTGCAGATGAACACACTCACTGTACCATAGCAAACTTAGGGATCTGATGGGTCATACCCCACTCCCCCACTCCCCCCCTTGGCCCCGCAGCATGCCCCCCCCCCCCCCATGCAGAAGGACAGAGAGAGAAGTACCTGCATCTCCAGAACCTCCACAACATTTAGTTCAGTTAAACCTGAGCTAGAGCAGCTCCTGGGCTGTTAAAGGGTTACAGGTGTCTGGGGCCGACTCACCCACACGGACTCGAAAGGGGGGGGGGGGGGGGGCAGCTCAACGGAGGAGGGGGAGGAGGGGGAGGAGGGGAGGAGGGGGAGGAGGGGGGAGGAGGGGGGAGGAGGGGGGAGACACAGACGCAGACCTCCACTGTGAAGACCCTTTGAGAGCGACGGGAGAATCCTCTGAAAACGTGTCAGAGAACAATGAGATTTTTGGCCCTTTTAGAGCCGATTTTTCACTGGGACTGTTTTCGAATCGGGTGGAGTTTTGTCTTAATCATGTGTCGTGTAACATGAGGTAAAAAGAGTCAATTACTTCCTCATGACGAGCTCCCAATCAGTAATCGTAGATCGCAAGAAAATCCAACCTGTTTGAACTGAGTCGCCTCGTGAGGGTTTCGCTCTGTTCGAGTCGTTCCACGAGCTGTGAACTTTTAAACCTTGAGATTTGGGCGTAGAGTTAAACGACTGAAAATATCGGACAGTGTACGTCCGGCTTTAGGGTGATCAGATTGTCAAAATCAAAAACTGGGACACTCAGTTTGTGTTCAGTCCATGTGTCATTCGTTCAATCGTGTTTCAAAATAAAACCAAAAATAAGAAAACGAAAAGAAAAAAAAAAAAAAACTTTTTTCTTCATTATTTGTCTCCAAAACAAAAATGAAAAAGCAGATAATGATTAGTTTTTTCAGTTTTCAATTTTGTGTTTAAATGAATAATGGGAAAAAAAGGATAACAACCGTTTCTCGTCTGAGCCTGGGACCAGACCGAGACCAGACCAGAACTAAGACCAGGATTGAGACAGGACCAGACTGGGACCAGACCAGGACAGACTAGTGTAGTCCTGGTTTAGTCCTGGTTTAGTCCTGGTTTAGTCCGTCATCTCAGTTTAAGTCACAGAAAAGGGAAACGGTTGTTATCCATTTTTTCCATTTTTCATTTAAACACAAAATTGAAAATAAATAAGTAAAAAAAAAAGTGTTCTACTTTTTCATTTTTGTTTTGGAGACAAATAATGAAGAAAAAAGTTTATTATTTTTGGTTTTATATTGAAAAACAAATGAACGAATAACACACGGATTGTGTTGTTGGTGATAATAATTAATAATAATAATTTAACAGTTCGGCCGCAATCAACTGAATAAAGTGCACAGAGCAAGTGTTTGGCTCCAGTCAAATGAAGCTCATCGAGTCTGTCAGCTACAGGAGCGAACTTGGAGTCGAGTTCCATGTTAAGAATTCCGACTGCGAGTATCACAGGGACCAAGAGCCAAAAATGAGCAGCTCATTGGTCTGTTTTCAATGTTCAGATCTTGATTTAGGGACAAAAATCGTGAAATAAAACTCCAGTATCGTACAGAGTTAAAACCAACTTTTTAAAATCCGGGGCCTGACAGCAGCAGTTACAGAGAGAGCGACAACGTGTTTTTTTTAAGAGAATCTGCGCTGGAGCTACAGTACGTCTAAGGAGTCCACAGAGGAGGTCTACGGCTGGTCTCGGGTCTGGACTGGATCAGGGGTGAACCCAGAGACAGGAGATGACTCAGGACCAGGACCAGGACCAGGACCAGGGACCGAGGAGGAGGGGGAGGAGGAGGGTTGAGACAAGATGAAGATAACTCTGAATGATGGCCGTGGGAATCGAGCTTTTCAGCAGAGTTCGGTGACGTCTGTGTCCATTTTCAGGGAGGACACTGTCCAAACCGACACTTTTGTAACGATTTTCTTTTGTAATTTTCACAACGTGAGCTGAAATCGACAACTGGTGAACGCGACGAGAAGATCTACTGTGAACGGATGGGAGAATGTCGGAAAAACCGGGAACATGTACACGATAAAACATATGAGCTTCCCCCGGGGTTGGCGCCGATCGTCAGGTCGGGAGGGACGCAGCCGGTCGCCGCGGTGATGTGTCTGCACGAACCGTAACCTAAACCCTGACTCAAAAGCTGCACTGTGGAACTTTTCTGGTGGAGAGTCGGTCAATTTTTTTTCATTTTTTTGTTTTTTTCATGGAGATCTTGTTGCTTTGTCTGGAATGTTTCACAGCGTGGCATTAAACCTTTCTGTCTTCACGGAGACCGAACCAGACTGAGTTACAGGTCAGATCTGTGGAGAGGCGACCCACTCACACACACATACACAAAAAAAGTAACACTGCGGAATATTCCAGGCGTAGCAACAAGCAGGTGACAGACGCCCGACCAAAAAATGACACAGTGCAGCTTTGATAAAATCCTAAACTTCTTAAACTTCATCACGTCGTTGGAGCGATCGCAGCTGGACCGTCCCTCCCGACCGGACGCTCGAGCGCTGAGCCCGTCGTAACCGTGACGATGGGTGAGAGTGACCGTGACGATGGCGATGTGGGAGGAGGGGGACTTACGTGAAGGCGAAGGCCACCAGAGCACCACTAACCACTATAAAGTCCAGGATGTTCCACAGGTCTCGGAAGTACGAGCCCTGGTGCAGGAACAGGCCCAGGACCACCATCTGGAAACACACACACACGGAAACGTGAAAAGAACAACGTCCGAAACACTGACGTCACGCCGGGGGTGCTCTACGTGTATGTCTGTTAGCGGCTTCTCCAGGAGTTACCGTGGCGACAAACATGACCAAACTCAGTCAAACAAAAAAAACTTTAAGATCATTTGAAAAGTCAAGAAAAAAAAAGATTAAGGGCGACTCACACGTGGACTTTAGAACCGTGCTGAGCTCAAGCAGGACTGTGTAAAGTTCTATGTTCCACACTCACACCTGCACATCTGAACCTCATGATGTCATCACACGGCACTGTTTGTTTACATTCACTTTTAGCAGAAAAAATATCTATTAGCAGCAGAAATATGTGTTAAATAGTGATGCTGATGTACGTCGTCTTATGATCTGTGCTCCTCTGTGAGTTTATGGAGATAAAAACAGAGCAGAGCAGTGAGGACAGGAGAAGAGACGCAGAGGAGCCCGGTCACGCACAAGTAAACAACAAGGACAAAAATCCAGTGAATTCATCTGATATAAAAGTGTATTGAACAGATACATATGTACTCTAGTTTATCAAACTGTTGACCTTTTTTCTGTTCCATTTTTGGTTCTAAAGTTCCATCTGTTTTAAACAGACCATGAATGAAACATGGAACAAAAATTATTTCCCAAATTTCAAAGACCCAAAAATCATGTAAATAAATGTTTGTATTTCATCATATCTTGTGTTATTCCATCTTTGAACTGTTGATGAAGGGAAAGGATTTAAAAAAAAAAAAAAGTATTTAAAATGATAAAAATGTTCTTGGAAGGACTGACATATTTTATAGAAATAGTTTATTTCATTTTGAAGTAATATTAAAGTTTTCAGAAGAAAAAAGCCACAAATGATGTAAAATCCTGCACCTTCTACTTGTTTGTACAATTTTCCCTCCGTTACTTTTCCCTCCGTTACCATGAACTTTTCTTAATAAAAAATCTCTTGAGTCAAAAAGTCAGAGGTTTTTCAACCTAATCTTGTACCATATGGTAGAAAACTATATGAAGCAAATATTCAAACCAGTTTGTTAAGGATATGGAAGTGAGAACCAAGAGTTATCACTGTTTGGATTTATTGAACTAAAAGTGCTGCATATTTCATTCCCTCCGTTACCAAACATGAGTTTTTTTACATTTTTTTGTCTTGAACTTGAAAGAATATCACAGGTTTAACTTGACCCTGTTGGAGTGTAACTCTTTCCTACATTCTGATACTTTACTTATTTCAATAGTTCCTCTAGTTTCTGAATAAGAGACATTTGAATGTCAAAAATCTGACCCTGTTTCCTCCATTACTGCTTGACCGAACCCATATATATTTATTAAAGACAATAGAATATAACATTAAACAAAATAAGTAATTAACAAAGAGTAATAAACAAAGAAAAACAGACACAAAAACATAAAACTAACTTTTTAAAATAAAAAAAAGTTTCTGAAGAAGCGCTTCCTGGACGTTGATCCAACTCAACATTTCTCTTTGGGAAGTCAGTAAAAAGATGCAAAAAAAACCCCCAAAACACTCACTGTTTAAAATAAAATGCCTTTATTAATTTACGTCATGTCTTAATGGACAAACTTACAAAGTCCCAACACATTTCGGCCTCTGGCTTTCCTCAGGTCACAGACCGTCCCCTGAGTCGGGACGTAAATGAATAAAGGCATTTTATTTTAACCGTCCTCCCCTCACTCGTGAACAAGACCCCGAGATACTTGAACTCCTCCACTTGAGGCAGCGTCTGCAGTGATGCGGTCGCTGTATCGTTGTGGTGAAGAGGAGCTGAGTCGAAAGGTGAAGCTCTCGATTTACCGGTCAGTCTTCGTTCCTACTCTCACCTCTGGTCATGAGCTCTGGGTAGTGACCCAAAAGGACGAGATCACGGATACAAGCGCTCGAAATGAGTTTCCTCCGCAGGGTGGCTGGGCGTCTCCCTTAGAGACAGAGTGAGGAGCTCAGTCACACGGGAGGAGCTCGGAGTAGAGCCGCTGCTCCTCCACGTGGAGAGGAGCCAGTTGAGGCTCGGGCATCTGTTCTGATGTCTCCTGGACGTCTCCCTTGGGAGGTGTTCCGGACATGTCCCACCGGGAGGGTGGGTGTCTCTGGGCTGGCCTGGGAACACCTTGGGGTCCCCCTGGAAGAGCTGGAGGAAGTGTCTGGGGTGAAGGAAGTCTGGGAGTCCCTGCTTAGACTGATGCCCCCGCGGCCGGCCCCAGATAAGTGGAAGAAAATGGATGGATGGATTTTATTTTAACCAGTGAGTGCCTTGGGTTTTTTGCAAACTTTTTAAAAAATGTTATTATTTATTTATTTATTTTTTGGTTTGGGAGTTTGGTTTTCAACAAAAAGGTCCAAAAAGGTGTGAGTGACTATCTGAAAAACTCACAACATACATCAGATCATCTGTTGGAGTTCAGATAAGTCAGATCTTTCTGCTCAGATTGTGCTAAAATAAAACTCAGATTAAAGTCTGACTTTGAGTAACAGAGGTTCAGACAGAGCAGTGCTTTCAGTTAGCGTCACACCCCCAGAGAACACTGATGACGTCATCTTCAAAATAATATAACACAGAGACAAAGAGGAGACAGAGACAGAGCGTGAGTTTTACCTTGATGAGCATTTCAAACGTGAACACTCCTGTGAAGACGTAGTCAAAATATCGGAGAACCTGGAACACACAGAGCGGCACGTTCACATGTTCTGTTCACATGTTCATGTTCTGTTCACATGTTCTGTTCACATGTTCTGTTCACATGTTCTGTTCTCTTGAGCTTGGGGTTCGGGTAAAAAACATCTCCACCTCGAGGAACTGCAATGGAACGGCCGATCACATCAAGGTTCAGAAACACAAACTCGGTCTGGTTCAGCGCAGATCGAGTCGGTTGGATTTAGGTCACGTCAAAAAAATTAGGCGCCACAGGAAACGGAGCGAAGTATGTTTTTGTCATTTTATGTGTTCAGTCGTGTTTGTGTAGAGAAAGAGTCTCTAAAAACATTGTAGTCACGTTTAGACTTTCTTTCACATCATTTCACAGTAATACAAGTTTTTTTTTCTTTTTTTTTTTTTGTGGCACACGTTTACGGAAGCCGAGAGGGTCACAACAAACCCAAACAAAACAAACAACAAAAACCCACAACACACCAAAAAATGTCACAATGGAAATGACCGTGGGACTCTATTTTAATGCAAAAGCCACAACACATTAAAAATCCACAACAGAAGTGACCGATCGAGCGGCAAGTGAAGAAGAAGAACTACAACGTGAAACGAATAACGATAAAACGATAAATTACTTTTAGTTACATTTCCAACATTTCCGTTCCTTTACTTTTCACGTTGTAGTTCTTCTCTTGCCGCTTGATCGGTCCGTCGGAAAATAGAGTCCCCGCGGTCACTTCCGTTGTGGCTTTTTGTTGTGTTGTCGCATTTGTATTTGTTGCGGCGTTTGTGTTTGCTGTGACCCTCTCGGCTTCTGTACATAGGAGATCGGCCGTGAATGAAGGACACATACGAGCATCCTTCACTGCCTCTGATATCCCATCATGCACCACGTGGAACCAGTCAGATGTTTGAAAACACGAAACAAAAAACAGAGCGAAAAGCCCGTCTGGAGAAAGGAGAAAACATGTGACGACACGCTTTAACTTTAGGAAATCATTACTTACACAAGTGTAAACGTAAAATACGACTGTCAAGTAAGTTTGTTTTTAACTGCGTGAACCTCGGCGCTTTGGGCTAAAAGTCTGACTAATAATCTGCAGCCAACGTGATGAAAAGTCCGCTCAGACTTTCATGTTTGAACAGATTTCCATCAAACACTAATCATGTTTTTACTGTTAGGGGACAAGACGCCCACGGAGGGATTTAATGAATCTACGAGGAGGAAACGAGCAGTTTTCACGGACATTGGATTAAACACGTGAACACTCTGCGAGTGTCGCTCTGAGGTTAAATAAAAACACGGATTATATCATGTATTAAACTTAAAAGACACATTCTGACTATATCGAAGTTTATATTTACTTATAGTCAGTTTGTGTTGTGTGTCTTTGTGTGCGTCTGTCTTTGTGTTTGTGTTAGAGATGCGCGGATGAGTTATTTTTTCATCCGCAACCGTGACACAAAACTCATCGTCCGCCCGCTGTCCATTTGCACCCAAGGTTTTGACTCGCCCGCCATCCGCCCACTGATTTTAGATTTTAGATGATACAGCAAACAAACTAAGGAGCCTTGATAAAAATGTAAACTCTACAGCTCATTCATTCCAAACATTCACTCAACGTGCATGTTCACATTCTTAATCGTCCGTAACAAAACGTCGCTTGTTGCTCAGGGTTTAACTCCGCGTGGGATCAATAAACGCGCCAGTTCGTTGTTCAAGAATCGTGGTTTTATTTGCCGTGATGCACTAAATAACAGGACAGTTGCTTCCTGACTCGCTTCAGTCGCCTTCCGACCGTTCAGTTCACATACAGTAAAACACTGACACCCGTACGCTCCACGGGCCCATTCAAGAAGCACGTCCCTCGGGGCGGTGCCTTGGGGCGGTGCACGCAGACACTCAGTCCTGCTCACGCCGCACGCCGCACGCCGCACGCCGCACGCCGCACGCCGCACGCCGCTCTAAACACTGCACATAGGAGTAAAGACGCAGATCTCATAACACTTAACAATACAGGCTGTAATATAGATATATATATATATATATATATATATATATATATATATATATATATATATATATATATATATATATATGTATATATATTTTAATTTGAGTAGTTAAACCTCCACCCGCCCAAATTTAATTAAAATATTATTTTTCGTCACATCATCCGCCCGACCCGCGTTTACAGCCGCTGACACCGCGGCTGTAAACGCAGTCTGCGCATCTCTAGTTTGTGTGTGTTGTGTGTCGTGTTGTGTGTGTTGTGTGTTATGTGTGTTGTGTGTGTGTTGTGTGTGTGTGTGTTGTGTGTGTCGTGTTGTGTGTTGTGTGTCGTGTGTGTGTCGTGTGTGTGTGTGTGTGTGTGTCGTGTGTGTGTGTCGTGTTGTGTGTGTCGTGTGTCGTGTGTGTGTGTGTTGTGTGTGTCGTGTTGTGTGTCGTGTTGTGTGTGTCGTGTTGTGTCGTGTCGTGTTGTGTGTCGTGTTGTGTGGCGTGTGTGTTGTGTGTGTTGTGTGTCGTGTTGTGTGTCGTGTTGTGTCGTGTTGCGTGTCGTGTTGTGTGTCGTGTTGTGTGTGTGTGTGTCGTGTGTGTGTGTGTGTGTGTGTGTGTGTGTTGTGTGTGTGTGTGTGTGTGTCGTGTGTGTGTGTGTGTGTGTGTCGTGTGTGTGTGTGTGTCGTGTTGTGTGTGTGTGTGTCGTGTTGTGTGTGTGTGTGTCGTGTTGTGTGTTTGTGTGTCGTGTTGTGTGTGTGTGTGTGTGTGTCGTGTTGTGTGTCGTGTTGTGTGTTTGTGTGTCGTGTGTGTGTGTGTGTCGTGTTGTGTGTCGTGTTGTGTGTGTCGTGTTGTGTGTGTCGTGTGTGTGTGTGTCGTGTGTGTGTGTGTGTGTGTGTGTGTGTGTGTGTGTGTCGTGTTGTGTGTCGTGTTGTGTGTGTGTGTCGTGTGTGTGTGTGTTGTGTGTGTGTGTGTGTGTGTCGTTGTGTGTGTGTGTTGTGTGTGTGTCGTGTTGTGTGTGTGTGTGTTGTGTTGTGTGTGTCGTGTGTGTGTGTGTTGTGTGTTGTCGTGTGTGTGTTGTGTGTGTGTGTGTGTGTGTCGTGTGTGTTGTGTGTGTGTTGTGTGTGTGTTGTTGTGTGTCGTGTTGTGTGTGTCTGTGTGTGTGTGTGTGTGTGTGTGTGTGTGTGTGTGTTGTGTGTGTGTGTGTGTGTGTGTGTGTGTGTGTCGTGTGTGTCGTGTTGTGTGTCGTGTGTGTGTGTCGTGTTGTGTGTCGTGTTGTGTGTGTGTGTGTGTGTGTCGTTGTTGTGTGTGTGTGTGTGTGTCGTGTGTGTTGTGTGTGTGTGTGTTGTGTGTCGTGTGTGTGTGTGTCGTTGTGTGTGTTGTGTGTGTTGTGTGTGTCGTGTTGTGTGTTGTGTGTGTCGTGTTGTGTGTCGTGTTGTGTGTGTGTGTCGTGTGTGTGTGTGTCGTGTGTGTGTGTGTGTCGTGTGTGTCGTGTGTGTTGTGTGTGTTGTGTGTCGTGTTGTGTGTCGTGTTGTGTTGTTGTGTGTCGTGTTGTGTGTGTCGTGTTGTGTGTCATGTGTCGTGTTGTGTGTCGTGTTGTGTGTGTTGTGTGTCGTGTCGTGTGGCGTGTTGTGTTGTGTGTCGTGTTGTGTGTCGTGTTGTGTGTGTTGTGTGTGTCGTGTTGTGTGTCGTGTGTTGTGTGTCGTGTTGTGTGTTTGTTTGTGTGTCGTGTCGTGTTGTGTGTGTTGTGTGTCGTGTTGTGTGTGGCGTGTTGTGTGTCGTGTTGTGTGTGTCGTGTGTGTGTGTCGTGTGTGTGTTGTGTGTGTGTGTGTGTGTGTGTGTGTGTGTGTGTGTGTGTGTGTGTGTGTGTGTGTTGTGTGTCGTGTGTGTCGTGTTGTGTCGTGTGTGTGTGTGTCGTGTGTGTGTCGTGTGTGTGTGTGTGTGTGTGTGTGTTTGTGTGTCGTGTGTGTGTGTGTCGTGTTGTGTGTTTTGTGTTGTGTGTCGTGTTGTGTGTGTGTGTGTCGTGTTGTGTGTGTGTGTGTCGTGTTGTGTGTGTGTGTCGTGTTGTGTGTTTGTGTGTCGTGTTGTGTGTTTGTGTGTCGTGTTGTGTGTGTGTGTGTCGTGTTGTGTGTCGTGTGTGTTGTGTGTGTCGTGTTGTGTGTCATGTGTCGTGTGTGTTGTGTGTTGTGTGGCGTGTGCGTCCTCACGTTGTTCCTGGGCGAGTCGGGCCACACCGGGTCCTCTGCTGCCAGGGCGATGCTGCTCATGGCGATCACAGACAGAATACTGAACTCAAAGTACTTCAGAGTCAAGATGTAGTGACAACATCTACGGAACCTACACAAAACACACACAAAACACACAAAACACACACAAAACACACACAAAATACACACAACAGCACTGTGAAGTAGCAGCAGTAGTAATAGTAGTAGTAGTAGTAGTAGTAGTAGTAGTATTAGCAGTAGTAGTAGTCGTAGAAGTAGTAGCATCTGTAGTAATAGTAGTAGTAGTAGTAGAGATAGTAGTAGTAGTAGTAGTAGTAGTAGTAGTAGTAGTAGTAGTATCTGTAGTAGCAGCAGTAGTAGTAGTAGTAGTATATCTGTAGTAGTATCTTTAGTAGTAGTAGTATAGATAGTAGTAATAGCAGCAGTAGTAGTAGTAGTAGTATCTGTAGTAGTATAGTAGTAGTAGTAGTAGTAGTAGTAGTAGTAGTAGTAGTAGTAGTAGTAGTAGTAGTAGTAGTAGTAGTAGTAGTAGTAGTAGTAGTAGTAGTAGTAGTAGTAGTAGTAGTAGTAGTAGTAGTAGTAGTAGTAGTAGTAGTAGTAGTAGTAGTAGTAGTAGTAGTAGTAGTAGTAGTAGTAGTAGTAGTAGTAGTAGTAGTAGTAGTAGTAGTAGTAGTAGTAGTAGTAGTAGTAGTAGTAGTAGTAGTAGTAGTAGTAGTAGTAGTATAGATAGTAGTAGTAGTAGTAGTAGTAGTAGTAGTAGTAGTAGTAGTAGTAGTAGTAGTAGTAGTAGTAGTAGTAGTAGTAGTAGTAGTAGTAGTAGTAGTAGTAGTAGTAGTAGTAGTAGTAGTAGTAGTAGTAGTAGTAGTAGTAGTAGTAGTAGTAGTAGTATCTGTAGTAGTAGTAGTATAGTAGTAGTAGTAGTAGTAGTAGTAGTATAGATAGTAGTAGTAGTAGTAGTAGTAGTAGTAGTAGTAGTAGTAGTAGTAGTAGTAGTAGTAGTAGTAGTAGTAGTAGTAGTAGTAGTAGTAGTAGTAGTAGTAGTAGTAGTAGTAGTAGTAGTAGTAGTAGTAGTAGTAGTAGTAGTAGTAGTAGTAGTAGTAGTAGTAGTAGTAGTAGTAGTAGTAGTAGTAGTAGTAGTAGTAGTAGTAGTAGTAGTAGTAGTAGTAGTAGTATATAGTATATAGTAGTAGTATTCTTCTTACGGGTTGGTGGTGGACATGATGAAGCAGGAGCTGTATGGAGGGATTCGTTTCATTCCTTCTCCGTCGTCTCCTTCGTCTTCTTCTTCTTTCTCCTCAGGTTTCTTCTGGTCGGTGTTTGCGTTTTTATTCACTGCAGAAAAAAAAAACAGGTTCAGTTTCATCAACCTAAAAACCTCCACAGAGCGAACACAGAAAAGGACCGAGAGCGACGCCACCACAGCGTTCGGCTCCAGTCAAACGAAGCTCACTGAGGCCATGGGGTGAATTTGAGTTCAGTATTACGGAATAAACCCCAGGATCATGTAAAGTGCGTTAATATGAACATTTAATCATATTGTTTATCACATTGCGAACAATCAAACTGCAAGTGGAGATATCTGCAGCAGAAAACGGTAATCGAGCAGCAGGAAGAAAGTTTGGAGTGAGAGGGAAACTTGTGGATGACTGGCGGAAAGCAGAGGAAACTCGAACTGGAACGAAGAAAACAAAACAGCTCATGGCGGGTTAAAAGACGGATTGAGCTGGATGGGTTGGAGATAGAACCCTGCGTAAAACAGTGAGGCGCGGGACACATTTTGAAAGCTCATTGTGGGAGCGGGCGGGAATCGAGTCCAGCCTTAAAGGTTGTATAGAGGATTTTTTTTAAGGGAAGAGAAATACAGCGACAGTCCTTGTGCGCGTTCAGAATCACTGTTGAAGTTTCCTGTCTAGAAGTAATTCAGCGACCGACGCGTCAGTTTTTAGACCCTTCGTCTGCTTCGGTCGCGCCATCGCTGGACGAGATCTCCAAGAATCACCTCAGTTTGGCTTCGCTCCTTTTCCTCTTCTCTTCTTCTTTCAGCGACCTCAAAAACGGACTTTCTTTTGCGGTGAACCGGTCGTGGATTCTCGTCCGCCGTCGCGACAAACTTTGTGCGAAATGCGAGGAAGCGACAGTTCGAAAAAGCCTCTAAGAACCGCTGCGTAAACCACGTAATCCCCGCGCTCCGACGAGTCAGTTACACCAGGGAGTTTGATTGACAACCTAACAGCCAATAGAAAATGAGGGAGCCTCGTTTTCTATTGGCTGATGTTTATCTGGCCTCAACACGTCCACAGTTGATAGATTTTTCGTTCTTTTTTTTTTGGTCATCATAATTACAAAGCTGCTGCGTCTCTGTAATGGTATTTTAATCTTTCACTGACAGTTTGAAGCAAAAAAAAATCCTCCATACAACCTTTAATACATATTTTTACATTTTAGACTTACACAAACTTTATTGATCCACAAGCAGCTCACAAATCACAATATAATATAATAACTAGGGGTGTAAGAAAATCATTTCAGTGATATATCCTGATACTTTATTTCACAATTCTCGAATCGATTCAAAATGCATCTGAATCAATTTAGAAAATATTTTTCACAAAAAAAATCATTATTTACATTCATTGTTCTGACGATTTAAACATTTTTATATGTTATATTTCATACAAGTGTGGTGAAGGTGCAGTTGACTCTGTTAATCGAGGTAATTATTGATAAATCGCAATATATCATCCTATGTTTTAGTACTGGGATATATCGGTATACATCCCTGTACTAAATATATATACTAATATGACTGGTGTGATTCCAGCTCCCACAGATGAATGCTGTCGTTTTGTCCTTGGGCAAGACACTTAACCCACCTTGCCCACAGTGTCTGTGTGCACTGGTGTGTGAACGTGTGTGTGGTTCCTTGTTGTAAAAGCTTTGAGTGGAAAAGCTCTATAGTGACATGACATGGATATCACGATATGTATTGTATCGTCAGACTCGAGGCAATGCACTCCCCTAATAATGACAAAGAGGGGTCTGAGTCAGGTCCGTCTCGGGTCCGTCTCGGGTCCGTGTCAGGTCTGTCTCTGAGTGTCTCGGGTCTGTCTCGGGTCCGTCTCGGGTCTGTCTCGGGTCTGTCTCGGGTCTGTCTCGGGTCCGTCTCAGGTCCGATTGGGTCCGTCTCGAGTCCGTCTCGGGTCTGATTTGGGTCCGTGTCTGGTCTGTCTCTGGTCTGTCTCAGGTCCATCTCGGGTTCATCTCGAGTCTGTCTTGGGTCCATCTTGGGTCTGTCTCGGGTCTGTCTTGAGTCTGTCTCTGGTCCGTCTCAGGTCGGTCTCTGGTCTGTCTCAAGTCTGTCTCGGGTCTGTCTCGGGTCTGTGTTATGTCTGTCTCAGGTCCGTCTCGGGTCTGTCTCCAGTCCGTCTTGGGTCCGTCTCGGGCCTGTCTCAGATCCATCCCGGATCAGTCTCGGGTCCATCTCGGCTCTGTCCTAGGTCCGTCTCGGGTCTGTCTCGGGTCCGTCTCAGGTCCGTCTCGGGTCTGTCTCCAGTCCGTCTTGGGTCTGTCTCAGGTCTGTCTCGGGTCCGTCTCCGGTCCGTCTCCGGTCCGTCTCGGGTCCGTCTCCGGTCCGTCTCCGGTCCGTCTCGGGTCCGTCTCCGGTCTGTCCTGGGTCCGTCTCCGGTCCGTCTCGGGTCTGTCTCCGGTCCGTCTCCGGTCCGTCTCCGGTCCATCTCCGGTCCGTCCTGGGTCCGTCTCCGGTCTGTCCTGGGTCCGTCTCGGGTCTGTCTCTGGTCCGTCTCTGGTGAGTCTCGGGTCCATCTCGGGTCCGTCTCCAGTCCGTCTGTGGTCTGTCTTGGGTCCGTCTCGGGTCCGTCTCCGGTCCGTCTCGGGGTCTCGGGTCTGTCTCGGGTCCGTCCTGGGTCTCCGGTCCGTCTCCGGTCCGTCTCCGGTCCGTCTCAGGTCCGTCTCGGGTCCGTCTCCGGTCTGTCTTGGCTCCATCTCAGCTCCAGTCGGGTCTTACCTTGCAGGATGGCGTTGGTGGAGGGGTAGGGGTAGACGGGCGGCATGTCGATGGTGGTGTAGTCGGGTTTGGCCAGGCTGGTGAGGATCAGACTGTCCATGCTGTGGAGGAGGGTGTGGGTGTCGGAGTCGCAGGTGTTCAGCAGGTTGTTGACGTGGTCGGGGTGGTCCGGGTGGTCCGGGGGCAGCGTGTACGGCAGCTCGCACAGTTTGCTGTTGTTCCTCAGATTGTCCAGGGACTCGTTGTACTGCTGGATGGGGCGGGTGGTGGACAGACTGGGGCCCAGGCTGTGGTGCTCTCTGTGGGGGGCACAGACGGACACAGGGTTAGAGACGCTCCCACCCCCCAAATTACACCAGAGCAACAGCAGCACGCAGGTATTACAACATTTTTCATCCCGGTCGAGACAAGTGTGAGTCCATGTGCACAGTTTACAAAGCAGCACAGATGTGTCGGTGTCCAGTGTAGCGACGGGCATTTGATTACATTTTCTTAATCGATCGTCGGGAGAATTAATGATAAATTAATCATGAACGTTTTTATATTAAAATGATCATCATTATTATTACTATCTGCACTAATCTGCATCAATAAATTCAACTTTACGACATATAAACATAACGACTCTAGATCCACATCAGCTGTTTGACATTATAATGTGTTTAATTCAGTTTTGTTCAAATCTCACAGAAACAAAACTTAAAACCACATCACTAATTTACATAAACTAAGTGAAGATAAAACTCCAGCTCTTGTGTCGCTGATGTGGTTCAACTTGTGTTGGATTAAAAGACATGACTCAGGTGAATACAGGTCAGTGTGACCAGATTTGTGTTTGTCAAAACCAGGACAGCGTACGGGGGGAGGGGGGCGGGGCCTCGTCATCCACATTGAGCGACTCTCACCTGGAAAAACTTTTTCCCACTGGACACAGAAACATATGTGCTGCTTTTATCCACTGTGCACATGGACTCACACTTGTCCCAACGCAACGGAAAGTGTGGAATTTCTTCTACAAATCCTGGTTAAATCCACATTTGTGCTTCGGTTCGTTACAGACTGACCCACTGTTTGTGTCTCGCTCCTTCTGATGCAGAGACACATGTACACACCTGTTTGGTCACGACACACACACATACATTCAGTTTGTCCATTAAAATGAACGGAATCGATAAAATTCTTAATGATCAATTATCGATTAATCGACTAATCATGCCCATGCGTAGTTCAGTGGGGGAATCAAGGACCTCAAAGCACCAGGACACTGAAAAACATGAAAAAGTTTTTCCAGGTGAGAGTCGCTCAATGTGGATGACGAGGCCCCGCCCCCCTCCCCCCGTACGCTGTCCTGGTTTTGACAAACACAAATCTGGTCACACTGACCTGTATTCACCTGAGTCATGTCTTTTAATCCAACACAAGTTGAACCACATCAGCGACACAAGAGCTGGAGTTTTATCTTCACTTAGTTTATGTAAATTAGTGATGTGGTTTTAAGTTTTGTTTCTGTGAGATTTGAACAAAACTGAATTAAACACATTATAATGTCAAACAGCTGATGTGGATCTAGAGTCGTTATGTTTATATGTCGTAAAGTTGAATTTATTGATGCAGATTAGTGCAGATAGTAATAATAATGATGATCATTTTAATATAAAAACATTCATGATTAATTGATAATTGATTGTTAATTCTTCCGCCGATCGATTAAGAAAATTTCATCAAATGCCCGTCGCTACAGGAAACAGACTCTAGTTTTGATCTTTACGTTTGTCTAAAGTTTAGTTGTTGTTGTTGTTGTTATTGTTGTTGTTGTTGTGTTGTTGTTGCGTTGTCATTGTCGTTGTCATTATCGTTGTCGTTATCGTTGTTGTCGTATGTTATCGTTGTCGTTATCGTTGTCGTTATCGTTATTGTTGTTTTGGTGTTGTTGTTGTGATGTTGTTGTTGTTGTCGTGTGGTGTTGTTGCGTTATCGTTTTCGTTGTCGTTATCGTTGTTGTGTTGTCGTCGTTGTCGTCGTGTGGTGTTGTTGTCGTGTGGTGTCGTTATCGTTGTCGTTATCGTTGTCGTTGTCGTCGTGTGTTGTTCGGTCTCACCTCTTGCGGTGTCTGTGTCTCCGTCCCCTCCGTCCTTCTCTCTCTCCGTCCTTGTCCCCGTCTCCGTCTCCGCACGTGGACCGGTGTCTCCTGCTGCCGTCCTCCGGGTCTCTGGACCTGCGGTGCTGTCGGGAGCGTCTGTGCTCGTGCTGCCCGTCTCTGGGCACCTCGCTGTGGGGGGAGACGCTCCGGGCCTCCCTGCCCTCGCGGTTCTTGTGCCTGCGTCCACAGGGGGGCAGCACTGAGTTATATTTGTCATTTTTTCAACAGATTAATCAAAACTGGACACAGGACAGAGCAGAACCTTTCCTGAATGTGTTTAGAACGACCTGGAGCTGGATCAGAACAAGTACAAGAGCAAACACCGTAAAATACTAAATAATCTCAGGGGGTTTGTTTGTTTCAATCATATAACAGACCAGGCTTTTATTTGAGACCAGGCGGCAGTTTGGGGCAGGACAGGAGTGTCAAACTCATTTATTTTTTTGCATATATATTTATTGCCTTTTAGTTTAAACAAAATAATCAACAAAATAATAATATAAGCAATACAAGCAAAATTAAACAAAACAAACAAACAAACCTTGGCCCGTTCATATATTAGACACAGATACAGTCATTTCAAAATGCACTGAACTAAACAGACAAGCTCAGCTCAGAGCACACGGCTCGTCCGGTCCAGAGCCGGAGCCGCGGCTCGCGGAGGCTCAGGCACAGAAAAAAAGTGAAATAAAGTGCTCGCGGTGAACTTTTTCAAAATAAAAGCCAGTGAGAAACAGACGTTTACAATAAAATAAATAAATAAATAAATAATAAAAACAGTGTTAAAGGTGTTAAAATAATTGTCGGTGGTAATGACTTAATTAGTTTATGCAAAATGAATGTGTTAATGTGCCCGACCCTCATTTAGACCGAACAGGAAACAGTAAAAAACTGGAAAAAGTGTGATGTTCTAAAACTTCTGACCTTCTGACTTTTGAAACTTTTTTTTAAACTTGAAATCCTAAACTCTTCGCCCGTCCCCGTCCCGTGTGCCCACCTCTGCCGGTGGCAGTGATGCCCGCGGTGGCCCTGAGGCTCCTCGCCGACGTCGGCGTGCGGCAGCGACGAGCAGCTGAGGCCGCGCCCGACGCCGGTGCCCGCGTCCGGGGCCGGGTCGGCGCCGGGTCTGGGGTGGTGGTGGTGGTGGTGATGATGGTGGTGGTGGTGGTGGTGAGATGAAGGACCTGCACGTCTCTGGTGCTCCAGGTCCTGGTGCCTGTACTCCTGCTCCAGAGGAACCTCCCCGGGCGCCGTCTTGTTCGTGTTGTTGTTACGGTTGTCCTGCACAAATACAGTCGGGTTAGATCAGGTCCAGTCAGGTCAGATCAGGTCCAGTTTGGTCAGATCAGGTCCAGTCAGGTCAGATCAGGTCCAGTCAGGTCAGATCAGGTCCGGTTTGGTCAGATCAGGTCCAGTTTGGTCAGATCAGGTCCAGTCAGGTCAGATCAGGTCCAGTTTGGTCAGATCAGGTCCAGTCAGGTCAGATCAGGTCCAGTCAGGTCAGATCAGGTCCGGTTTGAAACATAAATTATTGGAAAACCAAATGAACCTCACTGGACTAAACTCGCCTTTTCATGATGCAGCAAGAGCGAAAAAACAGAGGGAACTGTATAAATCTGAGTGTCGTTCGTTCATTCGTTTTTCAAAATAAAACCAAAAATAAGAAAATAAAAACAACAACAACAACAATGATTTTCTTCATTATTTGTCTCCAAAACCAAAATGAAAAAACAGATAAAGATTTGTTTTTTTCAGTTTTCAATTTTGTGTTTAAATGAAGAATTAAAAAAAAACATATAACGGTTTACGTGATTTCAGTGACTGTGATATCGGACTTTTGCACCGCATACGGACTCAACCAGGACTGATCCAGGTCCGGGACCAGACTATGACCAGACTAGGACCAGACCAGGACCAGACCGGAGGCTCAGAGCCCACGGCAGGGCCAGAGCTCGAAGTTGAGGCTTGGACCCTGCGGAGGCTCGAAGTTAAAGCTCGGAGTTAAAGCTCTGGTCCTGATCTGGTCCCGGACCTGGATCAGTCCTGGTTCAGTCCGACATCTCAGTCACTGAAGTCACGTAAACGGGAAACGGTCGTTATCTGTTTTTTTTCCATTTTTCATTTAAACACAAAATCAAAAACTGAAAAAACAAATAATTATCTGTTTTTTCATTTTGGTTTTGGAGACAAATAATGAAGAAAACAGTTGTTTTTTCGTTTTCTTCTTTTTGGTTTTATATTGAAAAACAAATGAACGAACGACACTCGGATTCTCGTAGCTCAGGTTTTTTGGTGAATTCGGCGCGACTGTCACAGAAGAAGTTTAGGAACGTTTTGTGAATCTGGTGCAGAGTCTCAGCGTCTTCTTAGAGTGAAAGTTACAAACATTTTTTTTAAAGAAACGAAGCCCAGGAGCTGAAACAGAAATAAACTGGAGAGTGGGCGGTGCTTACCTGCGGGTTGACCACGAGGGGGCGGTCCAGGTGAGTTTTCATGTCTCCTTTTCGTGGGTAGGACACCTGGACGGGTTTAAGTTTATATTCACAGAGTTAATAAAACCAAATGATCTCTGAACTGTGAAGCCAGAACAGACCTAAGTCCACAAGCACGAGTTTTTAACCGAGATAAAAACACAAAAACAGTTAAATATATGAAGGTGATTGACAGTCTGTGTGTTGTTCATTTATTCAAAATAAAACCAAAAATAAGAAAACGAAAAAATATTATTCATTATTTGTCTCCAAAACCAAAATGAAAAAAAAAAAAAAAAAAAAAAAAAACAGATAACAGACTAAACCCGGACTGAACCTGGACTGAACCAGAAGTAAACCAGGACTGAACCAGAATTAAAAACCAGGACTGAACCAGGTCTAAACTGGTCTCAGCCCTGGTCCCGGTCTCAGTCTAGTCTCAGTTCTAGTCTGGTCCCAGTCTCAGTCCCGGTCTCAGTCCCGGCCTCAGTCCCGGTCTCAGTCCTGGTCTGGTCCCGGCCTCAGTCCCAGTCTCAGTCCCGGCCTCAGTCCCGGCCTCAGTCCTGTTTCAGTCCGTTATCCGTTTTTTCCATTTTTCATTTAAACAAAATCAAATTTTTTTTGTTTGTTTTCTTATTTTTGGTTTTATTTTGAAAAACGAATGAACGAACGACACACAGATTTAGTTTTATTGACCTTGACTTGGTCTAAACTTCAGCTTCCGAGCTCAGGACACGAAACAGAAAAACAAAACCAATGCATCTGGACACAGCTCAGACTTTTTACCACATGTTTCTGTTCAGAGTCTGTGTGGACAATATCTGTGTATCTGGGTTTTTATTCATCTGAAACTTAAATAAATGAATAAATGGTTTAGTCCTGGTTTAGACCTGGTTTAGTCCTGGTTTAGTCCTGGTTTAGACCTGGTTAAACCTGTTTTTTAGAAAAGGTCAGAATCCGGGTGCTTTCCTTCCGCAGACGGGTGTGTTGTGTGTTGTGTGTTGTGTGTGTGCATTGTGTGTTGTGTGTTGTGTGTTGTGTGTGTGTGTTGTGTTGTGTGTTGTGTGTGTTGTGTGTGTACCCGTGCTCGGGGGAGTTGCGTACCCGTGCTCGGGGGGGTTGCGTACCCGTGCTCGGGGGGTTGCGTACCCGTGCTCGGGGGAGTTGCGTACCCGTGCTCGGGGGGGGTTGCGTACCCGTGCTCGGGGGGGTGCGTACCCGTGCTCGGGGGGGTGCTCACCTGCTCGCCCTCCCCTCCCACCTTCCAGTCCTCCTGCTCCAGCTCGTTGTAAAGCGCCTCGCGACTCGTCATCAGGTTCTGCCGGCGGATCTCGCTCGTGCGCTGCTCCCACACCGACTTGTTCCCTTTGGCGTGGTTCTTCTGCTGCTCCTTCCTGCGGAGTCAACGCGGTTTAAAGAGCTAAATCACAAATCTGCACCTTTCACTGCTCTGAAAACGCACAAAAGAACGGATGAAGTTGAACGTGTTCGGTGTTAAAGTGTCGTGTTGGGTTCATTAAAGTGTCGTGTTCATTAAAGTGTCGTGTTCGTTAAAGTGTCGGGTCGTGTTTGTTAAAGTGTCGTGTTGTGTTTGTTAGTGTATATTCCCGGTGTTAAAGTGTCGTGTTGTGTTCGTTAAAGTGTCGTGTCGTGTTCGTTAAAGTGTCGTGTCTTGTTCGTTAAAGTGTCAGGTTGTGTTCGTTAAAGTGTCGTGTCATGTTTGTTAAAGTGTCGTGTCATGTTCGTTAAAGTGCCGTGTCGTGTTCGTTAAAGTGCCGTGTCGTGTTCGTTAAAGTGCCGTGTCGTGTTCGTTAAAGTGTCGTGTCGTGTTTGTTAAAGTGTTGTGTTAGTTCGTTAAAGTGTCATGTCGTGTTCGTTAAAGTGTCGTGTTTGTTAAAGTGTCCTGTTCGTTAAAGTGTCGTGTTCGTTACTGTATATTCTCTGTGTTTAAAGTGTCGTGTTTGTTAAAGTGTCGTGTTTGTTAAAGTGTCGGGTTGTGTTCGTTAAAGTGTCATGTTGTGTTCGTTAGTGTATATTCTCGATGTTAAAGTGTCGGTTTGTGTTCGTTAAAGTGTCGTGTCGTGTTCGTTAGTGTATATTCTCGATGTTAAAGTGTCGGTTTGTGTTCGTTAAAGTGTCGTGTCGTGTTCGTTAGTGTATATTCTCGGTGTTTAAAGTGTCGTGTTTGTTAAAGTGTCGTGTTCGTTAGTGTATATTCTCGTGTTTAAAAGTGTCGTGTTTGTTAAAGTGTCGTGTTCGTTAGTGTAATTCTCGATGTTAAAGTGTCGGTGTCGTGTTCGTTAAAGTGTGTGTTCGTGTTCGTTAGTGTATTTCTCGATGTTAAAGTGTCGGGTTGTGTTCGTTAAAGTGTCGTGTTTGTTCGTTAGTGTATATTTCGATGTTAAAAGTGTCGTGTCGTGTGTTCGTTAGTGTATATTCTCGATGTTAAAGTGTCGGGTCGTGTTCGTTAAAGTGTCGTGTTGTGTTCGTTAGTGTATATTCTCGATGTTAAAGTGTCGGGTTGTGTTCGTTAAAGTGTCGTGTTGTGTTCGTTAGTGTATATTCTCGATGTTAAAGTGTCGTGTTGTGTTCGTTAGTGTATATTCTCGATGTTAAAGTGTCGTGTCGTGTTCGTTAGTGTATATTCTCGATGTTAAAGTGTCGTGTCGTGTTCGTTAAAGTGTCGTGGTTGTGTTCGTTAGTGTATATTCTCGATGTTAAAGTGTCGTGTCGTGTTCGTTAAAGTGTCGTGTTGTGTTCGTTAGTGTATATTCTCGATGTTAAAGTGTCGGGTTGTGTTCGTTAAAGTGTCGTGTTGTGTTCGTTAGTGTATATTCTCGATGTTAAAGTGTCGTGTCGTGTTCGTTAGTGTATATTCTCGATGTTAAAGTGTCGTGTTCGTGTCGTTAAAGTGTGTGTTGTGTTCGTTAGTGTATATTCTCGTGTTAAAGTGTCGTGTTTGTTAAAAGTGTCGTGTTCGTTAGTGTATATTCTTGATGTTAAAGTGTCAGGTTGTGTTCGTTAAAGTGTCGTGTCGTGTTCGTTAGTGTATATTCTCGATGTTAAAGTGTCGGGTTTGTGTTCGTTAAAGTGTCGTGTTGTGTTCGTTAGTGTATATTCTCGATGTTAAAGTGTCGTGTTGTGTTCGTTAGTGTATATTCTCGATGTTAAAGTGTCGGGTTGTGTTCGTTAGTGTATATTCTCGATGTTAAAGTGTCGGTTGTGTTCGTTAAAGTGTCGTGTCGTGTTCGTTAGTGTATATTCTCGTGTTAAAGTGTCGTGGTTAAAGTGTCGTGTTCGTTAGTGTATATTCTCGGTGTTTAAAGTGTCGTGTTGTTAAAGTGTCGTGTTCGTTAGTGTATATTCTCGATGTTAAAGTGTCGTGTTGTGTTCGTTAAAGTGTCGTGTCGTGTTCGTTAGTGTATATTCTCGATGTTAAAGTGTCGGGTTGTGTTCGTTAAAGTGTCGTGTTGTGTTCGTTAGTGTATATTCTCGATGTTAAAGTGTCGTGTCGTGTTCGTTAGTGTATATTCTCGATGTTAAAGTGTCGGGTCGTGTTCGTTAAAGTGTCGTGTTGTGTTCGTTAGTGTATATTCTCGATGTTAAAGTGTCGTGTTCGTTAGTGTATATCCTCGATGTTAAAGTGTCGTGTTCGTTAGTGTATATTCTCGATGTTAAAGTGTCGTGTTCGTTAGTGTATATTCTCGATGTTAAAGTGTCGGGTTGTGTTCGTTAAAGTGTCGTGTCGTGTTCGTTAGTGTATATTCTCGATGTTAAAGTGTCGGGTTGTGTTCGTTAAAGTGTCGTGTCGTGTTGTTCGTTAGTGTATATTCTCGTGTTAAATGTCGTTATTCGTAGTGTATATTCGATGTTAAAGTGTCGTGTCGTGTTCGTTAGTGTATATTCTCGATGTTAAAGTGTCGGGTCGTGTTCGTTAAAGTGTCGTGTTGTGTTCGTTAGTGTATATTCTCGATGTTAAAGTGTCGGGTCGTGTTCGTTAAAGTGTCGTGTCGTGTTCGTTAGTGTATATTCTCGATGTTAAAGTGTCGTGTCGTGTTCGTTAGTGTATATTCTCGATGTTAAAGTGTCGTGTCGTGTTCGTTAAAGTGTCTGTTGTGTTCGTTAGTGTATATTCTCGATGTTAAAGTGTCGGGTCGTGTTCGTTAAAGTGTTGTGTCGTGTTCGTTAGTGTATATTCTCGATGTTAAAGTGTCGTGTTGTGTTCGTTAGTGTATATTCTCGATGTTAAAAGTGTCGTTGTTGTGTTCGTTAGTGTATATTCTCGATGTTAAAGTGTCGGGTCGTGTTCGTTAAAGTGTCGTGTTCGTTAGTGTATATTTTCGATGTTAAAGTGTCGGTTGTGTTTGTTAAAGTGTCGTCGTTGTGTCGTTAAAGTGTCGTTAGTGTCGGTGTTAAAGTGTGGTGTCGTTGTTCAGGTTCTTCTCGATTGCAAGCCGTCGATTGTGTGTTAAAACACAACACAGGGTTTAGAAGAGAGAGTTCGTGTGTTGTTATTCGTGTCGGTCGTTGTAGTGTTCGTGTTAGTGTGTAGTTCGTTGTGTCGTCGGTGTCTAATAGTCAGTCGTTGGTTAAAGTGTTCGTTAGTGTCTCGATGTTAAAGTGTCGGGTTGTGTTCGTTAAAGTGTGTGTTTGTGTTAGTGTATATTCTCGATGTTAAAGTGTAGTGTCGTGTCGTGTTCTGTTAGTGTATATTCTCGATGTTTAGTGTCGTGTGTCGTGTTCGTTAGTGTATATTTCTCGATGTTAAAGTGTCGGGTTGTGTTCGTTAAAGTGTCGTGTCGTGTTCGTTAGTGTATATTCTCGATGTTAAAGTGTCGTTGTGTTCGTTAAAGGTCGTGTGTGTTCGTTTGTATATTCTCGATGTTAAAGTGTCGTGTCGTGTTCGTTAAAGTGTCTTTGTGTTCGTTAGTGTATATTCTCGTTGTTAAAGTGTCGTGTTGTGTTCGTTAGTGTATATTCTCGATGTTAAAGTGTCGGTGGTTGTGTCGTGTTGTGTTCGTTGTGTTATTCTCGATGTTAAAGTGTCGGGTTGTGTTCTTAAAGTGTCGTGTTGTGTTCGTTAAAGTGTATATTCTCGATGTTAAAGTGTCGTGTTGTGTTCGTTAGTGTATATGTTAAAGTGTCGTGTTTGTTAAAGTGTCGGTGTCGTGTGTTTGTTTTAAAGTGTCGTGTCGTGTTCGTTAGTGTATATTCTCGATGTTAAAGTGTCGGGTTGTGTTCGTTAAGTGTATATTCTCGATGTTAAAGTGTCGGGTTGTGTTCGTTAAAGTGTCGTGTTGTGTTCGTTAGTGTATATTCTCGATGTTAAAGTGTCGGGTTGTGTTCGTTAAAGTGTCGTGTCGTGTTCGTTAGTGTATATTCTCGATGTTAAAGTGTCGTGTCGTGTTCGTTAAAGTGTCGTGTTGTGTTCGTTAGTGTATATTCTCGATGTTAAAGTGTCGTGTTCGTGTTCGTGTCGTTAGTTGTATATTCTCGATGTTAAAGTGTCGTGTCGTGTTCGTTAAAGTGTCGTGTTGTGTTCGTTAGTGTATATTCTCGATGTTTAAAGTGTCGTGTTTGTTAAAGTGTCGTGTTCGTTAGTGTATATCCTCGATGTTAAAGTGTCGTGTCGTTGTGTTCGTTAAAGTGTCGTGTTGTGTTCGTTAGTGTATATTCTCGATGTTAAAGTGTCGTGTCGTGTTCGTTAGTGTATATTCTCGATGTTAAAGTGTCGTGTTCGTTAGTGTATATCCTCGATGTTAAAGTGTCGTGTTCGTTAGTGTATATTCTCGATGTTAAAGTGTCGTGTTGTGTTCGTTAGTGTATATTCTCGATGTTAAAGTGTCGCGTTAGTGTTTTGTTAAAGTGTCGTGTTGTGTTCGTTAGTGTATATTCTCGATGTTAAAGTGTCGGGTTGTGTTCGTTAGTGTATATTCTCGATGTTAAAGTGTCGGGTTGTGTTCGTTAAAGTGTCGTGTTGTGTTCGTTAGTGTATATTCTCGATGTTAAAGTGTCGTGTTGTGTTCGTTAGTGTATATTCTCGATGTTAAAGTGTCGGGTTGTGTTCGTTAAAGTGTCGTGTCGTGTTCGTTAGTGTATATTCTCGATGTTAAAGTGTCGTGTTCGTTAGTGTATATTCTCGGTGTTTAAAGTGTTGGTGTCGTGTTGAGACTCACGCGGCGATGGACAGGTTGGCGGCCGACAGGGGGCTGACCTCTGCGACCTCTTTGGCCTTTTGCAGAGCCGTCTTCTGATTGGCCGCCTCCTCCTGCTCCTCCTCGTCCTAAAAACACAACACAGGGTTTAGAAGAGAGAGAAATAAAACAGGGTGACACTGTTACTGTTGCTGAATTTTCTCCTCTGACGTAAAATAGACCAGCGTATCAACAGAACTTTGGGGGGCAGGAGTGTTACTCGGATATACAGAAATTGTGCAGAATTGTCCTTTCGGTGCTCTTCAGTGAGGGACCAGTCTCAAATACAAAGAAAAAATCTACAAAATAATGAAAAGCCTTTAATATCACAAATAAAGTTAAAATCACGTCAACGCGTTTCGGCCCTTCGGCTTTATCAGGGTAAACTCGAGCTGCTGTCACAGTGCATTAAAGTTAAAGTTAAAGTCATAGAAGTAGGTCGCATGTTCACATTCCTCTGGTGCATGGTGGGACATGTAGGCCGAACAGATTTTAGTTAAAACCTATTTAAAGGTTGTATGGAGGATTTTTTTTTAGTTTCAAACTGTCAGTGAAAGATTAAAATACCATTACAGAGACGCAGCAGCTTTGTAATTATGATGACCAAAAAAAAAAAGAATGAAAATCTATCAACTGTGGACGTGTTGAGGCCAGATAAACATCAGCCAATAGAAAACGAGGCTCCCTCATTTTCTATTGGCTGTTGGGTTGTCAATCAAACTCCCTAGTGTAACTGACTCGTCGGCGCGCGGGGATTACGTGGTTTACGCAGCGGTTCTTAGAGGCTTTTTCGAACTGTCGCTTCCTCGCATTTCGCACAAAGTTTGTCACGACGGCGGACGAGAATCCACGACCGGTTCACCGCAAAAGAAAGTCCGTTTTTGAGGTCGCTGAAAGAAGAAGAGAAGAGGAAAAGGAGCAAAGCCAAACTGAGGTGATTCTTGGAGATCTCGTCCAGCGATGGCGCGACCGAAGCAGACGAAGGGTCTAAAAACTGACGCGTCGGTCGCTGAATTACTTCTAGACAGGAAACTTCAACAGTGATTCTGAACGCGCACAAGGACTGTCGCTGTATTTCTCTTCCCTTAAAAAAATCCTCTATACAACCTTTAAGATAAGATATAATAGAAGATATAAGTAGTACAATTCGAAACAACCAATACATAGAAAGATACACAGTCTAATAGTGCAAAAATTCAAAAAAGTGCTACAGATACAACATGTAGAATTGTGTAATTGTATCTGCAGCATGGTTCTAAAGTCCACGTGTGAGTGCACTCGAAAGGTTTAAAGGCACAGGTAAAGTGGGCGTGGTCAGGTGAAGGGGGCGTGCCGGTGAAAGGTGAGAGCGAGGACCACGGCACGGCGATGATGGTCGTAGTTTTGCAGGTTTTTCGTGATTTCGTGATGGTCAGGTGAAGGGGTGTGGTCATGTGAAGAAGACGTGGTCAGGTGAAGGGGTGTGGTCATGTGAAGAAGACGTGGTCAGGTGAAAGGGGGTGTGGTCAGGTGTAGGGGGCGTGGTCATGTGAAGGGGGCGTGGTCAGTACCTTGGTGAGCTCCTGAGCGTTGGCCAGATTGTCCACGGCGATGGCCAAGAACACGTTGAGCAGAGTGTCTGAGGTTCAAAGTCAAGGACAAACACACAGACACAAGGCCGAGAAAAATACAGAGAAAAATACAAAATACAGAGAAAGAAAAATACAGAAGAAATCCAACTGAATTAGTCTCTGTATGACAGTCTACGCCCAAATGACCTGGTGGAGCCGGATCGTCCGGATCATCGCGTCAGAAGGACGACACAACGAACGTGCCGAACCAATGACGTTATTATGTTATTAGGTTTTTTTTCTCAGACCTGGAGTGTTATTTCACACCTGACAGTTTGGACTGTTCACTCGCGTCTTCCTCAGAGTCACGTGATGTTTCTGTGACGCGTCTGGTCAGTTGATTTAAACAGGTTTTGGCGCCGTCTTCCTACCGGTGGAGGCAGGACGACAGCGCCACCTGCAGTCCCACTTCCTCAGGACAGCATCCCGGGTGTGTGAGAGTAAAAAAGCCCCTCGTCCCGGTTTACAGTCCTGTGGGCACGTTTCCGTATTTCGATTGCTTCTTTAATCCAGCGACGATGTTTGTTTTCCTCTGTCCCAATCCATAACGTGGTTCTCTCTTTCTTCGTTTAAATCATCTGACCAGACACGTCACAGCAACATCACGTGACTCTGAGGAAGACGCTAGTGAACAGTCCAAACTGTCAGGTGTGAAATAACACTCTAGGTCTGAAAAAAAGAACCGAATAACATAGAATATCGGAAGACCAAATGAACCTCATTGGACCACTGACATTATTTTTTAAGAAGAATAAAAATGTACATGATCCAGGAAGAAATAACTCGGCTTTAAAATTGGAATAAACCAAACACTTACAGTTGTTTGTGCGAGTAGCTCCAATAAAAAAAACAAAAACTAAACTCCAGTTAAAGCCGGAGGAGGAGGATACAGTTCCCGAAGAGCGTGAGCACGATGAAGAAGATGGAGAAGATCATCCCTTTGTCGTTGACTCCTCCCTGAGACTTGATGCCGTCGTACATCACCACGTTCCAGTCTTCACCCGTCAGGATCTGAACGTGGATAAAAAAACGCCACAGCACCGCGGCTCGGTTTTAGTATCGAGTAAAACGAGTTTGAAATGTGAATATCGTGAATATCGTGATCGTACCTGAAACACGGTCATGATGGCCGCCGCGAAAGTGTCGAAGTTGGTCGGTGGAGTCCCGTCCTCGAAATTAAACCTGAAAAACACAAAGACAAGAGTTAAAACTGTGTCTTATGTAACAGATAATACTCCCTACAACTGTACAACAACTCAGATAATACTCCCTACAACTGTACAATAACTCAGATAATACTCCCTACAACTGTACAACAACTCACCCTTATGTGACAGATAATACTCCCTACAACTGTACAACTCACCATTATGTAACAGATAATACTCCCTACAACTGTACAACTCACACTTATGTAACAGATAATACTCCCTACAACTGTACAACAACTCACCCTTATGTGACAGATAATACTCCCTACAACTGTACAACTCACACTTATGTAAAAGATAATACTCCCTACAACTGTACAACAACTCACGCTTATGGAACAGATAATACTCCCTACAACTGTACAACTCACCCTCATGTAACAGATAATACTCCCTACAACTGTACAACAACTCACGCTTATGGAACAGATAATACTCCCTACAACTGTACAACTCACCATTATGTCACAGATAATACTCCCTACAACTGCACAACTCACTCTTATGTGACAGATAATACTCCCTACAACTGTACAACTCACACTTATGTAACAGATAATACTCCCTACAACTGTACAACAACTCACGCTTATGGAACAGATAATACTCCCTACAACTGTACAACAACTCACCTTATGTGACAGATAATACTCCCTACAACTGTAACAACTCACCTTATGGAACAGATAATACTCCCTACAACTGTACAACAACTCACCCTTATGGAACAGATAATACTCCCTACAACTGTACAACAACTCACCTTATGTACAGATAATACTCCCTACAACTGTACAACAACTCACCTTATGTGACAGATAATACTCCCTACAACTGTACAACTCACCCTTATGTGACAGATAATACTCCCTACAACTGTACAACTCACACTTATGTGACAGATAATACTCCCTACAACTGTACAACTCATCCTTATGTAACAGATAATACTCCCTACAACTGTACAACAACTCACTCTTATGTGACAGATAATACTCCCTACAACTGTACAACAACTCAGATAATACTCCCTACAACTGTACAATAACTCAGATAATACTCCCTACAACTGTACAACAACTCACCCTTATGTGACAGATAATACTCCCTACAACTGTACAACTCACCATTATGTAACAGATAATACTCCCTACAACTGTACAACTCACACTTATGTAACAGATAATACTCCCTACAACTGTACAACAACTCACCCTTATGTGACAGATAATACTCCCTACAACTGTACAACTCACACTTATGTAAAAGATAATACTCCCTACAACTGTACAACTCACACTTATGTAAAAGATAATACTCCCTACAACTGTACAACAACTCACGCTTATGGAACAGATAATACTCCCTACAACTGTACAACTCACCCTTATGTGACAGATAATACTCCCTACAACTGTACAACTCACCCTTATGTAACAGATAATACTCCCTACAACTGTACAACAACTCACTCTTATGTGACAGATAATACTCCCTACAACTGTACAACTCACCATTATGTAACAGATAATACTCCCTACAACTGTACAACTCACACTTATGTAACAGATAATACTCCCTACAACTGTACAACAACTCACCCTTATGTGACAGATAATACTCCCTACAACTGTACAACTCACACTTATGTAAAAGATAATACTCCCTACAACTGTACAACAACTCACCCTTATGTAACGGATAATACTCCCTACAACTGTACAACTCACCATTATGTCACAGATAATACTCCCTACAACTGTACAACTCACCATTATGTCACAGATAATACTCCCTACAACTGCACAAATCACTCTTATGTGACAGATAATACTCCCTACAACTGTACAACTCACCCTTATGTGACAGATAATACTCCCTACAACTGTACAACTCACACTTATGTGACAGATAATACTCCCTACAACTGTACAACTCATCCTTATGTAACAGATAATACTCCCTACAACTGTACAACAACTCACTCTTATGTGACAGATAATACTCCCTACAACTGTACAACTCACCATTATGTAACAGATAATACTCCCTACAACTGTACAACTCACACTTATGTAACATATAATACTCCTACAACTACTACAAAACAACTGATATACTCCCTACAACTCACCCTTATGTGACAGATAATACTCCTACAACTGTACAACTCACCTTATGTACAACTCACACTTATGTGAACAGATAATACTCCCTACAACTGTACAAACTCACACTTATGTGACAGATAATACTCCCTACAACTGCACACAACTCACTCTTATGTGACAGATAATACTCCCTACAACTGTACAAACTCACTTATGTAACAGATAATACTCCTACAACTGTACAAAACAACTCACTTATGTGACAGATAATACTCCCTACAACTGTACAACTCACACTTATGTAACAGATAATACTCCCTACAACTGTACAACTCAACTTATGTACATAAACTACACACTTATACAACTCACACCTTATGTGACAGATAATACTCCCTACAACTGTACAACAACTCACTCTTATGTGACAGATAATACTCCCTACAACTGTACAACTCACTTATGTAACAGATAATACTCCCTACAACTGTCACTCACTTATGTGACAGATAATACTCCCTACAACTGTACAACTCACTCTTATGTAACAGATAATACTCCCTACAACTGTACAACAACTCACGCTTATGTAACAGATAATACTCCCTACAACTGCACAAATCACTCTTATGTAACAGATAATACTCCCTACAACTGTACAACAACTCACTATGTACATAATACTACAACTGTACAACTCACTCTTATGTAACAGATTATCCCTACAAGTAAACAACTCACTCTTATGTAACAGATAATACTCCCTACAACTGTACAACAACTCTTTGCATTTTAAAACAGAAAAAATGTGTGCTAAAGTAATTTTCTGTAACAATGGACATCAAAGTGAAAGTGAAAGTGAAAGTGAAAGTGCGTACTGTCCGCCGAAGAGCTGCATCCCCAACAGGGCGAAGACGACGATGAAGAGGAAGAGGAGGAACAGAAGAGACACGATGGACTTCATGGAGTTCAGCAAAGACACCACCAGGTTCCTCAGAGGAGCCCAGTATCTGCAAGAACCAGAGGAGCAGGGTCAGACAGGAGCGAACAGGAGCGGGCAGGAGCGGACAGGAGCGGGACAGGAGCGGGCAGGAGCAGGACAGGAGGCAGGAGCAGGCAGGAGCGGGACAGGAGCGGGCAGGAGCGGGCAGGAGCAGCGGGCAGGGCAGGAGGCAGGAGGCAGGAGCAGGAGGCAGGAGCGGGCAGGAGCGGGCAGGAGCGGGCAGGGAGCGGGCAGGAGCGGGCAGGAGTGGGCAGGAGCGGGCAGGAGCACTTACTTGGTGACTTTAAAAATCCGGAGGAGTCTCAGAGCTCTCAGGACACTGATGCCAAATGAAGATCCTGGTTTGATGGTCGCCCAGACCACCTCAAAAATACTCCCCACGATCACCTGCACACAAACAAATACACACACTCATTACACACAAACACACACATATCACCTGCACACAAACACACAAACACACACACACAAACACACACTGATCACACACGAACACACAAACTGATCACACACACACACACACTTATTACACACAAACACAGACAACACACACTCTGATCACACAAGAACGCACAACACACACTGATTACACACAAACACACACAAACATACACATAAACACACACACGTTCACGACGAATATCAGAGTGATCAGGAACGGAAAAGTCGTCCTAACTCCCGACGGGAACCAAGTAAAACACAGAAACAAAACGTGTTTGAGGAACATGGAGGAGAAATCACGTGAAGAAGAAGATGTTGCCGTGGTCACAGGACGAGACTCTTGGACTTGTTTTTATTTGGTGTTAAATCCACTTCTTCTGTCGATGACGCGTCAGGATCAAACCCCGGGGTTTTCAAAACGCCCGTCGAGTCAAGTCAACGGGTCGAGCTCAGAGTCTCGTGATCCCAGATTCTCCTTCAGATTCTCCTTCAGTCCGGTGAGGTTCTTCCTGTGGCTGTGGGCCCACTGAGCATGTGCAGTAGAGTCTTTTTCTGTCACGTGATCACTTTGACCAATCAGAGCGAGAGGAGCAGGTCGAACAATTATAAAACGTTTTGGTAACACTTTATAATAACTACACCTTATTTAGCCTTAATAAAGCATGAACAAAGGCTTAATTAATAATGAACAAAGACTTAATTAATCATGATTCACGATTAGTAACTACTTAATTACGACCTTAATTAGCACTTGCACTTAATCTGTCAGCTCTAAATAGTTACTCATAATTACTTCATACTTAATTACTCATGAACTAACCATTTATTAATCATTAGTAAACTATGAGAGAATGATTTACTAATAATGTAATGCGATGATAATTAAGGCAGCTGTTATCTGTTAGTTTAGTCTTTTTCAGAGCTTTTCTAAAGTGAAGACGAATTATGTTTATTAAACATTTACTAAGCGTGAATCGTTATTAATTAAATCTTTGTTCATTATTAATTAAATCTTTGTTCATTATTAATTAAGTCTTTGTTCACGCTTTATTAAGGCTAAGTAAGGTGTTGTTATTATAAAGTGTTACCAACGTTTTTTTAAGACGATTGAAGGATTTTGAAGCTGAGAAAAAATTAGGATCTAAAAACAGGTAAAAATCGCCAACAAATCTGACATTTTTGAAAGTTGTAAGTTCCTGTCAGACGAACACGAGACGTTTGTGATCACACTGAATCTACCAGAAAATTCCCGTCTCGGCCCAGTGGGATTTTTCCAGCGAGAGTCAAAACAAACAGCAACACCTCCAGATGTTTGAACAGATCCAGGATCAGGATTCACACAGTTTTTGTCTTTGGTTCTCGGTGTCTCTTCTGCAGGAACCTGGACCTGAAAACAACGACTGTGGAACGTTCCAGACCAAACTCTGTCATCTCCAAGGACAAAAGCGTCTGCCAGAAAAGTGACATAATGTTTCTTTAAAGGGACGGAGTAAAGACGTGATCGTGGGAGTCGAGACACGATCAGAGGCTTTTGTGTTGTCGTTATGTAACACAAACGGTTCAAATGAATTCAGAGAGACTGAGTCTGAAAGACACAAAGATACACAAAAACACACACACACACACAAAGATACACAAAACACACACACACACACACAAAGATACACAAACACACACACACAAACACACACACACACACAAAGATACACAAACACACACACACACAACACACACACACACACACACAAAGATACACAAACACACACACACACACACACACACACACACACACACAGACACACACAAACACACAAAGATACACAAACACACACACACACACAACACACAAAGATACACACACACACACACACACACACACAAAGATACACAAACACACACAGACACACAAAGATACACAAACACACACAGAGCACACACAACACACAAAGATACACAAACACACACAACACACACAACACAAACACAAAGATACACAAACATACACAACACACAGACGCACACAAACACACAAAGATACACAAACACACACAGACGCACACAAACACAAAAAGATACACAAACACACACAACGCACACAAAGATACTGCTTCCTCCTTTTCTCCTGCACAACACAACACAAACACACAGGAGGACACACTACACACGGGAGGGCACCTGACACACACACACTGACACACACACGGAGGAGGGCCCCTGACACACACACGGGAGGAGGGCACCAACACACACACGGGGAGGAGGGCCCCTGAACACACACGGGGAGGAGGGCCCCTGACACACACACGGGGAGGAGGGCACTGACACACACACGGGGGGAGGGCACCTGACACACACACACGGGGAGGAGGGCACCTGACACACACGGGGAGGAGGGCACCTGACACACACACGGGGAGGAGGGCACCTGACACACACACAGGGAGGAGGGCACCTGACACACACACGGGGAGGAGGGCACCTGACACACACGCTGGGAGGAGGGCACCTGACACACACACGGGGAGGAGGGCACCTGACACACACACGGGGAGGAGGGCACCTGACACACACACGGGGAGGAGGGGCACCTGACACACACACGGGGAGGCACCTGACACACACACGGGGGAGGGCACCCTACACACACACGGGGAGGAGGGGCACTGACACACACACGGGAGGAGGGCACCCTGACACACACACTGGGAGGAGGGCACCTGACACACACACGGGGAGGAGGGGCACCTGACACACACACGGAGGAGGGCACCTGACACACACACGGAGAGGAGGGCACCTGACACACACACACGGGAGGGAGCACACCTGCACCTGACACACACACGGAGAGGAGGGCACCTGACACACACACGGGGAGGAGGGCACCTGACACACACACGGGGAGGGCACCTGACACACACACGGGGAGGGCACCTGACACACACACGGGGAGGGCCCCTGACACACACTCGTGGTGAGGGGGTGGGAGGGCCCCTGACACACTCTCAGATGTGTGTACGGGACTCACCACGCAGTCGAAGCAGTTGAAGGACGAGTGGAAGTACGGCTGGATTCCTAAACCGTACATTTTAATCAACATCTCCGACATGAAGAGACCGAGGAAGATGAACTCTGCATAGACTGGACGGAGAGAAAGAAAGAACGAGGGAACGAGGGAGGAGGAGAGAGGAGGAGAGAGGGAACGAGGGAGGAGGAGGGAATGACGGAGGAGAAGAAGAGAGAGGGAGGAGAGGAGGAGAGAGGGAACGAGGAAGGAGAGGAGGGAGAGAGGAGAGAAGGATGGAGAGGGAGAGAGAGAGGGAGAGAGTGTGAGTGAAGGAGGGAGGAGAGGAGAGGAGAGAGGGAGAGAGAGAGGAGAGAGAGTGTGAGTGAAGGAGGAGGAGAGGAGGGAGAGAGGGAGAGAGAGAGAGAGAGAGTGTGAGTGAAGGGAGGAGAGGAGAGGAGAGAGAGGAGGAGGGAGAGGAGAGAGAGAGGTGTGAGTGAAGGAGGAGAGGAGGGAGGAGAGAGGGAGAGAGAGAGGGAGAGAGTGTGAGTGAAGGAGGGAGGAGAGGAGGGAGGGAGAGAGAGAGTGGAGAGGAGGGAGAGGAGGGAGGGAGAGCGAGTGTGAGTGAAGGAGAGGAGGAGAGGAGAGGAGGGAGGGAGAGAGTGTGAGTGAAGGAGGGAGGAGAGGGAGAGGAGGGAGAGAGTGTGAGTGAAGGAGAGGAGGAGAGGAGAGGAGGGAGAGGGAGAGAGAGAGAGAGTGTGAGTGAGGAGGAGGGAGGAGAGGAGGAGGAGGAGGAGGAGGAGAGAGTGTGAGGAGAGGAAGAGGAGGAGAGAGAGGGGAGAGGGAGAGAGAGAGGGAGAGAGTGTGAGTGAGGAGGAGGGAGGAGAGGAGGAGGGAGGAGAGGGTGAGTGAGGAGGGAGGAGAGGAGGGAGAGGAGAGAGTGAGGAGGAGAGTGAGAGGAGAGAGGGAGGGAGAGTTGTGAGTGAGAGAGGAGAGGGAGGAGAGGAGGGGAGGAGGGAGAGAGTGTGAGTGAAGGAGGGAGGAGAGGAGGTGTGTAACAGACATTCATCTCACAGTGATTCAACACTGAGCTATTTTAAAAACTACAATTACCAACGAGTGAAAAGAAACGTGTGAGAAGCACAGACTGTGACGGAGAGATGGAGACGGAGAGATGGAGAGAGAGAGATGGAGAGATGGAGAGATGGAGAGAGGGAGAGAGGGAGAGATGGATGGATAGACAGATATATAGAAAGATGGAGTGATACTGACAGAGGAAGTCGGAAAGTGGCTCAGGCTGGTCGTAGTGGATGGATGGAGTGAACCAGAACTAAAACCAGAACTAAAACCAGGACTAAACCAGGACTAAAACCAGGTCTAAACCAGGACTAAAACCAGGGAAGTAAACCAGGACTAAAACCAGAACTAAAACCAGGTCTAAACCAGGTCTAACCAGAACAGGAACCAGGTTAAACCAGGACTAAAACCAGAGTAGGTAAAACCAGGACTAAACCAGGACTAAAGAAACCAGGACTAAACCAGGACTAACCAGAACCTACTAAACCAGGACTAAACCAGGCTAAACCAGGAAACCAGACTAAACCAGGTCTAAACCAGGATAAACCAGGATTAAAACCAGGTCTAAACCAGGACTAAAACCAGAACTAAAACCAGGTCTAAACCAGGTCTAAACCAGGACTGAACCAGGTTTAAAACCAGAAATATAACCAGGATTAAACCAGGACTAAAACCAGAACTGTAACCAGGACTAAACCAGGTCTAAACCAGGACTAAACCAGAACTAAAACCAGAACTAAAAACCCAGGACTAAACCAGGACTAAAACCAGGTCTAAACCAGGACTAAACCAGGTCTAAAACCAGAATTATAACCGGGACTAAACCAGGACTAAACCAGGACTAAACCAGGACTAAACCAGGACTAAACCAGGACTAAACCAGGACTAAAACCAGGACTAAACCAGGACTAAAACCAGGTCTAAACCAGGACTAAACCAGGACTAAAACCAGGTCTAAACCAGGACTAAAATGAGGTCTAAAATCAAGTCTAAACTCAGTCTGAACCGAATATTGTTGCATCCCTAATAGATGTATAGATGGAGTGATGGATGGATGTATAGATGGATAATAGAGGATGGATAGACAGATAGACGGATAGATGGAGGGATGGATGGACAGACGGATGGAGTGATACTGACAGAGGAAGTCGGAGAGCAGTTCGGGCTGGTCGTAGTGAACCGCCGCCACACACACGGTGTTGAGGCCCACGAGGCAGAGCACGGTCCAGTAAAACGCCTGAGTCTTCACGATCTTCCGGATGAAGAACCTCAGGCGTCGCTCCTTCTTACTGTAGGTGGATCCTTCTTTCCCGCTTTTTATACTCGACCGAGCGAAACCTGGACCAAACCAGACCAAACACAAAACCAAAAAAACCCCGTCACAAAACCTGGACCAAACCAGACCAGAGACAAAACCAAAAAACCCCGTCACAAAACCTGGACCAAACCAGACCAAAGACAAAACAAAAAAACCCCGTCACAAAACCTGGACCAAACCAGACCAAAGACAAAACCAAAAAACCCCGTCATGATCCTCAGACGGGTTCAGAGTGAACGTGGACTCGAAGATCCAGGTTCAGGTTTTGGAGTGTCCCTGTAAATGTAGTAAACCAGGACTAAACCAGGACTAAACCAGGACTAAACCAGGATTAAAACCAGGACTAAACCAGGACTAAACCAGGACTAAACCAGGACTAAACCAGGATTAAAACCAGGACTAAACCAGGACTAAAACCAGGCCAAAATCATCAGGACTCAAGCAGGACTAAAGCAGGATTCAACCAGGTCTAAACCAGGTTTAAAATGAAGACCAAAACTAGGCCTAAACCAGGACTAAACCAGGATTAAAACCAGGAGTAAACCAGGACTAAAATCAAGTCTAAACCAGGACTAAACCAGGACTAAAGCAGGATTAAAACCAGGTCTGAACCAGGACTAAAAGCCGTCAGTGTCGGGTTCAAAAAAACTTGGTCTGACGTCGTTTCAGCTGATAGTTTTGTTTGTTTTGATAGTTTGAGAGTTTGAGACAGAGCAGTGCCTCCCGTTAGCGTCTCCTCACCCACGGCGTCGCCCAGGTTGTCCTCGCCCTCCTCCGTGTTCAGAAGCTCCGTCTTGTTGTTTTTGGTTTTGATCGTCGGCCTCCGTCTGGAACCTGCAGCAAACACAAGAACAGATCAGGACTAAACCAGGACTAAACCAGGACTAAACCTGGACTAAACCAGGACTAAACCAGGACTAAACCAGGACTAAACCAGGACTAAACCAGGACTAAAACCAGGACTAAACCAGGACTAAACCAGGACTAACCAGGATTAAACCAGGACTAAACTGGGACTAAACCAGGTCTAAACCAGGATTAAACCAGAACTAAACCAGGACTAAACCAGGTCTAAAACCAGGACTAAACCAGGACTAAAACCAGGATTAAACCAGGACTAAACCTGGACTAAAACAGGACTAAACCAGGATTAAACCAGAACTAAACCAGGACTAAACCAGGTCTAAAACCAGGACTAAAACAGGACTAAAACCAGACTAAAACCAGGACTAAACCAGGACTTAAAAACCAGGATTTTAAAACCAGGACTAAAGCAGGACTAAACCAGAACTAAAACAAGGACTAAAGCAGGACTAAACCAGGACTAAACCAGACTAAACCAGGATTAAACCAGGACTAAACCAGGACTCAACAGGACAGATCCCTGGACTTGTATCAGCTCGCCTCTCCACAGATCTGCCTTCTGACTCGACTCAGCCGCGTCACCTGCTCGTCTCTTAATGCCACACTGTGCAACATTCCAAACAAAGCAACCCTCTCCTGCGGAAAAGCTCCGCAGTGCAGCTTTAAATCTAATGTCTCACCTCCGCTCGCGTCACCGAAACAAAAATAAACGTCTGACTCGTCCAAAATGAGACGAAGCCGCGAAGTTAAAGGAAAAACTTTGGCAAAACTCACAAAGGAAAAAAAAAAATAAAAATTAAAAAAAATCCAAAGTCGGCGTCAGAACTCACAGGAAGAGTCCGAGTCCATCTGCCAGGCCCGACGCACGCTTCACCACACACCGCACCACCGCTTCACCGCTTCACCACACCACCGCTTCACCGCACCACCACTTCACCACCGCTTCACCACGCTTCACCACACCACCGCTTTCAACCACCGCTTCACCACCGCTTCACCGCACCACCGCTTCAACACCGCTTCACCACACCACCGCTTCACCGCTTCACCACACCACCGCTTTCACCACATCACCGCTTCACCGCTTCACCACACCACCGCTTCACCACACCACCGCTTCACCGCTTCACCACACCACCGCTTCACCACACACCGCTTCACCGCTTCACCACACCACCGCTTCACCGCTTCACCACACCACCGCTTCACCGCTCACCAACCACCGTTCACCACACCACCGCTTCACCACACACACCGCTTCACCACCGCTCACCACCGCTTCACCACCACCGCTTCACCACACACACCGCTTCACCACATCACCGCTTCACCGCTTCACCAACACCACCGCTTCACCACACCACCGCTTCACCACACCACCGCTTCACCACCGCTCACCACACCACCGCTTCACCACGCTTCACCACACACCCACCGCTTCACCACACCACCGCTTCACCACACCACCGCTTCACCACCGCTTCACCGCTTCACCACACCACCACACCACCGCTTCACCACTTCACCACCCACACCGCTTCACCACACCACCGCTTCACCGCTTCACCACACTTCACCACACCACCGCTTACACCACCGCTTCACCACACCACCGCTTCACCACACCACCGCTTCACCACCGCTTCACCACACCACCACACCACCGCTTCACCACACCACCCACACCACCGCTTCACCGTTCACCACACCACCGCTTCACCACCGCTTCACCACACCACCGCTTCACCGCTTCACCACACACCACCGCTTCACCACACCACCGCTTCACCCACCACACCGCTTCACCGCTTCACCACACCACCGCTTCACCGCTTCACCACACCACCGCTTCACCGCTTCACCACACCACGCTTCACCGCTTCACCACCGCTTTCACACACCGCTTCACCACACCACCGCTTCACCGCTTCACCACCGCTTCACACCACCGCTTTCACCGCTTCACACCGCTTCACCACCGCTTCACCACACCACCGCTTCACCGCTTCACCACACCAACGTTTCACCACACAACGCTTCACCACACCACCGCTTCACCACCACACCACCGCTTCACCACACCAACCGTTTCACCGCTTTCACCACACCACCGCTTCACCACACACCACCACCGCTTCACACCGCTTCACCACACCACCGCTTCACCACACCACGTTCACACCGCTTCACCACCGCTTCACCACACCACCGCTTCACCACACCAACGTTTCACCGCTTCACCACCGCTTCACCACCGCTTCACCACCGCATTCACACACCACCGCTTCACCACACCAACGTTTCACCGCTTCACCACCGCTTCACCACCGCTTCACCACCACTTCACCACACCACCGCTTCACCACTTCACCACACCACCGCTTCACCACACCACCGCTTCACCACACCACCGCTTCACCGCTTCACCACACCACCGCTTCACCACACCACCGCTTCACCACCACCGCTTCACCACACCACCGCTTCACCACACCACCGCTTCACCACACCACCGCTTCACCACACCACCGCTTCACCACACCACCGCTTTCACCGCTTTCACCACCACCACACCGCTTCACCACACCACCGCTTCACCGCTTCACCACACCACCGCTTCACCGCTTCACCCACACACCGCTTCACACCGCACCACCGCTTCACCACACCACCGCTTCACCGCTTCACCACACCACCGCTTCACCGCACCACCGCTTCACCACACCACCGCTTCACCACCGCTTCACCACACCACCGCTTCACCGCTTCACCACACCACCGCTTCACCACACCACCGCTTCACCACACCACCGCTTCACCGCTTCACCGCTTCACCACACCACCGCTTCACCACATCACCGCATCACCGCTTCACCACACTTCACACGCTTCACCACATCACCGCTTCACCACCGCTTCACCACCGCTTCACCACCGCTTCACCACCGCTTCACCCACCACACCACCGCTTCACCGCTTCACCCACACCCACCGCTTCACCACATCACCGCTTCACCACACCACCGCTTCACCGCTTCACCACTTCACCGCTTCACCACACCACCGCTTCACCGCTTCACCACTTCACCGCTTCACCGCTTCACCACACACCGCTTCACCGCTTCACCACACCACCGCTTCACCGCTTCACCACCACCGCTTCACCGCTTCACACACCACCGCTTCACCGCTTCACACCACACCACCGCTTCACCACACCACCGCTTCACCGCTTCACCACCACCACCCGCTTCACCACACCACCGCTTCACACCACACCACCGCTTCACCACATCACCGCTTCACACACACCACCGCTTCACCACACCACCGCTTCACCACTTCACCACCACCACCACCGCTTCACCGCTTCACCACACCACCGCTTCACCACCACCGCTTCACCGCTTCACCACACCACCGCTTTCACCGCTTCACCACACCACCGCTTCACCACACCACCGCTTCACCACACCACCGCTTCACCGCTTCACCACCACCGCTTCACACGCACCACCGCTTCACACACCACCGCTTCACCACCGCTTCACCACACCACCGCTTCACCGCTTCACCACACCACCGCTTCACACACCACCGCTTCACCACACCACCGCTTCACCGCTTCACCGCTTCACCACACCACCGCTTCACACACCGCTTCACCGCTTCACCACCGCTTCACCATCACCGCTTCACCACCGCTTCACCACCGCTTCACCACCGCTTCACCACCGCTTCACCACCGCTTCACCACACCACCGCTTCACCGCTTCACCACACCACCGCTTCACCACACCACCGCTTCACACCACCGCTTCACCACACCACCGCTTCACCACCGCTTCACCACACCACCGCTTCACCACACCACCGCTTCACCACCGCTTCACCGCTTCACCACACCACCGCTTCACCACACCACCGCTTCACCGCTTCACCACAAGGAACCTGTTCACTCAGACTGATTCTACCATTAAATCTACAAATATATTTCATGATGTCGATATTTGCACTGACAGATTTGTGCAGTTTGAACGTGAGATCAGTTTGTCAAAGTCTGAGCTCGTCAGATCTCAGAGGCTCAGCAGGTCCAGGTCTGGTCACTTTCAGGAGCCACAGGAGGCGCCAGAACAAAAACGGTCCTCATGTCCTTTTAGGCAAGTCACTTCACACACATCGTCTAGTATGACAGTGGTGTGTGTGTGTGTGTGTGTGTGTGGTGGTCAGAAGGACCGATGGAACCTATTGGCAGCCACGCTTGTGTCAGTCTGCCCCAGGGCAGCTGTGGCTACAATAGTTATCACTGAGTGTGAAGTGAATGAATAATGAACTGTAAAGGGCTTTGGATATCCTGAAAGACACTGTATAAATGCAAACAGGAGATGTTTTTTCACATTTGTGGAAGTCACTTTAAGATGTTCCGAGTCTGAGCAACAGTGAAAGATCTGCTCAAACCACACGAGGACAGAGGAGCTCACAAGACCAACGTGAAGATCCTCCTCCACACAAACCCAAACTACAAACTACAAACCGACGTGAAGATCCTCCTCCACACAAACCCAAACTACAAACTACAAACCGACGTGAAGATCCTCCACCACACAAACCCAAAACTACAAACCGACGTGAAGATCCTCCTCCACACAAACCCAAACTACAAACTACAAACCTGACGTGAAGATCCTCCTCCACACAAACCCAAACTACAAACTACAAACCGACGTGAAGATCCTCCTCCACACAAACCCAAACTACAAACTACAAACTGACGTGAAGATCCTCCTCCACACAAACCCAAACTACAAACTACAAACTGACGTGAAGATCCTCCTCCACACAAACCCAAACTACAAACTACAAACCGACGTGAAGATCCTCCTCCACACAAACCCAAACTACAAACTACAAACTGACGTGAAGATCCTCCTCCACACAAACCCAAACTACAAACTACAAACCGACGTGAAGATCCTCCTCCACACAAACCAAACTACAAACCAAACGACGTGAAGATCCTCCTCCACACAAACCCAAACTACAAACTACAAACCGACGTGAAGATCCTCCTCCACACAAACCCAAACTACAAACTACAAACCGACGTGAAGATCCTCCTCACACACCCACACAACTACAAAACGTGAAGATCCTCCACACAAACCCAAACTACAAACTACAAACCGACGTGAAGATCCTCCTCCACACAAACCCAAACTACAAACTACAAACCGACGTGAAGATCCTCCTCCACACAAACCCAAACTACAAACTACAAATATTTCATTTCTCACCGTCGAAGTTTCCCGTTCCGTCTTCTTCAGCCAGAATCACCTCCTCTGTGAAAACAGGTGAAGAGTTCAAATGTTCAGGTTATTAAGAATAAAAAAACTTTACGTCAAATAAATCAAATCAAAGGTCAAATGGACGATTCTGAACAAAAAAATATGAATTTGTAAAGACGTGTTTTACAGTAAGGACGCACAATCCAGCAGTTTCTGGGTTCTTTCACACCGACAGCTCTTAGTTGGGTCAGTTTTGGTTGGTTTTGGTCAGTTTTGGTCAGTTCTGGTCGCGTTTGGGTTGGTTTTGATCAGTTCTGGTTGATTTTTGGTGGTTTTGGTTAGTTTTGGTCAGTTTTGTCAGTTGATTTTTGGTCGGTTTTGGTTAGTTTTGGTTGATCGGTTTTGGTCGGTTTGGGGTCGATTTTGGTTGGATTTGGTCGGTTTCGGTCGATGTTTAAGCTTCAGTCGCACTCAGATCTGAACCAAATCAAGCGACCGAGACTTGAAAAAAGAGTTGGTCTCGGTCGCTTGACTCCACACCGAACGCTGAACTCTAATAGGACCAAATAATCGAACTAGCGGTGTGAAAGTGCCCTGTGTTCCGATACCGATGTCGATACTATAGCATTAAACATCTACAGATCCTCGACGTGAATCGATACCAGAGACACACACACACACACACACAGACACACACACACACACACAGACACACACACACACACACACACACACACACACACACTCACACACACACACACACACACAGACACACACACACACACACACACACACACACAGACACACACACACACACACACACACACACACACACACACAGACACACACACACACACACACAGACACACACACACACACACACACACACACACAGACACACACACACACACACACACACACACACACACACACACAGACACACACACACACACACACACACACACCTGCTTTACAGATCCACTCCAGGTATCCGTTGAGTTCTCTCTCGATCTGCTGTTGTCTCCGGAGCTTCAGGAACTCGCTCCGGTTTTCCACTCGCTCTCGCTCTTTGGCGAACTCCCTGAGGACACAGCACAGGTGCATGATGGGACATGTGTTAAAGGGGCGGTCTGTGGAGCAGGTGTTAAAGGGGCACGTACCCGGAGAGGACGCCCAGCACCAGGTTGAGCATGAAGAAGGAGCCGATGATGATGAGGGGGATGTAGTACATCCAGTTCCAGGAGCTGCCCTCCACATCGTTACTCTGGTAAAATAAACACACACACACACACACACACACACAACACACACACACACACACACACACACAAACACAGCAAATATCAAGACGCGCCAACAAGGGAAGAAGCAGAGGAAACATCTCTCCTGTTCTTAAATCCCTGAATCGGCTCCTGAACATTTTAGAATCATTTTAAAATTGTCATGGTTGTTTTTAAGAGTCCTGAGCTCTGCAGACCTGCCCCTCCTGCTGCCCCCAGGACCAGACTGAGGACCAGACTGAGGACCAGACTGAGGACCAGACTGAGGACCAGAGGGGACGGTACCTTGTCTGTGGTCGGAACATGACTGTGGAACACTTTGGCTTTGCACATTAGATGATGTTCACACTGAAACAAATCTGCGTATCATCAAATTGGAAACGATCTGCGTCCACAAACGTCGTTTCTGTGTCTGTTTCCTCCACGCAGCTTTGAGCACATTTTTTTTTTTACATTTTACACAAACTAAACTTAAATCACATGACTCATTTACATAAACTAATGTGTGTGAGAAAAAACAGTTGTTTCTTGTGTCTGATGTGGTTCAGTTTGGTGTTGAGACTAAAGGACACAGAGAGAGGGGTGTTCTCTCTGTGTCAGAGGGTGTGTGACAGAGGGGTGTTCTCTCTGTGACAGAGGGGTGTCTCTCTCTCTCTGTGTCAGAGGGGTGTTCTCTCGTGTGTGTCAGAGGGGTGTGTCTGTTCTCTCTGTGTGTCAGAGGGGTGTTCTCTCTGTGTCAGAGGGGTGTTCTCTCTGTGACAGATCTCTGTGTCAGAGGGGTGTTCTCTCTGTGTCAGAGGGGTGTTCTCTCTGTGACAGAGGGGTGTTCTCTCTCTGTGACAGAGGGGTGCTGTGACAGAGGGGTGTTCTCTCTGTGTCAGAGGGGTGTTCTCTCTGTGAGTGTCAGAGGGGTGTCTCTCTGTGTCAGAGGGGTGTTCTCTCTGTGTCAGAGGGTGTTCTCTCTGTGTCTCTCTCTGTGTCAGAGGGGTGTGTGTCAGAGGGGTGTTCTCTCTGTGACAGAGGGGTGTTCTCTCTGTGTTCTCTCTGTGACAGAGGGGTGTTCTCTCTGTGTCTCTCTGTGTGTTCTCTCTGTGTCAGAGGGGTGTTTCTCTCTGTGTGTCAGTCAGAGGGGTGTTCTCTCTGTGACAGAGGGGTGTTCTCTGTCTCTCTCTGTGACAGAGGGGTGTTCTCTCTGTGTCAGAGGGGTGTTCTCTCTGTGACAGAGGGGTGTTCTCTCTGTGTCAGAGGGGTGTTCTCTCTCTGTGTGACAGAGGGGTGTTCTCTCTGTCTGTGTCAGAGGGGTGTTCTCTCTGTGACAGAGAGGGGTGTTCTCTCTGTGTCAGAGGGGTGTTCTCTCTGTGACAGAGGGGTGTCTCTCTCTGTGAGGGGTGTTTCTCTCTGTCTCAGAGGGTGGTGTCAGAGGGGTGTTCTCTCTGTGTCAGAGGGGTGTTCTCTCTGTGTGTTTCTCTCTGTGACAGAGGGGTGTTCTCTCTGTGTGACAGAGGGGTGTTCTCTCTGTGTCAGAGGGTGTTCTCTCTGTGTTCTCTCCTGTGTGACAGAGGGGGTGTGTGTTCTCTCTGTGTGACAGAGGGGTGTTCTCTCTGTGTCAGAGGGGTGTTCTCTCTGTGTCAGAGGGGTGTTCTCTCTCTGTGTGACAGAGGGGTGTTCTCTCTGTGTCAGAGGGGTGTTCTCTCTGTGTGACAGAGGGGTGTTCTCTCTCTGTGTGACAGAGGGGTGTTCTCTCTGTGTCAGAGGGGTGTTCTCTCTCTCTGTGTGACAGAGGGGTGTTTCTCTGTGTCTGTCTCTCTGACAGAGGGGTGTTCTCTCTGTGTCAGAGGGGTGTTCTCTCTGTGTCAGGGGTGTTCTCTCTGTGACAGAGGGGTGTTCTCTCTGTGTTCTCTCTGTGACAGAGGGGTGTTCTCTCTGTGTCAGAGGGTGTTCTGCTGATGGTGAGTCTGTTCTGTGTTTCTGTCGTGTTGGAGATGGTTCATGTGAAACACACAGACACATAGAACTAGACTTTGCATTTTAACGCGAAACTGCCTGAAACTCGTAAGTTGCAGCAGTGGTTTTCGAGCCGAGGAAGACGACAAGAGTGAAAAGTCTTTTCATGGACCATGTACGAGCGAGTATTTGTATCTCAGCTGTTTCTCATTTGTCTCTGGTTTGTTCAAACTGTTTTCCACAATAATGTCATAAACCCAGAGAATCAGAAGGAGCGAGTCACAGTGTCGTGTCCAATCAGGACGAGACTCCAGCTCCTACATCAGAGTATCAGAGTTTTCAGGAGTCCACACATCTGGACCAACATGAACTCGTGGAGCTGGAGGCACCAGATCGTTCAGACTCTGGAGCCGTTTTCAGTTGGATTAGTGTGAATGAACACTGCACCACAACCAAAACTACTCACATACACACTAGTGTGAATGGGGCCTCAGAGCTGCAGAGTCACTGGAGCACTTTAAGAGGCACCTTGGCACTTTCCTGCTGTTATTTTGATTATTTTTTATTATTATTTTGGTTGATTTGTCTGTTGTATGATTTATTTCACTGTGAATGTTGTTCAGCACACTTTGGCTCTTTTAAATGTGCTGAACAAATAAAATTGATTTGATGTGAAAACTCCATCATGTTTATTTATTTATTTTTGTTTTGTTTTACATTTGAATTTAGCACAAACTCACCCACAACACTTTGACTCGTTGCCATTAAAAGCTGCACTGTGTAACTTTTAGGCTGAGGGTTTGTCACCTGCTTGTTTCCATGGAGACGTCGGGAGCGGACGGATTTTAACGTTAACAAACGACCGACGAACGGGAGAAAAATCACAGGTTTAACTTTGATATAATCGCGGGTTAAAGGGCGAGAGCCGCAGGAGTCTGGACTCTGGAATGTTCCACAGTGTGACTTTAAACTTGACTTTTATTTGATTCCAGGTCAGAAATACCTGCAAAAACAGACGTTCTGACTCTGAGCTGCACTTTTTTTTTTTTTTTTTTACTTGTTAAAGTTGTAAAAATGGAATTACATTTTGTCCTCGGGTTTAAAACCGTCCCAGCCCCATATGTTTGTGTAAAAATACTCCTCTATCTCTCTATCCCTCTCTCTATCTCTCCATCCGTCCTGTTCCAGCGTATGATCCCTCCTTCTCTTTGCCTCCCTCCTCTCCTCCATCTGTCTCTCTCTTTTTTGTTTCCTCTGCTTTCTGTCCCTCCTCTAGCCCCCCCCATTCTCTCTCTCTTCTGTCTTCTCCCTCTCTCTTTCTATTTCTGCCCACCTCTCTTCTTCCTTCTTTCCTTCCTCCCTTCTGTTCCATTTCCTCTTCCTTCTTGCCTCCCTCACTCTCTCTCTCTCTCTTTCTCTCCCTCTTCTCCCTTTCTTTCTCTCTCCCCTCTCTTTCTCCTTCTTGTCTCTCTCTCTCCTCTCTTTTCTCTTTTATCTTCTCACTCTCTCGCTTCTCCCTTTCTCCTCCTCCTCTTTCTCCCTCTCTCTTTCTATTTCTGCCCGCCTCTCTTCTTTCTTCTTTCTTTTGTACCTTTTGCTTTCTTTCCCTCCTCTTTCCTGTCTCTCTCTTCTCTCTCTCCCTCTCTTTCTTTCCCTCTGTTCTCTCTCTCTTTCTCTCTCTCTTTCTGTTCTCTCTATTCTGGTCTCAGGTTTATTTTTAACCTGTTGTGATGAAGCTCGACTCAGACTCACAGAAAAGGAAACGACCAAACTTTAACACAAAACTGAGTCCTGCTTTAGTCCTGGTCTGGTCCTGGTCCTGGTCCTGGTCTAGTCCTGGTCCCGGTCCTGGTCCTGGTCTGGTTGAGGTCTAGCCCTGGTCTAGTCTTAGCTCTGGTCCTTAAGTGGTAGAGCATCTCGGTCCAGCCCTCCACGGTAATACACTGGAACATGGTGAGTCCTGGTTTAGTCCTGGTCCTGGTCTAGTCCTGGTCTAGTCCTGGTCTTGGTCTTAGTCCTGGTCCTGGTCTGGTCTAGTCCTGGTCTTAGTCCTGGTCCCGGTCCTTACGTGGTAGAGCATCTCGGTCCAGCCCTCCATGGTGATGCACTGGAACACGGTGAGTCCTGGTTTAGTCCTGATCCTGGTCCTGGTCTAGTTTTGGTCTAATCCTGGCCCTGATCCTGGTCTAGGCCTGGCCCTGGTCCCGGTCTAGTCCGGGTCCTGGTCCTTGTCCTGGTTCTTATGTGATAGAGCATCTCGGTCCAGCCCTACATGGTGATGCACTGGAACACGGTGAGTCCTGGTTTAGTCCTGGTCTAGTTTTGGTTTAGTCCTGGTCTAGTTTTGGTTTAGTCCTGGTCTGGCCCTGGCCCTGGTCCTGCTCCTGGCCCTGGCCTTGGTCTAGTCCTGGTCTTGATCCCGGTCCTTTCATGGTAGAGCATCATGGTCCAACTCTTCAAGGTGATGCACTGGAACATGGTGAGTCCTGGTTTAGTCCTGGTTTAGTCCTGGTTTAGTCCTGGCCCTGGTCCTGGTCTAGTCCTGGTCTTAGTCCCAGTCTCGGTCCTTACGTGGTAGAGCATCTCGGTCCAGCCCTCCATGGTGATGCACTGGAACACGGTGAGGACGGCGAACAGGATGTTGTCGAACTGCGTGATGCCGTAGTTTGGTCCGAGCCAACCGCCTTTACACGACGTCCCGTTTGGACAAAGACGAGACGGCGGCTCCGTCCCACACGGCGTCTCGTCCACCGTCTCATCTGCGCGACGACAAAACACAGGTTTGTTTAGTTTTAGAGAAGAATCGGATCTGTTTATTTTGTTGTTTTTGTTTGCACCGACACAGAAATAAAGAGTTTGACATTTTAACGGTGAGAGAAAAAACATTAAAAAGAAAATCACTTTAAAGAAAAAATATAAACTGATTTGACATTTCATTGAGTGAAATAAATATTTGAACCCTCGAGTCAAAAAACACTAAGGTTCTTTCACAGCGACAGGAGATGGTGCAACACACCTTCCACTGGATCCAGAAGCTCTTAGATGGTTTAGTTTTGGTTGGTTTCCATTGGTTTTGTTTGGTTTTCTTTGGTTTTCATTGGTCTTTGTTGGTTTCCGTTGGTTTTGTTTGGTTTCCGTTGGTTTCCGTTGGTTTCGTTGGTTTTCGTTGGTTTCGTTGGTTTCCGTTGGTTTCCGTTGGTTTCTGTTGATTTTCATTGGTTTTCCGTTTGCGTTGGTTTCCGTTGGTCTTCGTTGGTTTCCGTTGGTCTTCGTTGGTCTTCGTTGGTTTCTGTTGGTTTTGGTTGTTTTTTTTTGTTTCCGTTGGTGTGAAAGTTTCAGTCGTACTTGGAGCTGCACTAAATCAAACGGACCGAGACCTCCTCTTGTGTGAAGTCTCGTTAGTCGTTAGTCCCTCTGGTGTGAGACCAACTCAGATCCAAACCTGAGGCAGTGGGTCCACACCGACTGTTCCAGATGCATCATGGGAGGACAGGCTAGAACTGTGCACACCAACCCCCCTGGACACCTGCCCTGGCACTGACCCGTCTGTAGGTTTGTGAGTCCGAGTCTCCTGGCCCGGGGAGCTGGAGTCTGGCTTCTGCTCGGGGGAAGAGGGACCTGCCTGTGTCGTCTGTACCTCACAGAGGGGCTTTGTGTGAAGACCACCAGGCGAGACGGTGCATCTGGACCTCACATCAGAGAGGTTTGGTCTGTGGGAGAGACTCAGAGTCCCTGAACCACGAGCAGGAGTCTGGGATAATCGTCAGTTGGAGCAGTTTTGGTTTGTTTGTCAGTGTGAAAGAAAAACACATGATACATAATCATGATTTTATTTCCTGGTGTGGACCGGCTGTGTCAAAATGTCTTTAGTTCTTGGTGTCAGACTCTTGTTTGGAGATCAGACGATGTTCAGGTTTGTCACAGATCAGAAGGAGTTTGGTCCAGTCTTTTTGCAGAACATCTCCAAAACATTGTTACGGCCCCAGGCCTTGGGTCTAATTTGTTTGTGTGATTTTTGCCGACTTCTCTTGATTCCTGCAGCAGGAGCTCTGGACCGTGATTGGTGGGGCAGGTCGACGCCCACCTCACCTGCAGCCACCGCCCCCTATTTAAGGATCACCAGCACCTGTTTGGGGCTGCTGGCCTTGGTGGACCGGTTTGGTTTCATGTATGTAGTTTAGTTTAGTTCTGTTTTGTGCCTTTTTTAATTTGGTCACTCGATTCTGTTTGTGGGTTTATGTGGTTTAATTTGGGAAACTTGTGTTTTGGTTTAGTCTGTGTCCCTTAATTTTACCACTCGTTTTGTATAAGCCTGCGTGACCCTTTTGTGGCACAAAACACTGTTTATTCTGTTGTTCTGTTTCTTAGTTTAGTTTATTTTCTGTATATTTTAGTCTTTTGTTAATTTACCTTTTACATTCCTGTTAATTAAACATTATTTAATTTATTCCATTTTACTGTATACTTAGTACTGTAGTTTTATTTTTTTGTTACTGTTACTGTAGTACCTACACTGTAGTACCCAAACGAGTACTGGTACCCATAACACTGTAACATGACTGTAGCTTACATACTACTGTAGTACCTACTAATACACTGTAGTACTGTAGTACTGTAGTACTGTAGTACTAGTACTGTACTGTAGTACTGTAGTACTGTAGTACTGTAGTACTGTAGTACTGTAATACTGCAATACTGTAGTACTGTAGTACTGTAGTACTGTAAAATATCTGGTGTTGTAGTAAACGTTGTCAGTGTGGAGTTTTTAAAGATCAGTGGATGATTCTTTTTGTGTTCAGTCTTCGTGCAGTTTGTCTGATGTAAAGAAAGTCTGGAGGTTTTTAAAGAAAATATTTATCTGCGTCGTCAGGGTCAAACTATTCTGTTATACAACCCTGACCCCCGACCCTGACCCCTGACCCCTGACCCTGACCTGACCCCTGTCACGGTCAGAAGACAGAATGTGGCCCTCAGAGACAAAAGTGAACTGCAGGACGTCTGTGTTAAAGGACGATCCGGGAACAAATATTTATTTCACTCAATGAAACGTAAATCCGTTCATGTAGTTTTTTAAAAGTGATTTTCTGGATTTTCTTCTTGATGTTTTATTTCTCACTGTTAAAATAAAGTGCAAACAACAAAATCAGCAAATACTTTTTTGATCTGAGAGAAAGAGACTGTGTTTCCTCTGGGAGTGGAGCTGGAGGAGGGTGAGACTGTGGAAGGTGAGGGACACGTTTATTTATTTACATATAGAGGTTATTTACGATCTCGTCACTCGTCGCAGGTTTTTGGCCGTAGCCTCGTCCCTCGTTCTTCTCTCGTGCGTTCGCGTCGGTGGACTTACGTGTGACGTCGTCGTAGCAGGTGGTGTGGAACTTCCCCATGTAGAACTCGAGGCCGATGATGGCGAACATGAGGATGGCCACGAAGAGGAGCAGCCCGATCTGCAGCAGAGGGATCATCGCCTTCATGATGGACTTGAGCACCACCTGCAGGCCTGGAGGACACACGCACCCGTCACTCAAACACAAACAAACGAACGAAACGAAACGAGAGAAACAAACACAGGTCCGGGTCCGGGTCGGGGTTTTTGAGGAGGGAGCGGCGTCAGGACTCGAGTCAGGAAACAGTGGGTCGTTTAAATAAAAGTGAGGGAGGCTGGTACTGACTGGGAATCCCGGAGACGAGTTTGAGCGGTCGGAGAACTCGCACGGCCCGGAGCGTCCGCAGGTCCAACTGAGAGCCCACCGAAGACAGGATACTGAAAGAGAGAGAGAAAAAGAGGAATCATCAGCCGGAACAGAGCGTTTTTTTTTTTTTTTTTTTTTTTTTTAACAGTTGGATCAAAATGACGACACGACGGAGCCCAAATCCATCAAATCAAATAAAACTTCAGAGGATCAGAGAAAAGAAACGACGAGGACAAAGACAAAATAAAATAAAATCAAGTTTGAAGAACTGAGTCTAGGTCTGGGTCTGAGTCTAAGTTTGGGTCTGGGTCTAGAGTCTTGAGTTTTGAGTCTGGGCCTGAGTCTGGATCTGAGTCTGGGTCTGGGTCCAAGTCCGAGTCCGGGTCCGAGTCTCAGTCTGGGTCTGATTCTGGGTCTAAGTCTGGGCCTGAGTCTGGGCCTGAGTCTGAGTCTGGGTCTTTGTTTGAGTCTGAGTCTGGGTCTGGGCCTGAGTCCGAGTCCGAGTCTCAGTCTGGGTCTGATTCTGGGTCTGAGTCTGGGCCTGAGTCTGAGTCTGGGTCCGAGTCCGGGTTCGGGTCCGAGTCTCGGTCTGGGTCTGGGTCTGAGTCTGAGTCTGAGTCGAAGTTTGGGTCTGGATCTGAGTCTGAGGACTAAACCAGGACTGAACCAGGACTAAACCAGGACTAAACCAGGACTGAACCAGGACTAAACCAGACTGAACCAGGACTGAACCAGGACTAAACCAGGACTAAACCAGGACTAAACCAGGACTAAACCAGGTCTAAACCAGGACTGAACCAGGACTGAACCAGGACTAAATCTGGACTAAACCAGGTCTAAACCAGGACTAAACCAGAACTGAACCAGGACTAAACCAGGACTAAACCAGGACTAAACCAGGACTAAACCAGGACTGAACCAGGACTAAACCAGACTAAACCAGGACTAAACCAGGACTAAACCAGGACTGAACCAGGACTAACTGGTTTCATCTGTGGTCAGTCTGGTCCCTCTCTCCAGGAGGTTGTGGGTTTGATTCTCGGAGTCGTGTTCCTGTGGCAGAGTGGTTATCCTGGTCTTCTCCCGTTGCCATGGAGACACATCCTCCCGCCGTCTCCAGGGTAACGCTCTCATTCACACCGCGTTACCGGGGCAACGCTGTCCTGCCTCATTCACGGAATCTCTCCAGAAAGAGCCGAACCGAGAGCCGAAAGAGCCAAATCCAAAGAGCCGAAAGAGCCGAAAGAGCCGAAAGAGCCGAATCCAAAGAGCTGAACCCAAAGAGCCGAACCCAAAGAGCCGAGCCCAAAGAGCCGAAAGAGCCAAATCCAAAGAGCCGAAAGAGCCAAATCCAAAGAGCTGAAAGAGCCGAATCCAAAGAACTGAAAGAGCCGAATCCAAAGAGCCGAAAGAGCCAAATCCAAAGAGCCTAAAGAGCCAAATCCAAAGAGCTGAAAGAGCCGAAAGAGCCGAAAAAGCCAAATCCAAAGAGCCGGATCCAAAGAGCCGAAAGAGCCGAAAGAGCCGAAAGAGCCGAACCCAAAGAGCCGAAAGAGCCGAACCCAAAGAGCTTAACTGAAAGAGCCGAAAGAGCCGAACAGAAAGAGCTGAACCCAAAGAGCCGAACCCAAAGAGCAGAACCGAAAGAGCCAAATCGAAAGAGCCGAGAGAGCCAAACCGAAAGAGCCGAGAGAGCTGAAAAAAACAAAACAACTGAAAGAACCGAAAGAGATGAAAGAGCCGTGACCCCAAACGATTCTCAGCCAAAACTTTACAAACACCTGCCCACCGATTGGCCGACTGAAAGGGGGCGTGGCTAAAACTCTCCAGACTGCACTGACGACACGACGCCTGCAGGGGGCGCTCAACTAAAACTATTTATACGGGGAAAAGGAGCAGCGCCCACATCACACTTACCATATACCATCTGAATAAAATCATTTAATATGAATAAAAATGATTTCCACGTTAAAAAGTCCATGTAAACACTTGAATTCCTGATGAAAATAATTATTCAGAATGAATCTTAATAGTGAAGTAAGTGTTTGTTTTCTTCTGATTTTAAATCTGAGTGAATTTGGTTCCTGGATCATGTTTGTGGTTTGTTGTTGTTAATAATTCTGGTGCTTCATGTTCGTTGTGTCGTAGTTCTGACACGTTGACCCGGACGTTCCAGCTCCACAATCCATCTGTCATTTGTTAATTTAAAAAAAAATAATAATAATAATTTTCAAAATAAAACCAAAAAAAAAAAAAAAATGAAAAAAAACTAAAAATTTCTTCATTATTTGTCTCCAAAACCAAACTGAAAAAACAGATGATGGACTAAAACAGGACTAAACCAGGACTGAACCAGGACTGAACCAGGACTGAACTAGATCCTGGATTCAGTCCCGGTCTGATCCTGGTCTTGATCCCAGTCTCAGTCCCAGTCTCAGCCTAGTCCTGGTTTAGTCCTATTTTAGTCCTGGTTTAGTCCTGGTTCTGGTTTAGTCCTGGTTTAGTCCTGGTTTAGTCCTGGTTTAGTCCTGGTTTAGTCCTGTTTAGTCCTGTTTAGTCCTGCTTTAGTCCTGGTTCAGTCCTGGTTTAGTCCTGGTTTAGTCCTGGTTTAGTCCTGGTTTAGTCCTGGTTTAGTCCTGGTTTAGTCCTGGTTCAGTCCTGGTTTAGTCCTGGTTTAGTCCTGTTTTAGTTCTGGTTTAGTCCTGGTTTAGTCCTGGTTTCAGTCCTGTTTTAGTTCCTGGTTTAGTCCTGGTTTAGTCAGTCCTGGTTCAGTCCTGGTTCAGTCCTGTTTAGTCCTGGTTTAGTCCTGGTTTAGTCCTGTTTTAGTTCTTAGTCCTGGTTTAGTCCTGTTTAGTTTTAGTCCTGGTTTAGTCCTGTTTTAGTCCTGGTTTCAGTCCTGGTTTAGTCCTGGTTTAGTCCTGGTTAGTCCTTTCCTGTTTTAGTCCTGTTTTGGTTCCTGGTTTAGTCCTGTTTTTAGTCCTGGTTCAGTCCTGGTTTAGTCCTGGTTTAGTCCTGTTTTAGTCCTGATTTGAAGTTTGTGTTTTCTTCCCAAAGACGTAAATCAAACCTTCCCGACTCCAGACGCTGAGCAGAATTAAATCAAGACGATTTAACGAGTTTTCCAGGTCAACGTCAGTTCAGAATTATTATTTCCACTTAAACCCGAAACAGAAAATTTTAATTCAGAACGATTCATTTGGAATAAAAAATAAAAAGTGAAAAAACATCATGTAAACGAGGCCAAAGAAAGAAAACTGAAAATCAAATCAAATCAAAAGGATCCACAGCTGCACAGTCCTTAACCCCTCCTCCTCTCTCCTCTTTTATCTGCACTCGCTCTAAAGGAAGGAAGGAAGCATGGAGAGAGAAGGAAGGAAGGATGGGAGGAAAGAAATGAAGGAGAATGAAGGAAGGCAAGAGAAGGAATGAAGGAAGAAAGGAGAGAGAAGGAAGGAAGGAAGGCTGGAAGGAAAGAAAGAAGGAAGGAAGGAGAGAGAAGGAAGGAGAAAGAAGGAAGGCAACAGAAGGAATGAAGGAAGGAGAGAAAAGGAAAGGAGAGAGAAGGAAGGAAGGAAGGAAGGAGAGACAAGGAAAGGAGAGAGAGAAGGAAGGAAAGATGGAAGGAAGGAAGGATGCAAGGAAAGGAGAGAGAGAAGGAAGGAAGGATGGATGCAAGGAAGAAGAGAGAAGGAAGGAAGGAAGGATAGAGAAGGTAGGGAAAGGAAGGAAGGAGAGAGCGAAGGAAAGAAGGAAGAGGAAGGAAGGAAGTATGGAAGGAAGCAGAGAGAAGGAAGGAAGGAAGGAAAGAGAAGGAAGGAAGGTAGGAAGGAAGGAGAGAGATGGAAGGAAGGAAGGAAAGAGAAGGAAGGAAGGAAAGAAAGAAGGAGAGAGAAGGAAGGAAGGAGAGAGAGAAGGAAGGAAGGAAGGAAGAGGTTTGTGAGGAGAGGGAGGAGAGAGGGAGAAAAGACTTAAGGGGAGAGAGAGGGAGAGAGAGGAGAAAGAGGTGAGAGGGGGAACGAGAGGAGGAGGAAGAAGAGAAGAAGAGAGAGAGAGAGAGAGAAGGAGAGAAGATGGAGGAGAGAGAAAGGATGAGCTGTGTGAGGAGAGTCCTGAGTCTCTCTTCTCCTTTATCTCCGCTCGCTCTTCTTTCTTTCTTTATTCCTCCTCTTTCTTCCCCCTCCCTCTTTTCTCTTTCTTTTCCCTCCCTCTCTTTTTTCTCTCTCTTTTTCTCTCTGTTCCTGAGCTGCAGTAAATAATCTAGGTCACGTTCTACCTTCTCCTACAACAACAGCACCGCCTCCATCTGCCCCTGTCACACTAATGCCCCTGTCACACACTAATGCCCCTGTCACACACTAATGCCCCTGTCACACACTAATGCCCCTGTCACACTAATGCCCCTGTCACACACTAATGCCCCTGTCACACTAATGCCCCTGTCACACTAATGCCCCTGTCACACACTAATGCCCCTGTCACACTAATGCCCCTGTCACACTAATGCCCCTGTCACACACTAATGCCCCTGTCACACACTAATGCCTCTGTCACACACTAATGCCCCTGTCACAACTAATGCCCCTGTCACCTGTCACACTAATGCCCCTGTCACACTAATGCCCCTGTCACACACTAATGCCCCTGTCACACTAATGCCCCTGTCACACTAATGCCCCTGTCACACTAATGCCCCTGTCACACTAATGCCCCTGTCACACACTAATGCCCCTGTCACACACTAATGCCCCTGTCACACTAATGCCCCTGTCACACACTAATGCCCCTGTCACACTAATGCCCCTGTCACACACCTGCCCCTGTTTCACACTAATGCCCCTGTCACACTAATGCCCCTGTCACACACTAATGCCCCTGTCACACACCTGCCCCTGTCACACACCTGCCCCTGTCACACACTAATGCCCCTGTCACACACTAATGCCCCTGTCACACACCTGCCCCTGTCACACACTAATGCCCTGTCACACACCTGCCCCTGTCACACTAATGCCCCTGTCACACACCTGCCCCTGTCACACACTAATGCCCCTTCACACCCTGCCCCTGTCACACTAATGCCCCTGTCACACACCTGCCCCTGTCACACAACCTGCCCCTGTCACACACTAATGCCCCTGTCACACACTAATGCCCCTGTCACACACCTGCCCCTGTCACACACTAATGCCTCTATCACACACCTGCCCCTGTCACACTAATGCCCCTGTCACACACCTGCCCCTGTCACACTAATGCCCCTGTCACACACCTGCCCCTGTCACACATGCCCCTGTCTCCTCGGACGTTTCCTCGTTACAAATCTTCCTGAAGAGTTTGAGACTCGTCCGAGCGTGTTTGAGTCATCTAGAGATCTGCCCTATTCACAAACCGTCCTTACACAGAGAGAAGGAAGGAAGGAAGGAAGGAAGGAGAGAGAAGGAAGGAAGGAAGGAGAGATAATGAAGGAAGAAAAAAGGAAGGAAGGAGAGAGAAGGAAAGAAAGAAAAAAGGAAGGAAGGAAGGAATGAAGGAAGGAAGGAAGGAAGGAAGGAGAGAGAGAGAAGGAAGGAGAGAAGGAAGGAAGGAAGGAGAGAGAAGGAAGGAAGGAGAGACAATGAAGGAAGGAAGAAAGGAAGGAAGGAAGGAAGGAGAGAGAGAAGAAATTAATTAAGGAGAGAGAAGGAAGGAAGGAAGGAAGGAAGGAAGAGAGGAGAGGAGAGGGAGGTCTGTAGTGATGGAGGAAGCAGAGGAGAGATACTGCAGCCCCCCCGCCCCCCCCTCTCTCTCTCTCCTTCAGGCCCCTTTCTCTCCTCCTTCATCCCTCCCTCCCTCCTTCTCTCTCTCTCTCTTTCTCTTTCTCTCTCGTTTATTATTCATGTCCTACATCCTCACATCCAGAGGAAAGTGTTTATTTAGACCAGGCCAGTTCAAACCTGTTTCTGTCAACACTCTCTCCATCCCTCCATCCCTTCATCACTCCATCTCCCCTCTCTCTCTCTCTCTCTCTCTCTCTCTCTCTCTGCCTTTCTTTTCTCTTTCTTTATATCCATTCTTGTTCCTTCCTTCTCTTTCCGTTTATTGTCTCCATCTCTCCCTCGTTTTTTCTCTTCTCTTCCTTCTCTTATTCCATCCCTTCTTATGTCATTCCATTCGTTTCCTTTCTTTCTCTGGGGCCCCCTTCCATCTCTCTCTCTCTCTCTCTCTCTCTCTCTCTCTCTCCAGTGACCTTTCTCTCTATCCCCCCTCCCTCGTTCTCTCTCTCCCCCTACTGTTCCTCTGATCCTCTCCTCCTCCCTCCTCTTCTCTCTCTCTCTCTCTCTCTCTCTCTTGTGTATTGTTCAATTATTCATTCAGGAGCATCTCTCCGTCTGATCCCTCGCTCCAGGAGGAGCAGGAGACACGGGGAGGTGAGGGAAAGTTCCGCACTGAAGCTTTAAACAAACACGAAGGATTCGCTTAAAAAAAAAAAAAAACTGCTCAGAAAACACTTCATAAAAAAACTTCCTCACACTGAGCGGAGTCGCCGCTCCACAGATCTGACCCGGAACATGGGCTTGTGACTCCTCTGATGGTTCAGTCCTGGTTTAGTCCTGGTTTAGACCTGGTTTAGACCTGGTTTAGACCTGGTTTAGACCTGGTTTACCTGGTTTTAGTCCTGTTTAGTCCTGGTTTAGACCTGGTTTCTGGTTTAGTCCTGGTTTAGACCTGGTTTAGTCCTGGTTTAGTTCTGGTTCAGTGTGAATTTTGCTCCACATGATTCTCGGGTTTTATTTTTTATTTCAACATTTTGTCCATAAATAAATTCCTTTTTCTGACACGGGCACAGAGTGGGTACAGTGAGTACAGTGAGTACAGTGGGTACAGTTGGTACAGTGAGTACAGTGAGTACAGTGAGTACAGTGAGTACAGTGGGTACAGTGGGTACAGTGTGGTACAGTGAGTACAGTGAGTACAGTGGGTACAGTGGGTACAGTGAGTACAGTGGGTACAGTGAGTACAGTGGGTACAGTGGGTACAGTGGGTACAGTGGGTACAGTGAGTACAGTGAGTACAGTGAGTACAGTGGGTACAGTGGGTACAGTGGGTACAGTGGGTACAGTGGGTACAGTGAGTACAGTGTGGTACAGTGGGTACAGTTGGTACAGTGTGGTACAGTGGGTACAGTGTGGTACAGTGAGTACAGTGAGTACAGTGGGTACAGTGAGTACAGTGGGTACAGTGGGTACAGTGGGTACAGTGGGTACAGTGAGTACAGTGAGTACAGTGTACAGTGGGTACAGTGAGTACAGTGGGTACAGTGGGTACAGTGGGTACAGTGAGTACAGTGAGTACAGTGGGTACAGTGGGTACAGTGGGTACAGTGGTACAGTGAGTACAGAGTACAGTGGGTACAGTGGGTACAGTGTGGGTACAGTGAGTACAGTGGTACAGTGTGGTACAGTGGTACAGTGGAGTACAGTGGTACAGTGAGTACAGTGGGTACAGTGTACAGTGGGTACAGTGGGTACAGTGGGTACAGTGAGTACAGTGGGTACAGTGTGGTACAGTGGGTACAGTGGGTACAGTGAGTACAGTTGGTACAGTTGGTACAGTGGGTACAGTGGGTACAGTAGAGTACAGTGAGTACAGTGGGTACAGTGAGTACAGTGGGTACAGTGGGTACAGTGGGTACAGTGGGTACAGTGAGTACAGTGAGTACAGTGGGGTACAGTGGTACAGTGGGTGGGTACAGTGAGTACAGTGGTACAGTGGGTACAGTACAGTGGGTACAGTGGGTACAGTGGGTACAGTGGGTACAGTGAGTACAGTGTACAGTACAGTACAGTGGTACAGTGGTACAGTGGTACAGTGAGTACAGTGAGTACAGTGGGTACAGTGGGTACAGTACAGTGGGTACAGTGGGTACAGTGTACAGTACAGTGAGTACAGTGGTACAGTACAGTGGTACAGTTGGTACAGTGGTACACAGTGGTACAGTGGTACAGTGGTACAGTACAGTGAGTACAGTGGGTACAGTACAGTGGTACAGTGGTACACAGTGGGTACAGTGAGTGGGTACAGTTGAGTACAGTACAGTGAGTACAGTACAGTGGGTACAGTGTACAGTACAGTGGTACAGTGGTACAGTGGGGGTACAGTGAGTACAGTACAGTGGTACAGGTACAGTGGTACAGTACAGTGGTACAGTGGTACAGTGGGTACAGTGGTACAGTGGGTACAGTACAGGGTACAGGGTACAGTACAGGGTACAGTGGGTACAGTGGGTACAGTGGGTACAGTGGTACAGTGGTACAGTGAGTACAGTTGGTACAGTGGTACAGTGGGTACAGTGAGTAC